CAGAAAAGCTGAAACTTATGTGGAAGCATCCTCAAGTAGTGTACACTCTAAATTGTTCAAATCATGACCCAGGGGATAGGGCGGGGCCACAATAGGGGGAATCCCAAGTTTTACATTGAAATATATAGGAAAAATCTTTAAAAATCTTCTCAAGAACCACTGGACCAGAAAAACTGAAACTCATGTGGAAGCATCCGGGGGTAGTGTAGATTCTAAATTGTTCAAATCATGGCCCCTGGGGGGAGGGTGGGGCCACAATAGGTATTACAAGGGGGGAAGTCTGGTAATGAACAGCATGGCCAAAGTTACTCAGGTGAGCGATGTGGCCCATGGGCCTCTTGTTGTAAATGTTTTTTTGTGTTTAATCAGAGACATGAAATACTTCAAATTTTTTCTTTTGAAAGATATTTTAAAAATATTTATTTGGTAAACAACAGAAAGCAGCAAGTATTTTGAGATTTTGACTGCTAAATGTAAAAGATAATGTATTTTAGTTTCATTGATAGTTTGGAGTTTCATTAGGTAGTGATATAATGTAACTTTCATCACAGCAACCTGCCAATCAGTGATGTTTGATATACATTTCTTGTAAGAGGATGCTTTAGCATTTGGAAATTCAGGTACATTTCATAAAGTGAATTGATGTGAAAAGTATCTCCCACCTAAGGATGATGCTTACTTAATCTCATGGTTTGTCTGCTATAACGAAAAGCACAAGCTGTGAATACAGATGGCCTATTAATGTGATTAACTATGATTAGAATTCCTGTTTATCTTGATATGGTTAAATAAATTTCATTTACTCAATTATTTCCAGTTGTGGAGAGAACCCGGGGTGAGGAGAGACTGAGATGGGAATGGAAACTGATGTTTAAGAAGATAGCTCCAGATCTGTCTAAGTATGTGGGGCAGCAGGTACGGAACCTTCTGAAGACAACTCTGGACTCAGAGCTCAGAGACTGGACTCAGATGGGGGTTCTCCACACTGAACCTGTACCACAGGAATTGTGGGGAGGCAAGCTGGATTACCCAAAATGCATTTCTAAGGTACAGTACAAAGGAGGGTCCATCTTTTGCTCTGTATACAGGTATCTTATGTCTGTGTGTCTGAATAAAAGTAAAGACATACATGTATTGTATTTCATAATATACATGTATGCATAATGAGTATGAGTATTACTTTTGATACATTTTTTTTTTGTTACATGTCCATTGCTTTAACTTTTTGTTACATGTTCATTACTAAATTATTTCTGTAAGTGTCTTGTAGAATTTAATTTTTTTATCATAAATATTCTGATTTCAGTCAGTATCAGACTTCATGACCGAGCTAGATTTTCTACTGCCTTTCGCAAGGGCTGGCACAGATGGTTCTATCTTAAACTGTGTCAGGTTGGCCTATGTGGATGCTATCAATCTCTGTTTACAAAACTTCCATGTTCATCTCACAAAGGTAACTTTGTTGTGAATGACATTAAAACACTTTAATAACTAGACACAGTTACAATACACTCTGCCTTTCATGTCTCACAATATTGACAGAGTTAGCTAATCTAAAGCACAAATACTTGCATTGTAAATATACTAATTCTTATGGTTTCTTGTTCTTCAGTTGTGCAGTAATATCCCTCGGAATGCCCCCATGCAGAGCCTCTATATTCTATTGGCTAGTTCTGTGTACATCAAAAACCACCTACAACACTACGAGGTGGTGCTTACAGGAGAGGAGAGCAGGTCAGAGGCAGATTTCAGATCTCTTTTTTGTAGAAAAAGCAGACTTATTTCTTGTTATTTTGTGATATACATGTAAATATGTTTCGTTGGATTGAACCTGCATACTCATATCTCTATGTTTGCCTCCAACATTTAACCAATTTGTTTACCAATAAGTAAATGGTTATACACTGTACCTCTAAACACCTGTATAGATCTGAAGCTAACATACCATTAAAACCAAAAATATAGCCGTAGACCTTTCTTACAATTGGGCTTACGTACATGTACCTGTATCTAATATTGCTGTGAATAAATTTCTTAACTTTTGTAGCAAGAAACTTTTTTCTGCTCTGCATAAGAATTACTTGGAATTGGTGGACTCCCTGTACAAACTGACTGTAGAGATCCATAATAACTACATGGCCACTAGTGTTCTTCAGGACATGGAAAGTTACAATTGGAAGGATAACAAAGAATTCCAGGAGGTCTGTTTGTCTGTCAAATGTCATAAATCCCATGTATAAACACTTGTTTTGGGCCATCTTACACAAGCTGCATTGCCTAAAAATGTGCATAATTCTTATATACAGTCAAACCTCGTTATCTCAAACTCAATTGGACTGTTTTAAAACTTCGAGATATCCGAGTATTCGAGATATCAATGGTAAAATAATTAAAGTATAAGTGGTTGGGACTTCCAAATCACTTCGACATATCTATGGTATTTGAGATATCAGTGTTTGAGATACCGAAGTTAAACTGTATTTTTTTTTTTTTTGAAATTTAATGAAACACTGATTAAAATCATGACTATTTAAAGATTTTTTTATTGTTACTAATTGCCAGTTGGATGTGTTTGTTGGTATGCATTTAGTAATTTTATCCTTGGACTTTCTCAACAGGGTGAGCGCTGCTCCTTTCCTGTACAGATGTGGAACTACCACATGCGAGGACTCCGTCATGACTTATGGACCATTTGTCCGCCATGTCTCTCTCAGGATTTATTTGGACAGGTGCTTCAAAACTCCATACAGATTCTTTCACAGCGATACTCTCAATCCAAGCCAAGCTATCGCAGAACTTCTCAGTTCAGGTAATAACTTTGAAGATGCTAGTCATATAGTATAAATTGATTTATGGCACATTTTCTTAGGTAAGAAATACAAAGAATCAAATATATTTGGATCATTTGGTTAAATTCTGTGCAAATAAGATTTCAATTTTCTAGGTACTAAAAGTTTTGTGTAAATAAAGTTGGGTGCTTAAACAGGAGCAAGAACATTGAATAAGATTGGAATTTCATTTGAAATCAGTCTGTCTCAATATCTTTTTAGAACTATTTTACAAGTATATCTCATTTTCCACAGATCTGACATCATCACCATTTTGCTGTGTGCCAGTGAACTGCTTTTCCCAGCATGCAATTCAGTTTCCATGTACCTTGACCCGGGATCATCCCAGCTCCCTCACTACAGCATACACAACTTTTGCTCCACCCTTCTAGCAGATATGGCCATTGTGGCTTCACCCCTTGATATACTTTACAAGTAAGAAAAGAAACAAGAACCTGATAATGAAATCAGGGAATTAAATTTTACACAGACCATACTGTACACATGTTTCTATGTTAATTAGGTTCAGTTTCATGTTGCTAACAAGTACATGTATATACTGAGAAAACAAAAAGTGTAGAAGTCTATAATTTTATCAGGTAATATTTTGCAAGCTGAAAAAGCAATTCATACTAGATAAAGTGTTTTGATGGCATATGTTTTAAATATTTTAAAAAAAATGTAAGAAATTTTCATTTTAAATTTATTTGTTTATACAGGATTTATAAAAGAGGTTTCCATGAGTTGCCTGAACAGCCTCTTTCTGGATTGTCATCTCCTACAGCAAAGGTCATGGGTTCCAATACCAACTGGTTGTCATGGATACAACCAACCATTTTTCAGACTGGACATAAACAGTACGTACAGTACATGTGCAGTGTACATTTAAAATTTAATAAAAAAAAAATGACTGCATGAGATTCTTGTCTTTCTAATGCTTACAAATATTTGTAGTGGCAATGTGTTGTGTTTAAGGACAAGAGTACATTGTATTTAAGGTGAATGACAATGTGATGACCATATTTTCCAGTTTGTAATTGAATGATGTCAAAAATTTACCAGTAATGGTAGATGTAGAACATGCTTATCAGAAAAAACATCATGAATCTAGTACAAGAATTTCTTGTAAATGACACTACACATTTTTAGTCCCCTACCGGTGAAACCGGAGGGGACTATAGGTTTCCTCTGAGTCTGTCCGTCCGTCTGTCCGTCCGTCTGTCTGTCTGTCTGTCCGTCTGTCTGTCTGTCTGTCCCTCTGTCTGTCTGTCAGTCTGTCCCACTTGGTTTTCCGCACTTTTTTCCTAAACGCTTGCAGATATTGAGCTGATTTTTGGTATGTGAGTGTATTTTGATAAGTTACAGATCAAGTTTGCATTTCGTTCCGCTTCATTGATTTTTGACGGAATTACGGCCTTTTCAATTTTTACGGGTTTTCCGCAATTTTCTTCTAAACGCTTGTAGATATTGAGCTGATTTTTGGTATGTGGCTTTACCTTGTTTAGTTATAGATCAAGTTCGCATTTCGTCCCGCTTCATTAATTTTTGACAGAATTATGGCATTTTCAATTCTTAACGGGAACCAGATTACATGCACTTGCCGGTAGGGGACTAGTATTGCTAATGCAATACTCTCAGAATGCTTGTTGAATGAGAAATAAATACCTGTACATGTATGTATGCATGATAATGACATATGCATTGCCTTATGTTGAAATGTATCACAATTATATTGTTATTTCAGCTACTTTGATATGAGAACAACCACTGCCTTGTATTTTCACTGCAAACTGCTTTTATCCCAGCCGGAGATTGATTGGTCAAAAGTGCTGCAGGTTGATATACAGTCATTTTTTATTAACTTAAATGATGATGATGAATGGTAATGATTTTGATGATTATTTTAAAAAAATTGTTTTGTTTTTTTCACTATAGGCTGTCATCATGAAGGATTTCACTCTTCCCATTTTGTTTCTGACTCAAAGTGTAACAACTGACTCTTCATCAAATGGAAACACTGACAGCAATCTTAATCGAGAGAAAGTTTGTGAGACATTTGCTGTCATCACCAAAGTTTTGACACAGTGTCCCCATTTTAAGGAGTCTGTGGCTAAAGTTCTTGTGCCGGTTATAAACAGGTGTCAATTTTTTTACAGGAACTACATGTAAATCTATAGAAAAAATGTGTCTATCATTTATAGGATGATATTTAATTTACAGTCAGAATTTGCTTGTACTGTATATACTCGCCTGTTAGTCAGTTTGCTTATAAGGCGGTTGTATTTTCTCATTATAATTTAGAGGAATTTGCTTTTGACCTGCTTATATTTGGTATGGTTTTTTGCAAGATTCTCTTGCCAATTTCAGATCGATATTCTACTGTATTTACCTTGTTTCCAAGTATGTTTTTGGATATGACATCAATATTTGATCTTTAATTAACAATTTAAACAAAAATAAAATAAAAAAATTTTAAGCACAATGTACTTGTATTTTATGCATAGGGTAAACTTAGATCTTCATTTCCTGCATTGTTGTTGCTAAATTACAGGATTTCAGTATGGAGTAGTTCAACATGTACAAATTTCCATGAAATATTTTATGCATTTATTTACAGGTGCAATGAGTGGAAGCTGTTGGACACTAAGACACAGATAGGACTGGAGTCTGTTGTCCCTGTGTGGATGGAGACTGTCTTTACACTGTTAGATCCATTCATCCACAGGTTTGAACAATTCTTGGATAGAACTACATTGTACATGTATATTGTATTGATTTGAAATTCATGTGTATTATAAATGTTTACAGGAATATGTTTTAGTACTAAAGCAACATTTTTAGTTAAAAGGTATATGTTTGTTTTTCATGCAAGATTTAATTATTTTATTAATATTTGATAAAGTTTTAAATTTTTAACAGAAGGTAATATTTTATTGCTTGATATGTCTTTTCAGCATATTGAAGCAACTACTAGTTTCTGTGGTTTTGGATTCTAATACTGGTCCACCCATCCGTCCTATTATGTCTGTATTGGCAGATCTGCCATGTGGATGTAGACCACAGTTCTCAGCTCCGTACAAATCCAAAACTTCAGAAAGTAGGTATATTTCAGGTGGAAAAGTGGATTCTTATTGTAATCTACATGTACATGTAGGTGTTGTGTATTTTGAAATGTAGTTTATTTCAAGTTCATTTTGAAGAGATTTGGGGGAATTTCTGGAACTGTGGTGTTTGTCAGAAGATAGATAATACTTTGACAAGTATTTGAACATTTGGAATTCTTAGTAAATATACATGTATGAGGGGTTATCAAAAAGTTTTTGGACTGGCATATTGTTAATATTTTAATAAACAGTGGTAGGACCATGTGACGCAGCATATTTCTACCTCAGTCTCTGGGGAAGAAGTCTTTTTTGTGAGCATTTGTTATTCAATAATCACATTAATTCACTCAAGTGATGTGACACAATTGTTCCATAAAATATGAACTATTTACCTCATTGTTTTCAGTTTGAAATCTTATCTTAAATTCTATATAGAAATAGAATGCTCAAACAAATGAGGGTTAAAAATGACACTGGAAGGTGGGAGGGGTATGTTTTTACCACATTCTATAAAGTTTCACTCTGGAAAAACTAGCATAGACCTAGGAACAGGCTAAAGAGGAATGTAATGTGTTCAGATGACATGTTATTAAATGCCACAAAAGATTCAGAGAGAGGCGAGATATATTAAATGCTGATTGAAGTCTGGGTGTCCAAAATCAGTCACATCAAAAAGTGGCATAGCTTGTGTGTGGTAAACAAACTCCGACAAGCTAATTAAGCTGACAGTCAAGTGAGGTTCATTCCCTTTTGTATAGATCTTTTAACAAAATCATGCCAGTGCTGTCACTCCCCTCAAATTTAGACCGAGTACTGGACCCATTCCTAATGACAAAAAGTATCGCAACCAATTTTCTGGTATAATATTCCCATAATATTTTATAAATTATGATCAGTTAAAAAAAAATGCCTGGCCTACCCCTCACTTACTGCAGTCATTAAAATATAGACTTACAAACCACTATGTGAATAATTTAGAGAAAAAATGAGCTTTTAAAAATATTTTTTACCTATTGATAAAATTTATCTGTTTTCACAAAAAATGCCATTGATTTTCCCAAAGTGGATGGACCTGGTCCTTGTCCCAAAGGGCTGTAATGCATTGAAATTAGTTGTACATAAAATTTATAAGTCATATAAACAAGACAAGTTTCAGTCTATATTTAACTTCAGTGAAACAGATCAAAAGTGTATTGAGACAGAGGAAGCAGACATTAAGACGGTGTCAGATGACCAAAGAAGGTCACTTGTATTTTGAGGATAATATGGCAAATTATCAACTTATCAAACTAAAATTTTCAAAATTTCTTTAGCTTTTGTTGTTTTCTGTTCCTTGTAAATTTTGTAGGCACAGTCTACATATTACTTTTTATCACACCAGTCCACATACTTTTAGATAATCCCTCATATGTATACAGTATTTAAGTCCATCATTTTGTGATACATGTTCTATTTAAAGTAATAATGATCTTGTCTCCAGTTGTGTGGGATTATGGTTCCTTTTTTTATTGCTTGCTTTATCTTGGGAGGATTAAAATCTTGTCATTTCTTCTCAGGTGAGAAGGAGGCAATGGATGCATTGCTGCGGCAGGTGGTTGGATACATGGCAGACAATGTCTACTCCATCCCTAACACTGTGTGTATCCTCCTAAGAGCTCTACAGGAACACTGTACAGCCAATAACATTAAAACACCACACCACTGTGCTGGACTCAAGGTACTGCTACTCTGGCACAACCAGGATTTTTTTTCTCAGAATATATAGTTGTGCATTCATTGAACAGAATTTATGTTATGCTAAAATTTAAGAGTTTAAGAGGTATTCTTTGGGGACACCATAGCAGACATGTATGTAGGGAAATTTTTTGCAACATTACAAATATTAAAGATAATCTATCAGCATTCTTCATGTAAGTTTTTCTACTTATCACTTTTCACTAGCTCAGATAGCAGCGATTTTTCCCTTGGTATTATGTCCTCTTGGTATTATGAAGAGCAATCAAAGCCTATACTTGCTCAAACTTTTCTCTTTAATTTTTTCAGATTTTAGGCACCTGCCTGAGAAGGAGACTACAAGACAAGGGTTACCTGGAGAGAATTACTGGCCTCACTTTAAATCACAAACAGGTTGAAGATCTGAAGTCTCTAGCGGACTGTATTTATTATGTACTTATCAACACTAAAGGTAATTGTATGACTTCAAAATGCATGTTAAATAGGCAGAAAGAGTTGGAGAGAATGTTTACCTTCTTTGCTGTAGATGCATGTTCATTGTACAATGTATGTTAAATACAAGATAATATTAATGTAAGAAGTTGTTTGTTTCTTATCTTTATGGGTTATAATTTTATTTTAAGCTAAAAGCAATGCCACACCGAAGCTGGGTGGAAAATTCTGCAAGGAAAACAAAGAGTGGGTTCACTCTAAGATCCAAACCATAACGGCCTACCTTAACAATGTGTGAGTATTATCTGGTGTTGTGTGTAGAAAATTCAAAAGTAAAAAAAATGTATAAACTAAACACAATGTCTGTTTTATAGGAATTTATTGAATATGAATGTCAAATACATGTACTTCCATAACAGTAATATGAATTGGGATTACAATGAACAGATTATAATATGGCATATGCATATAGAAAAGGCTTCAAAATGTTGAAACATCCTACACAGTGAAGACCAATCAATGCACTCTATGTCAAGCAATGCGATAATTTTAAATTCTATTTGCTAGGATTTTTGAGATCAGTGACCACACTATATTGGAGGGTGCTACCAATGAGTACATGAAACAACTGTTTACACTAGCTGCCAGTAACATTCTGGATTCTCCTACTGGTATGTGTTTTTTCACTTACATGAGATTTTTGTTCTTTATACAGGTATGCTTTAGCTCAGCTGAGCATTAAGAACATTTTCAAGCTTATCTCAAGGGTTGTCCAAAGCATACCTGCAGATGTGGTGTCCCCAGTGTTGGGAGAGGGGGATTTTTCTCCCGTAAGACATATACAACTGCATTTTTTTTCTAATGTTATTTATATTGACTGTATTTCCAACAGTACTATTACTATGCATGTGTACAAGAACATATGGATATAATTTTGGAATACTTATAAATACTATGAGTATTGTTAGTATATGTCAAGGCAACATTTATGTACTTAAGGATATGGATATTCTAAGGATATCTATGGATATTGTTGTCATATCCAACATACATGTATTATACCTATGGATAATACTGATATAGTAATATATTTATCTTCCATACATACATTTTCTACAGGACAAGCTGATTTGACCTGTTTGTATGGTCTGATTGCTAACAACTTTGCCTGGCTGGAGCGACAGTTTGATATCCAGTTTGTTCTGCCTCCATATGTAACAGAAGATGCTCCACAATTCACTCTGAGAATGGAGGTTGATCACCTGAAAGAGTTTGACGCTTGTAAAGAGTATGAGATGATTGGAACCAGAAAATTTGATCATGTATGTATTTTTAAAAAAATGTTTATGTCATTTTTTTTAGCTTGAACAGGCTTTGCTTTTTAAAAGTTTTATTTGAATTCTTTGTCTCTTAAAAGTAAGACAGTTGTTAATAATTTTGAAAACTTAACCAGCAGTCTCTTCCATTTTGTGTTAATTAACATGTACGTGTATTGTCCTTTATCTTATTATATTTTTCTCCATAAGTTCGTACTGTACAAAAAGTTTTTATGTGTAAACTAAGTATAATATACTGTAAAAGTGGTTATTTACACTGGTTGTTAAGTACGCGTTTGTGACTGTCAAACATAACGCGTGGGTGTAATATACACGGTTGCACGAGTTACTGAGAAAAATTTACGCGGCCATCATTGCTAACTGTGCATACATGTGATAAGTCAAAGACCACAAAACTGTACAGGAGCCATAAAAAAACTGGAATTTGGGTGAAAAAACTGTCCACTGCCTATCAAAAAACGGTACAAAAAACGGTATAAAATATCGCTTAAATTCTTCTGATAAGGCACCTTATTTCTAAACCAACAAATATATATTGTTGCAAATGTCTTATTTTAAAAGTTGTAATGGAGATTTGAATGCTTTAAAATTTCATATATTGTATTTTATAATCACAATGTTCTTATGAATCTATTATAAATTAAGCTTGTTTAGATGATAGTTTGTTTGCCAGCTTTATATAGTATTAACGTGAGAGTCAATGTCTCCAATTTACATCTTGTTCATATTACTGATATATACATCAGCAATGCTAAATAACAGCAGCAAATACAATCATACATGAATTTCAGAACATAAAAACTAAAACTATATCCTTTATTTCAGCGTACTCATGGTAATAAACATCGTATATTTTATACCTACGAAGATCTGGGTCAGATTCATGTATATTAGGTCATGTATATCAACTTTAGAAGTTGGCTTAATTTTTTTTAATCAAGTTACGAAACATTAACAGTTATAATTAAGTACCTCTTTAAAAATAAAGCTACCTAAAGGGGTATCTTGATACGGATTTATAGCAAGATAATTATCCCAATTGGCAATTGACACCTCGATGGTTTGTGTACACTACATCGGAAGGTCAAGTGTCAAACACAGGTGACCGCCGGTACATATCACATGTATGTAACATCGGGTTGTTCCCCTTTAAAAAGGTCAAGATGTTTACACGCATGAATAAGGAAAAAAGTAATTAGAATTAATTAGGCCTACAAACAAACAAAACAGAAAGAATTTATACTGGTCATCGATATGTGCATGTTCCCTGGATTGCTTATTATAACGGCGATCTTCACAGTCAAAAGCGGTGAAGTGTGAACAACTGGTGAACGCTGTATTGTAACAGTGTAATTATTTACACAAGCTCAAACTTCATAGGGGGATCTACTTACTTACTTGTACCTGCGTGGCGAGTGTTGTCTGTGTTGACAATTAATTCAGTAGATATTTTGTAGTGACTGTGAGCTTGTGTAACATTTTGAGCTAATTATTTGAAATTAAGAGAGACGTACATAAAAAGAAAATGAAAAAGAGTATCGATATTTTGAAGCTTTAATTGCATGATACTGCTTTAAAATACTTAATATGAAGATGCATTTTTCATTGCACAATTAAAAAAAAAAAGAACAGTTACGTTTTCATCACTGTTTGTTATGTATTTATCTACTCATGTGCGTTCAATACCACAATTTATATACTACTGGTTCGACCGGCCTAACAGTACTAGAAATAGTATAGAATGATTCCAGAACTTAGAAATTTTGTGAACATCGCGTGGGGGTATTTTACGCGGTTATAAGCTTACCGCGTAAGTAGTGTAAATTTCCCCCACGCATAAATAACCACTTTTACAGTACATATATATGCACAAACATTTTATAGAAATGTTTATATACTGTAGATTCCTTATTTTATGCGAGTACTTTATATTGCAAAATGTCTCATAGATGCAAAATTGAAAGAATATGAATTTGTGAGTGTTCTTTTGATCAAGACCTTTTTTAATGGATTTCAGCAATATAAGAATAAAAGCGAATACTATTATTTAGCGAGTGATGCTTCTCACAAAATTACGCAATAATAAATTCCTCGCATATTTTTAGAAATCTACAGTATATATTATAAATGCTATGTTTTTATAATTTTCAAGGCCACAATTGAAACTTACAACATAAACTGGCAGGATCTTCTGTCATCTGACTTGGGGATCAGTGAATTTGGATTCCGCTCTCTTCTGTACAACCGCCATGAGATGCAGGATGGGGCTTACTTAGAGGAACAGGAAAAGAAACCAGTAGAAACACTCAAGTCTGTGTACGAAAACGAACCCAGGGAGTTAGTATAAATCCTGTGTATGAAAACAAACCCAGGGAGTTAGGATAAATTCTGTGTATGAAAATGAGCCCAAGGAGTTAGGATGAATTCTGTGTATGAAAATGAACCCAGGGAGTTAGGATAAATTCTGTGTACAAATACAAACCCAGAGAGTTAGGATAAATTCTGTGTATGAAAACGAACCCAGAGAGTTATGTGTAGGATAAGTCCTTTGTAGGAAAATGAACCCAGGGAGTTGGGATAAATCTTTTGTAAGAAAATGAACCCAGGGAGTTAGGATAAATTCTGTGTATGAAAACAAACCCAGGAAGTTGGGATAAATTCTTATTATGGGAGTTAATATAAATCTTGGGTATGAGAAAGAATTGAGGAAGTTGCAATGATATACTATTTCTAAACCGAATATATGTATTCATTATAACTACTTAACAGTTATATAAGATTTACTTTTAATAGTATAAATTTGTTCCTGTAGGATTGTTTTTTGATTTTGCTAATCTCAAATGTTGAAAAGACAAATAAACATATGTTATATAATACATAATCAAAATATTGTCCTCTTCCTGTATAAAAAATATAAAGAAAATGAAGTCAATATATTCATAATCTTTACTAAGGAGTCAATCATTTCCCAATGCTCATGATTTCTGAAAACTGAATTTGTATTTAGCTCCCTTTAGCAATATTATAGAAAGCTTATGTTACCCCTTGCATCAGCACTTTAGGCATTCCTATTCCATTCTTACTGGAGCTCAATGTAGACAGCTTGCACAGATGATATATGTACAACTATGGATGCTTATAACCAGGTTTGCTTTGAATGCTACATTTTACATAGTTTTTTGCTGGATGACCAAATTACAGAGGTCATTTCTTTCAAAATAATGCCCCACAAGCTATGTTGAAATAAACATTTCAATTATTAATTACACATCTTTTTAAAAATTGTAAACGTTTATAAAGTAAGATTTTATATGAGTGAGCAGAGAGGGATAATGTGACGATGTTTGAAAAACTTGCGATAATTTTTGGTGGTTTTATTTTTTTGGCTTAGATTAGAAATATTTATATCTATACTTAAGAAATTTAACCCTTTACATGTACATTTATTCAGTAAAAGTTGGATGATGGATAATGAAATCCTTGACTAATATGTTACAGGTGTCACGATAGTAAAGTGCTAGTACAAGTAAATTGTGCTCACACCCTGATATTTTAGATAGGCTGTACTTATGAGCTTGACAAGTTTATTTTCTGAGATGTGACCTTTTTGTATTCAGATATATAGATTTATTAGTGTGATAAAATTACAGATGTTTCTTTGATAATGTGTCATGCAGATGTAGGTATTTATTAAGCATGTAATAGTGATGAATACATGTATGTATATATTCACTAGACTGCTTCTGTGTCATCTTTGCTGGCCAAGTGTTTCTGATCCTCTCCACTCCTTACATGTTCTTTGACCTATCAAACTATTAAAATTGGAAGCAATTGGTGTTGATGCTTCTGTGTGGGAAACTTCTCATCAACCTGAGAACAAAAATAGCTTTTTCCTGTGTGCCCCACTTCCTCATCCTTCTTTCCTGTGAAAAAAAAATGCTGATGTTAATGTTTGAAAGATTTTTTCTTTAGTATTTTACCCCCAATGTATATAGTGGAAATCTGCAAATGGCTTTGAAATAGCTTACTTATATATCTTGTAATCCCCCCCCCCCCCCCCCACACACACACATACACACACACAAATATGATTGACAAAGATGTTTTGATACAATTTGATACTTGTACCCTTCAAAAAAATTTGTATATTTATTAATGTAAAATAAAAGTGCTCAGGATTTTGTACATAAATTACATAAAACACAAACTCTAGTCAAAATGTTTACTCAGAATTCCCTCTGATGATATTTTTACTTCATTTTAATAGGTGTTGTCAAATTTTGTACCAGTGGCCCCAGCAATAAGAAAGCTATGTTTTAAATGTTTGTTCTTCACAATGATGTGTTGTATTTTTGGCTAGGTGTATACTAGAGTATACATTTTATCTTTCATATTTATTTTTCCCAGTTGCAAGTGCCGTCCATGACTTTATTTTTTCCTCAATTATGCAGTTTAGTTTTAGATCTATATTTGTGTAACACATATACATGTATGTATTACTTTAGTGTAATTTATGACAGTTGTTAAGAGAATTTCTGCATTATAACATTACAATTTTTAAAAATTCCTATGTTACAGAAGGGTCTATGATTATTATGGAATCTTTCTATTTTATGTAAATTCTTGTTTAAAATATAATAGTAGTATTTATTACCTTTGTATTGTTTTCAAGTTTGAACAAATATATCATAATGTATTTTTATGCCCTTGTTATCGAAGATTCGGGAGCATATAGTTTTTCCTCTGTCCGTCCACATGTCTGTTTATCTGTTTGTTTATCTATTTGTCTGCAGAAACTTTAACCTTGCCCATAACTTTTGATTGGTTGGAGCTATGGCTTTCATATTTCATAAGTGTATTTTTTATGACAAGACCTTTCCTTGGGTACCAACATTTTTGAACTCTTGACTTTGACCTTGGAGTTTGACCCACTTTCGCAAAATTTTACCAAACTTTAACCTTGGCCATAACTTTTGAAAGGTTGGTGCTAGGGCTTTCATTTTTCAAATGCGTATTCCTACAAGACCTTGACCATTTGACCTTGGAGTTTGACCTACTTTTGAAAAACTTTAACCTTGGCCATAATTATTGAACGGCTGGTGCTATGGCTTCATATTTCACATGTCTGTTTCTAGTGACAAGACCTTCCCTTGGATACCAACAGTTTTGACCTTTTGTCCTTGACCTTGGAGTTTGACCTACTTCTAAAAAACTTTAACCTTGGCCATAACTAATGAACCATTGGTGCTAGGGCTTTCATATTTCACAAGTGTATTCCTTATGACAAGACCTTTCTTTGGATACCAACAATTTTGATCTCTTGACCTTGACCTTGAAGTTTGACCTGTATTTGAGAAAATCCACCATGAGCCACCATATGGGGGCATCAGTGTTTCACAAACACATCTTGTTTAATCTGATATTTGATTTGTCTGTCTGTACCCTACTCATAATTTTGTGATGTTTATTTTTATTTAATTTATTTACAAGATTATAAATACTTAATCAATAATAGTTCTTTTTACCTTTGATTTGTTGTAGGAATGTTCATTTTTTGCATCCATGTTATACAAATTTTATTAATTTATTATATTAAAAAAATATTGTTAAAATAGTGTTTCATTTTTCCTTTATCTAGATTTTATCACAATTTTGGTCAGTCACAGAGTTTAAACAAAAAAGGCAATCTATTTTGCTGAATTGTCGTTTGTTCCTCTCTCAGACACCTCTCCAATAGGCTCATGTCAAAATTTTTGACATGAAGTAAAAAGTATGATATTCCAAGGATTATTTCAAATTAAACAAATAATTCTGGATGTATTTAGTCTATATCTACCTTAAAGGACAAACTTTAGCACAGATATTTATTTCTAAGGAATTAAAAACGAATGCACTATTTCTCGTGCTTATCACTGTGATATATGCGTGCCAACGACAGAGGTGAATGTATGAGCTGTTGGTAGAGAGTGCAAAAAAGGCTCTAACAAGGAGCTTAATGCATTGTATTCATGATAGGAAATAGTACATCCTTACTCTGGCTTCACTTGTACAACATAAAAAAAGAAAGCAGGAAATTTTATGTTTTCTAGTTGTTGCTAAATAAGTTACATGTAAAATTGAAATTTCCTCTGTTGTGAAAAACTTTGGCACCAAACAAAATATATTGCAATAAAAAATTACTTCCCTCTTTGAGAAAACAAAGAGGATAAAAGCTGCATATTATAAGGGCCTTTAAAAAAATCCAGTACCTTGTGTAGAGATAAGTGTAAGTGTTTTAAGTGGAATTTTGCACCATAATTGTAAATGAAAATCTTTGTTGCATAATACACTCATACGGGTCAAGCAATACAATTCAATAATATTGATAGAGTGAGAGACAACAAAATTAAAATGTTTTATATGAAATAGGTGCAAGTTAATTACTAATGTTATTCCAACGTAGACCTTTTATTTCTTAATTCTAGTGATTGTTTTATAAAAGTGCAAATAGCAGATATAACTTCAAGAGTTGGACTATGTATATATTCAAGTTTCTGTATGGGTGATTTGAGATAGGATGAGGAACAATTATCTAACATGGTTTTTATAAGTATATTTCTTTGTTGTATATTCAAATTACATAGTAAAGAGAAATGAATTCATCATCAATAGCATTACATAAAGTGCATTATCTTTGTTGTCAAGGTATTTTCTTATGTCCACCAGTTTCTATCAGTAGGCAGTGGTCACTTGTTCAAAATCTCATTGACAATATTGTCTGTTCTTGAAACTATAGCATATTAAGATACTCTTCCATACTGATGTCAGGTTTTATTTTACTGTACAAGTATAGTTTGGAATTTTCTGTGATTTTAGATTAGTTTTGTTTTTATAATTATCTAGTACTATTTCTTCCAATGCTTTCTAACTGGATTTCAAATGTTGTCATTTTTTTTTTTTATCTTTGTTCTTGTAGTTATTGCTATTTATTTTTTTTTTTTTAAATTGACAGTATGATAGTATGCCATGAGGAAAATCCTTACTGGTGCAAGGACATGTTGATATTATTATATGATTCTTTAATCAAGGAGGGGGGTGTAGTATATTGACATTGTATTGCACACTTAATATAAAATTTTATATATATAAAAAATTATATATGGAATAACAAATCTCATTGAGCTCATTTTCGTAGGTAAAAAAATTTTTTTCGCGTTATAACGCGAAACTTTCGCGAATTAGCGCGAAATATAATTTTGTCTATTGATAAATGAAAGACAAAAAAAAATTATCAAAATAGTAATTTTTTTAAACAGATTATGTAGAGAAATTCAAAATTTAAGTATGGCTAATAGATCTATTTAAAAGAAAATTTTCGCCAAGGTTAGAATCTCATTTCTATTTATAGATTGGGGAATTCCAGTTTCAGTTTCATCCTAAAAATTTTATGATATTTTATTGACTATCGAATGCTTAGCTAAAAGGATACCACTTATTATCATTACAGTGTATAATTTTGATCAAGTACATTGTTTTTGGCTTCTTTATTATTGATCTTTCTTCTCGACAGGAAAAAGACGAGAAAAAACTACTTTCGTTTTAATACTGAAGAGTAGATCGAATAGAAAGTTGCTCTCACGTCCCGGTGGATTGTCAATATTCTTAAGGCTGGTAGGTTAACAAATACAAAAGTAAAATTTCATTTTTAAAGATAGATGTGACTTTTTTTTTCTAAAGGATGTAATGCGAGTGTGTAAGAGACGAAGGGTTTGTATATAATAGATTGTACTGTGTAATAATGGTATGTTGACTTTTTTACTACTATAATGGAGCAAATTTAATCAGTATACATGGATATATGTATTTAATGTTTTGTCTGTTGTATGTCTTTGTTTTCTTTCATTTTTTATTCTCGATATTGTTTTCATTTATATCTGATGAGAAATCAGACACAACAAGCATTCTGAGAGTATTGCATTAGCAATACTAGTCCCCTACCGGCAAGTGTAATCTGGTTCCCGTTAAAAATTGAAAATGTTATAATTCCGTCAAAATTCAATGAAGCGGGACGAAATGCAAACTTGATCTATAACTAATCAAGGTAAAGTCACATACCAAAAATCAGCTCAATATCTGCAAGCGTTTAGAAGAAAATTGCGGAAAACCCTTAAAATTGAAAAGGTCGTAATTCCGACAAAAATCAATGAAGCGGAACGAAATGCAAACTTGATCTGTAACTCATCAAGATACACTCATATACCAAAAATCAGCTCAATATCTGCAAGCGTTCAGGAAAAAAGTGCGGAAAACCAAGTGGGACAGACTGACAGACAGACAGAGGGACAGACAGACAGACAGACGGACAGACAGACAGACAGACGGACGGACGGACAGACTCAGAGGAAACCTATAGTCCCCTCCGGTTTCACCGGTAGGGGACTAATAATTAATGTAAGAGCTAGTTATTTTGAAGATTTGCATAAAATTCTTCATAATCTTAATTATAATTTTCTCAGATTCATGGGCCAGGGATGACTTAAATACTAACAATGGCTTTCAATAATGATCACATAACAACTGCAGTGCAGCGACTTTTGGAGGAACATTTCAATACGTTTTATCAGAGGTTTGAGTCCTTAGAATCCCGAGTTGAGGAAATCCATTCATGTGTTAGGAATCTCCAACAAGACTCTTCTGAGATTTTGAATATTGTTGAAGATTTGCAAAGTTCTGTCGATGCCACCAGAAAAACCTCACGTAAGACCAACAACTTAGTACGACGAATTTCTCAGAATCTGAATGGGCCTAATGACTTTTCCCGACTTTCTCGTCTCAAAAAAAGTCCGTATGGGTCAGGTGACAGCATCCAAACTCACTCAGGTGAGAGAGTGATAATAACACAGGATGGTTGCTATCACAGCTTAACATCATTAATAATCTAACTTAATTAACATTACATGTATAACAAATAATTGGTAAAGTCAAACCTTGAAAGAGAAAGTTGAATGCTGATAAGGATATAACAAATCTATGGACCCAACCTGCAATTCCAGCACAATTAGAATTACTTTTAAAATTGATCCAATTCAGTGGGCTCAGTTTGAGTTAACCTGTATATTTGAATGAATGGTACATGCATTATTGTATTCATAAATATTTTAGCTAGCATGTAAAAAAAATTGTGCACATACATGGGACAAGGACTAGTTGATACAATCAAACAAATTCATTCCTATATAAGTTTAATAAAATGGAAAAATCCTAGTTGGGGGAGGGGTTTGCTCCCCCCCCCCCCAATCCTTACTGGATCCCCATATGTTTAAATCAAGATTATTGCTATATGGCTTTCTTCACTACAATGTGATAATACAGCTTGAGTTCTGTTAACCATTCAAACAAACCTATTATATAAGTTAGGATACAAGCTAAAAATGAATATGACCAGATTAAAGTGACCAAATTAGATTATGGGGAATAACAAATTAAATTGAAGTGAAATTGAAATTCATCTACTGGTAGATGATAGAATTATATTGAAAACAACTTTATGTTCTAATTGAAGTCCCTTAATCAAAGATCAGGATCAAAATGTCAAGATTATATATTCTGAAGACATTATGAGTGATAAATTCTTATAAAATGACACAATATAGGCCCGTATCTCAGGCACCTGATGTTATTTATTAGATAGGGGGTATATTTTTATGCCCCACCATGAATATGGCCGGGGCATATAGTGTTTGTCATGTCCGTCTTCTGTCCTTTTGTCTGTCCTTCCATCGCGCTTTGCGTTTAGCTCAGTTCAAAGCTCATTTTCAAAGAAACTGTCCAAGATATTTTCATCAAACTTCATATGCTGATAGATATTGATTAGAGCTATGGAACTGCATCAACATTTTTGACCTTGACCTTTCCTTTGACCTTTACCTTACTTTTCTTAAATTAGTGTTTAGCTCAGTTTTAAAGAAACCATTCAGGATAGTGTTATCAAACTTCATATGCTGATACATACTGATGGGAGCTATTCAACTGCATCAACATTTTTTGACCTTGACCTTTCCTTTGACCTTGACCTCACTTTTCTTAAAAAAGTGTCAAATTTCATATGCTAATACATACTGATGTAAGCAATTCAACTGCATCAACATTTTTGACCTTGACCTCACTTTTATGAATTTGGGTTTAACTCAGTTTTAAAGAAGCCATTCATAATATTTTAATCAAAATTCATATGCTATTACATACTGATGCAAGCTTTACAACTGCATCAACATTTTTTGATCTTGACATTTCCTTTGACCTTAACTTCATTTATTTTAAATTAGTGTTTAGCTTAGTTTTAAATAATCCATTCCAAATATTTTTATCAAACTTAATATGCTGATATGTAAATGTGAGAACTATTCAACTGCATCAAAAATGTTTGACCTTGAACTTTCCTGTGACCTTGACCTCACTTTTCTTAAATTTGCATTTTGCGTAGTTTTAAAGAAACCATTTAAGATATATTTATGTAAGCTTATGCACTTATACATAAATTGGTGAGAATTTATTATCTATATCCAACTTTTTAGATTTCAATTTTAAAGAAACTATTCAAGATATTCTCATCAGATTTCATACACTAATACAAATTTTCATGTTGCATTACTAATATACCCATGGTGGGGCATTCATGTCCTATGGACATATTTTAGTTTTTTAATAAGAAAATGAAATAATGTCAGGTGCCCTTGGACCAGATTTTAAATTTGGACATGATTTAGAGTTCACTCCCCCCCCCCCCCCCTTTATTAGTCACAGGTGTCTGACCCTACCAAAAATATATCTTTTTATACAGTATTGCATGTGTATTACCAAGCTAGCTTCACCTAGAGCTGTACTAATCTTACTAGTCCAGTAACACTATTTTATCACTTTCTCTGGCTGCTAAATAAGCTTTTATGTTTATTTGTCCTTTGTTTCAGTATAACTGTTTCACCACTTTCTCAAGCTGCTGAATTAGATTTTTTATTGAATATGGTCATCTGTAATTTATATTTTATAACTGAAAAACCAAATCTCCTTTTCCCTAAGAAATGTAAGTAATTTGTGCAAACTAAGGCATTTTAGCCCCACCTCCCAAGTTTTTAAACTTCAGAAAACATGAAATTTTGATATGGTTTATGTTGTTTCATGTGCTCTGCAGCCCATGCCTTCCACCAAAAATTTTCCAAACAGTTTTACAGCTAAAAAAAAAAACAATTTCAAAAATTAATTATGGTGAATGATATTTAAATACATGCAGCCTCCAGTGACGAGTCTGGTGAAGCGATACCCCCGAGGAGAAGTCATCCTCCATACAGATCTGTCGTAGGAAGGCGTAGCCCAAATAATCACAGTCCTTCACAAGGCGTGTCAAAGAGGGCATCGCAGGAGCAACCAATAACCTTAAGGTACAACACAGACATAAAAGTTCTCTTGCACTTAATACTTGTGATGTAAACTAAATATTGTAGACAATGTGCTAAAGTGTATTTTAAGGCAACCTCAGAAGGTTAATAAGTAACACTATTTTTTTAAATATATGTAGCTATATTCATACTTCCTCAAAATAATCTACACTTTTTTTTTCCTTTTCTTGTAAATATTAAGATACTCACCATCAGAGCCTGTGAAATCTTGCCAGAATGGAGTATCTTGTGATGACAAAGGGGAGCTGAAAAATGATCTTACTGGTATTTTTTTTTTTTAAATCTTATTAATATACCTAGAGTTGCATGAACTTCAGTATCTTAATGTGCATCGATATCTTAAATAATATGTATTATATGTATATTTTACACAAATGAACAAGCAATCTGAATGGAAATCATATGTAAATGAAGATTCAAAAAATTTATTGCAAATTTTAGTAGGCAAAATGGAACCTGTAGATAGGGAATCTGTGGATTTCAAGCCTTTATCATCTGCAACTAACAATGGTAACAATTCCTTAGCAGCTAACCCCCAACCCACAGAACCAGTTGCTCCTCGACCATCAAGTAGTGAACTGCAGGAGGCATCTGCTGCCTCACGGCCTCAAGGAGCAGTTAGCTATGAAAGTCCAGAGCGCTTTTTAGAATCTATCAATATAGAAATCAGAGACCATAATTTAATGTCTGCACTAGGAAAGGTATTCAAAGGTACAGATATTTTGGCAAAACAGGCACTCTACATGTATATATTTCATCAGTTATTATACTGTTGCAAAAAAGTAATATGTATGTCATCATTTCTAAGGGGGTCATGCCCCGGTTTAATAGTTAAAAAAAGTTTTCCTATTTGAATACCGGTAAATTTTTTCTCTCCCTAGATTTGTGACTGGTAAAGTAAATGACTTATCTGCATAGTCCATTATTTTATAATCTTTTTTACTTTATTGTGGGATAATTTTGGCTTCAGTTGTTTTGGGGTACATTTATATAAATTTTATATTGTTGCTTTGCATTTGTTAATTGAACTCACCAATTTTTTCCACAACACTCACAGATTTTCCCTCCCACCCCAATTTCCCAACTGGACTCTACACCATTCTCTTGTTAGATGTCTCCAACAGTGTCAATAGTACCATCTTTAAACAAGTGGAGAATTTTGTGGGACAAATGGTGGATGGTATGTCTCATGCTTCATATTAGAAAATGCTATTCTCTGTATAACTTTGATTCATGTAAAATTGAACCATGCATAAACTCAGACATTTTTAGGGCCTGCAAGAATAAAGTAATCACTCTGTCTCTCTAGCTGTCTGTCTGTCATTCTCTCCATCCACTACTTGCCGGTGGAGGACTGAAAATGTTTACCTATACTTGGCACTCAGGGCCATTGAGCAGTGAGGGAATTCAGTTTATACGGTCTCATCCGAAGGACCGGTCTCCACATCCCCCAGTGGATTCAAACCCACGACATAAAGATCAGCTCCTTACTCCGCGACTCTAGATCTAGAGCAGACACTCTAACCACTGCACCATGCGGGCAACAGTTGGATAATAAAATCATTCTGTTACATAGGAAATATCTTTACTCTTTACATTGCATAATACGGTACTTGTTTCTATTCTTCAGATATTTCAAATTTCCTTTTTAATTTTTGCTTTATCAAGTTATATATTTTCCCATTATCACCACCATGGATGCACATTCTTAAGAGGGACCATTGCTGACTGGGCAGTTTTCTACTTTTAACCAGTACAAAGTATTGTATACAGGGAAAATTTTACACCCTGGATTTAACTTTTGTCCCTTTCCCCCTCATCCCAAGTGGGCGAATTCATGATGGAATGAATTCAAAATAGACAGAGTTATCTTTCATAACACAACTGTGTTTGGGGTGAATTTAAATTGGGGTGAAATCTTTTGCAAGTATGATAGGGCAAAAATAACACAGGCAAAAATAACCCTGTATACAGTACTTTAGTTTGAGAAATACTGTGAAACAAAGTTTCTGTGAACCTCTAATGCTAGGATTGGTAAACGAATTTTTTATCTGTAATTCATAGGGTTCAGTATTTTTTTTTTATCTTTACTTGTCATGTATATGGTATCTTTTCTTGATTTAGTATCACGGCAAAAATAAGGAATGATCCTTGTACAAATTGTATTTAGTTGAAAGGGAAAGGAAAAGCATAATTCATTTCTGAATTAACAGGGAAATGTCACCATTAAAAAAATGACATTCAGCATTGTTCACATCACTATTAATCTATTATACGGGAAAGTGGCTACACTCTGTGCTTGGAACCCTCTGCAATTTACACATTATTTTTCAATCTTGTTTCTCTTGCTTAGTGAAAAAAAAATCAGTTTAGTATTACATTCCATAGATGTGGAAAATTCAGCTGCAGACCACAACCTTGAGGAAATGATTGCCGTACTCACATTCGGGGGTCACTGTGAGGTCCTACAGCACTTTACCAATGACTACATGCCTGTCAAAGATGCACTGGGTATACAAAATTTATACTTCACTTAATTCTCCATTATACATGTGTAACAGGGGTATGGAAACACAAAACTCCTGTCAGGGTTCTTCACATATTTATTTCACAGTGGAGTGACACAGATTCATACTGATCATTATTATATAGCCCTGTAAATATCATAAAACAACAATAAATAGAATGTAAATGTATCACACATAATATTCCTTATTTTACATGAAGATAATCATTAGATTATCATCTTTTATATTTTACACATTATCGTCAAAGGAAGGTAACTCTCAAATATATAAATCTTTACATATTTCTCCCATAATAGTCATAAAAATATTCAAGATTATATAAAAACATATGAATCTCACCATTCTATGGGAATAGGCTTTCCCATGAATTTTCTAATATAGGGTACATGTGCAAGTGTCTATATGAATGGTGATCAATACAATGATATTTAAAAAATACTTTCTCTTTAAAAATATATCAATTGCTCACTTTGAACAATATCTGACATCAAATATATCTTTGATCATCATAAAAACATATAACCCAATAAACATCAAATTACTTCTATCCAATACTTAATATTGATCTTGTAATCAATAATAAATATACATCATAAAATAACTTTCTCTCAAATTCATTCATTCACTTTAGTAAGTGCAAATGGAAATAACTTTTGCATACTAAAGAATGAACATTTTAAGTATGAAATTTAGTAACTTACCAGAGAAGGAAATCTTAGGTCTAGTCAATGTCTTTTTTGTAAATACAGTTGAACTTCGATATCTCAAACACTGATACTGTAAACCAATTTTTATTCATGTGTGAGAAATATCCGCGAGTTTCGCGACCTTCTTTAACTCATGAATATTAATCGCCGCAATCCATTTATGTTGCTTTGTATTTGTAGAGAATGTTGCCTCAGTGGCAAAAATTAATTGTTGTGGATTGATTTTAAACAGACTAATCGCAAATAAAAGATGTCGCAAATAATAGTTGGTTTACAGTATCTCAAATACCATGGATATGTCTAAGTGATTTGGAAGTCCCATTACTTTATCCTTTTAAGTATTTTACCCTGGATATTTCGAATCCTTGGATATCTCAAAGTTATTTTTCGATCCAAATGAGTTTGAGATAAAGAGGTTTGACTGCATATGTTGTAAATATGTATGTCTGGTCTGATCAACCATGGAACAAAGAATGGTCATAATAAAGCGGGAAATACTCTAACCCAGTCAAGAAAACCAGTTGAATCCGACCTTTCAAATCGATGACCAATAAAAACCAAAATAACAATGGCAACTTCAAAACACCTGACCAAAGCCCTTAGGTGTATGAATAAGTACATGTATGTACAGGTAAGGGAGAACAAAGGGGTGGATCTAGGTTTTGAATAGCAAATGTAAATAAAAGTTAAAATATATTTTATGGTAAGTTCTATAACTTTATTTTACACAAATCCAACATATTACACATGTATATAAAAAAAGTATTAACTTGGATAATTCTCTAAATACATCATGAACAACTTACCCTCATAAAATTTTGGACTTATAAGGCTAGCTTTTTCATTTCTTGACAAAATTGTCTAATTTCACTGAATTTCTGCAAGGCATCAACTACAAAATCCATTTTCTTGCATTCTACCAGTATTCTTAGTTGCAGAGGCTGTTTAGTAATACATATGTACTGTATTTCCATTGTTGAAGCACGTAGTAATAGCCTGTAGGTCAAGAGTCATCTCCAAAATACACATGGCTTATGTAATTACAGTTGTACATATTATCTATGGAAAGAGTCCGCTAAAATTTCCATTGAATTTCTACAGGCAACCAGTTTTTCTTCTACTAAAATGTCCTCTAAAGTTCCTACTAAAATGTTCATTAACACTTTTAGAAATTCCACTTAAATGTCCTTCGTTCATTCAGGACTGTCAAGGCCTATGTTTACTTGCCATCATTTACAGAATTAAATCGCAAATGGATAGAGTTGTGCAAATTTTTTGGTATATGAATTAAAAATTGTAAGTTTATTGGCTTACTACATTAAATTTGTTTTTCAAGAAAAGGCCCATGTTGGCGGAAAATCTCCCTTGCTGTTCGGGCTGATCATGGCTATGGCTTACTGTAATAAGTTTGGTAAGTGATAATTTGATTAAAGTTTGAATGCTTAATTTTCAGTGGTGAGCTTAAGAGATTTTGGTTTTAAGATTTTTATGATTTACAAATATTTGAACATTAAAAAACCTGCACAATTTCAGCATTTTGAAAATCCTGTTAGCATCTTTTATATTGGGTATGGTTTTGATTAATCATTTTATTTTAGTTGTATGAATTCAATTTGAAATACGTTTTGTATAAAAGCATCAGATTTTTAAAAAAATTCATTTCTTTTTTAGCAAAGCGAGTAAAGGTAAATGGCCACATAATCACCCCCAGAATAATAATTTTTACTGATGGATATGCCACAGAGAGTTTAGAAAAGAATGCTTGTTTTGGAGGAGATTATGAACCTAATGCTAACAGGGTAAGCTCTTATATGAATAACTATTCATCTCACATATTGTAAATTTATATGTAAGATTTATCAAGTTATGAATTTTACTTTAAGTAATAATTACATTCGTATTAATTACAAATACATGTATGCTTACAAGCTGTTCTGTTAAGGTGGTATGGGATACCAAACGAAACTTCTCCTATATATTTATGTACCCAAATTAGAAGGATTTGAAATACCCCCACCTTTCAGTATATGAAAGTGTAATTTTAATAATTTTTTTTATTATTTTAATGAGAAATACAAAAACGATTTTTTTTCTTGCATAATTCTTTTTTCATAAGCTTAATATTATAGGCAGGTGTTTGCTAATATAAAGTGTTTATAAAAACAAAAATGACAAGAAATATGTCTTAGTATTTTTTTTAATTTTCAACAAAAATAAGCGTAAAAAACTGGGAAAACTTTATTTCGTGAAAACAGACGGATAACATTTCATGAAAGTCTACAATAAGAATGTATCTTAATATGTTAGCAAAGTGAAATAAACAAATTGAAAATATATATATAAATGGAAAATATAAAATGCATTTAAAATTTTTTGAATTAAAAGATCCGAGCGGAAGAGTTATCCTTCTTTATTTTCCAAGGGTTGAAAAAACCTGGGTGCTATTTTAGAAATGATGAGCATTTTTTCCCAACCATAAAAAAATCGCACTTTGTAGTTTTCAACTTTGAGCGGTTTTGAAAACAATGCATGGACAATCGCTTTCCAGGACGTGTCTTGTTTAGAGCAATTGCATTCATCTGAACGTTTTGGGACTATATACAACAGCTAGCTGATTTGTGACCAAACAGTTACTTCTTGAATTAAATAACAAAAAAGTCCAGCTCTGGTTAACGTGATAATTGATTGGTGATAATTCAGCACAATGTGAAGTAATCGCACTTATCCATGCCTCACCGCACACAAGGTGCTGTACAGTTACTCAAACAATTGAAATACAGCTTTTGCTTAAAAGTGTTCAAAAGCAGCAATGTTGAAACTACCTTTTACAGGGGTTTGCTTTTTTAAATGTCCGTTGTACAATTATAAGTAAATTTATATACTTGCGATTTTTTTTGTCTGTTTTTACTTAAAATGCCGACTTGTGAGAACTTGCATTGAAATAGGCTTCAGAGTGTTCTTTTCAACGGTGTATCTACAAATTTTGACCCGGTAATAAGCACTCATGCAAATCAAAACAATACTTCAAACGGAAATACGTCATAACGTGGAGGTATCCCATACTACCTTAATTGACAAATTTGGCTGTAATGCCTTTTCATAAGTTTTTCTTTATGTTACTCAAGTTTTGATTACAACTGGAGTATGAAAAAACTTGATTTAAGACTAATTATCATGTCTATATTTGTAGGTCCAGTCTGATTTATTTAAATTCCTTCCAGTTCTGGAACAAACTCCAGTCAGTGTTAGCTGTGTAGGTGTTGGTGAGTGCAACCAGGTCAGTATGTCCAAAGACACAGCCTTATTACAGTTTTAAGACATTGTACTGGTCAGGTCAGGGACAATACATGTATTAATTGTACTTGTACTATAGATACCTGTAATTGTGACTTAGCCAATCTGCATAGCGTCCAATCATAAAAAAAGTACTTTGGTGAAAAAGAAATAAAATATGGCTCAGAGAACAAAAAAGCATGGTGATGAAAATAAAGTGTTGAGGTCAGAAGTACATGTACACGTATGTAACAGGAATCTTTCTTTTAAAAAAAAAATACATAACCGTGAATAAACCATCATTTGGAACACACATTTATACTGTATATGCTGTTGCAGCTTACTTTCCAGTATTATTTTCATTCATTTAAAAAAAAACTTATCTGTGCTATACATATATATCTGATTTTCTCACTTTGTAGGTTTTCCTTCAAGACATTGCAAAGAGATGTCATGGACGCTTTTACTCACTATCTACCCAGAATGCACCAAAACTAGGTCGATATTACCTCTACCAGGTAGGCACACTGACATTCGTGCCATGTGTCTTTTACATATGATGCTCAAATCAAAGCTGGCAATTTATTATACTGTATACATTTAAAATATACTTGTTCTAAATGCTTTTTATAACTTTTGAATTGTTGTTTTTTTAATTTGTTTTTTTATATCCTGCCCTAAAAATGTAGAGATTATCAATTCATTTGTTCATTCATCAGTGCTTTAATTGTGGTAGTTTATTTGCTCACAAAAGGTTGTACATCAAATGATCAATTTAAGTCCTCCCCAACTAACATCATACTTCACACTTATGCCCTGTTCACACAGGGAGTTTAATTCAAATTAAATGTAAGTTACTGCCAATTAATTTTGAACCGCATTCACACAGAGAATTTAATGCAAGTCAATTTAATTGAAATTTATTTATTGCACATCAATTTACTTTGCATCAACTCCATGTGAATACTAAGCAAAGCTAATTCAAATTAAAATTTGATGCATGCATGATAGCACAATTAAGCCAAATGCAATTTGTTAGTGGTCAGATATAAATACTTAATATGCTTTTTTGAGTGAAAAACAAAGGAAAATTGAGTTTATCACTTAAAATGTGTACAGACACTATGATATTAATGTCAGATGTAATCTGCTCTGCATAAGGTGTTGTGATTTGCAAATGACGTCATAAAAGCAATACTCTTGAAATAAAATTCTAATGCATATTAGTTTATTTCGCATTAATTGTCATGTGACATCACACAGAAGTTGTTCTCTATTATGTAATTAGTTATGACTTAGATATAGAGCCATAACTCAAGGTTAATTTGACTTAGATATAGAGTCATAACTCAAAGTTCATTTGACTTAAACATAGGGTCATAACTCAAAATTCATTTGACCTAGATATAGAGTCATAACTCAAAGGTCATTTGACTGCAACATAGAGTCATAACTCAAATGTCATTTGACTTAGATATAGAGCCATAACTTAAAGTTCATATGACCTAGATATAGAGCCATAACTCAAAGGTCATTTGACTGAGACATATAGTCATAGCTCAAAGTTCTTTGACTTAGATATAGAGACATAACTCAAAGGTCATAGATATAGAGCCATAATTCAAAGGTCATCTGACAGAGACATATTGTCATAACTCAAAGTTCTTTGACTTAGATATAGAGACATAACTCAAAGGTCATTCGACTTAGATATAGAGTCATAACTCAAAGGTAAGTTGGCTTAGATATAGAGTCAGAACCAAAGTTCATTTTACTGAGGTATAGAGTCATATTTCAAAGGTAATTATGGCTATTGCATTGTTTGATTGTGTTTATTATTATTATTATTTTATCACTAGATTCTTCACAAGATAGCTGCAGTTGCTCAGGTTGTGATTTTGATTCAAGGTCAAGCTCCAGGGCTATAAAACTTGGATGAGCCAATGTTAATTGTTTCACTTTTACATAATGAATATAAAGGGGGACTGATTGAGACACCAAAAGTGATCTCTGATCTTAATTTTAATGCCTTGGAGCCTGGTCATTGTAGCTCTTGAGGTTAACCTTTTGTCAGGATATAAATATCTCTGATGCCAGATATGAGAATAACAATTCTTTTTGCATATATCTTGAACCCCCCCCCACCCCCCCCACCCCTTGATTTTAAGTAGAATTTTTAGCAAGGATTTAATTTTGGCATTATTAGCAAGGGTGCTGAGATCGCTAAAATTGAATATCACTAAAAATTAATTGCGTTTTATTTGTAATAGCTCCTTTAGTGAGCATTTTAAAATTGCTAAAATTACTTCTCGCTAAAAATAAAATACCAATTTTAAGGACAAATCACTAAATTTGAGTCTCGCTAAAATTACCACTTATATGGCATATCTAGAATAATCATAGAAGATTAAAGTTAGGGTATCCCCTTCATCCATTTAATTACAATCAGTGTCCTACCCCCCCCCCCTTTTTTTTTAATCTTTTGAGAGGAATAACTATTTTTATTTTCCAATAGAATGATATTGTTTATGATCTAGGATCCAGTAACAAGGGTAAAAAGTGCTCTTAGTCAGCCAGGAAATGCCCAGAGAGATCTCCAAGACATTGTGTATGAATTCACACAGAAATCACACTTCAGTGACATAGACAAGGTTTGTTTACTTACTGTTACATTATCTGTGCATGTATATTCTTGTCTATTTCTGTGTATAGTGAGAAAAGTACAGACTTTTAAAGTTCTTCCATTTTAGAATTTTTCCTTCATTTGAGATATGATGAACAATTGTTCTTATTTAAGGACATCTACACTAGCTTAGTGTTTCTGATGGCCCTTTCCACTCTCGAGGATGGGCAAAGTATATCAGGAACACATTGCTGTTGATTTGATTTGCTGAAATCATAATTTTTTTTTTATCTGAATTTCCCTTTCATCAACAGGAGGAAATTCGGGAGCTGTTAAGGCTTGATCATATCAAATGTCCAGTTCCTGTTCCACAGCCTGACAACATAACCCCTAAATCCCCACCACCAAAGCCTGAAATTCAGCCCACCCCAATAGTGTCAGAGCCCCCTCAACAAAGTTCACCATCTGAACCTAGTAATATTCAAGGTGATTGTAATATACCGCCGTCAAAACCACCTGAGAATGTGAATATACCCCCCACACCCTCCACAATGGATGTTCTTCCCTCATCTCCAGAAGTGGAGCGCTCTGATGGAGAGCTGTTTGATGAATATGGACCGCCCTGCAATCGATGTCATGCATGGGGATCACGTGTCATCAGGGGAGAGAACTGGAAGTGGCATGATGATCAGAATTCACCTGGAACTGTAGTCGCACACAAATCTGAGGGTATATATGCTTTGTGTATGCTATAAATTTAATTGCATGTAATGAAAGTTTAATTTATGTGTAGTTCCAAGCTATGATGATTCATAGTAAGTCAAGAATTTTATCATATGGAAAGAAATTGGAAGGGTTGTACCAATATTCCAGAAAAGGTAACAACCTTGATAGCAAAGTGTTGAAATCATTGACAGGAATGGTTGTTGTGAAATGGGACTGTGGGTCACATGGAGAATACCCTCAAGATAACCTGTACAAAATCACTGAACCAAGACGGCTCAAGCATGGAGAGGTCATTGAAGTTGGATGTTCGGTTAAGCGTGGTAAGGGAGATAAACATTCTACTCACTTTATCAGAAAGTTCAAGGGAGCTGTACTGATCACACATTATCCTCTGTATGTGTTTACCTGTTAGTCATATACTTTCAAATTACTACAATCAAGTTTATCTGTCATTAGTTACTGAATATTTGCAATTGGTATACTCAATTTACTCTCCAGAAGTACAACAATGGTTGCAAAAATGTGGAAGAATTATCTTTCACAGTCTACACTCAATTTTGTTCATTTGATGTGCCCTCTTCTTCTAAGAAAAGATAGGAAATAAAGAAAATAAGGTTTCATCATTTATTAATTGACAACCACTGGACTAAATAGCATATGACAGAAAGCATTGTCATTTAGGTGCCGATTCTTATTTGATAAATCATGTCTCCACTCAAAACCAGAATGAGAGTTGGGTAAGAGTAGATGTTGTGTCCAAAAATTTTACTAAAGTATTTTGCAGTCTTTTCTTTCAGATCCGAAAGTCTGTAATCATTCATAAAGATATTTTTTTTACATCCAGTATTAATTAATAATAACAATTCTATTTTTACATCAGTAAAGTGAACACACAGCTGATTCGTGCGATATAAAAGGTACCAAGTACAGATGTCTATGTTGCTTTTCCTAAATATATACAGTTTCTTTTGTTATAGTGGGTATTAATACTAATACATATGAGATGAAGAAGGTATTAAATTTCCTATTGCCTTCCTTAACATAACTAGGAAATGCACATGATCATCTGAAGAACAAGAAACCTACCTGGTAGTTAAACTGTGATGGGAAATAACATTAAGGAAAGTTAAGGAAATAAATACATACATGTACTTCTGGCAAAAAAAAATCTATAAGTGGAAAAATGAATCCTATGGATATATTATGAGTAACATTCTAGGGTGTGATTTTCTTTTCTGACAGGACCTGACTGGAAGAGAGGGGACGAGGATGGTGGACCATCAACCATAGGGACTGTCATCCGTAAACACAAGAACAACACTGTCTCAGTTAGTATTTTCCTCATGTATTATGTTTTTAGATCACCTCAGTCACTCAGATGACCTATAGCTAGCTCATTTTGTCCATTCTTATGTGTCATCATGCTGTCGTGAGTCGTGCATTGACATTTAAACACTTTCAACTTCTTTTCTGGAAATGCTGAACCAATTTCAATTAATTTTGGTACATAGCATTTATAAGTGAAAGGGAAATATAGATTTGGAATTTCATGGTCTCTGCCTTCCTTGAGCCTAAGACGTTGGGCCAAAGCCATCAAAACTGATGCAATTTTCAAAATATTTTTTGTTAATTCCTTGACATCAAGCAGTCAAACTGTTGGCATGACTGTAATATGCAATGAGCCATCTACCAAAATTGTGAAATTCATGGCTTCTGAATACTGGGTTTGGACTTCGGAATGGGGTTGTCATGTATTGGAAATGCATTATATTTTATAAAAATTTCTTCTTTACTCCTGAACATCTAGCAGGAAACTATTTGCATGATAATAGTGAGTACTCGATATTTAACTTAAAATAGTGAAATCCGTACCCCAGGGTCTATGGTTCAGTCCATAAGTAGGGGGTAAGTTGGTTGTACATTGAAAATAAATAATAACTTTACTCATGGAAATCTGACAAACTTTTTTTACATGACTTAAACCTCTATTATTATTATTTTGAAGGAAGGGGGGGGGGGGTGTCTAAAGTTGAAAGTTTGGAATGTTCAAATTAAAAAGAAAAGATTCTTCAATTGTTTTTTTTTCTTGTGTCAGATCATAATGAAGAGGATAACACCTAGTAAAATTATGTCATTGCTAGCAAACATTCTATTGATTACACATTAACTTATCTTTAATCTTTGCATTTTTATAATTGTTTCCTTGGAAATGACAGACATCCTTGTGCTCTGAGGTCATGTATATGTCACAGTAACAATACTCCACACTAATTATGATGTCTGTGTGATTAATCTGTAATTGAAGCAACACAATGTTTCTCTTTAAGGTGGTCTGGCCGATTGGTATTGTTGATCGTTACAGTTTTGGAGAAAGAGAAAAAGAAGTGGAAGTGGTGTAAGTAAAATTATCAGCAGCTTCAGGCAAAGGATGTATTCATCGTAACTGAAGAATTGACCTATAGGAGAGAACAATTTTCCAGAAAAAATCCCATTTCAATATCAATATCTATGTTCATTAGTTAGTTTATACTGTATATATGTCTGAATTTTTTAAATTTGCATTTTGAACCCAAAACTGATTATTTGCAATTTTAAGATTAATACCTTTAAAGATGGCTTAAACAGCATTTCACCATTTATAAGCACGACGATTTTTCATGAATTTTGGCCTAGAAGTCCTTATATTTTATTATATTTTATTATGTTCTGATCTAAGGAATAATTTAAAATAGAATTTTTTAGGGGCACCCCTGCCCTGAGGTTGAAATTCACAAAAAAACATGCAAAAAATAGGAAAAGCTGTTTTTGACAATGTGGTTTATATCTATACTGCCACACATCAAAGTCAACATAGCTCGGTTCGAGCTTTAACTCTCATTACCTTTGTAATTTTTTAAAGTCGTACTTTGAATCCACCTGGTGCCAAGCTTTTTTACATTTTTAAATTCTTGCCTTTAAAGCACTTTTTTGTATTTAATTTTTTTATTTATTTGATAGGGATTTGTATTTTCCTTCAATTATCTAATCTTTAAGGAGGCTGGGGGGTCAACAAAGTAACCATCAGTTATAACTTAATTTTTTAGATATATGATATCTTAAGCTGTCAACTATCATTTGGCAAAGAAAAATTGCATACATTTTAGTTTTAGAATTGGATCATATTTGTATATCTTTATATGGAGCTCTTCTTCTAAAGGAGATCAATATAGTCTGAAAATGGCCACAACCCCCTAGCCCTCTTAATGCATGTTCATTCTAATCTAACTAAACTGCAATCAAGCAGAACTATTCATCTGTGTAGCACACTTTCTTTGAGGTCAAGAACTAATCACAGTGTGTTAAATCAATTCAATATCAATTCAATATTTACAATTACATACACTTTTGAAGACAATGAACCAAGTTTTTTAACAGTATAGGGCTAATTATCCATAATTTCTCTTCCTTTGATTTCATATCATCAATGGCATCTTTTATAATTTTCACAGAAATGTGTTGTAAAATAAAATGCACACATACATTTCAAGTTAATTACAAATAAATTAGAAATAAATGATTACATGCTTGTAGCCTAAACTTATCTACTGAAATTAAAATCAATAAGCTTTTCATGAAGGCTGAAACCAATTCTGTCCCTACAGCTAGGTTACTTCTTTTCTTACCACAAGAGCATTCTTTGTAGATTACTGATTGGATGAAAACAAAAATGATACATTGAAAATTTCTAATATGAAAATTCATCCATAATTTTATCAAACATCAGGCACAAGATTCTTTTCTACTAGTGACACAAAGCATGCAATATTTATTTTCAAATACATGTATTCAGAATTATTTAAACAGAATTAATTTTAATTAATTACGAAATCTAATCTAACCTAATTAAAACTGATAGGTAAATACGTCAACTTTAATTTTCATGTGATAAAAAACGAAACTAAATCATACTTACAAATACATATATAAATAAATTGAAAAACTAGAATGATTCTTAAAAATATTTTGAGCATAAGTCTGGCTTAGCTAGGACCCAGCTAAGTCCGTTTTATGTTACGGTTTAAGACATACTTAGGTAGTACTTAGACAGGTCTTAAGATTGCACCTAAAACATACTTATGACCCTACTTAAGTCAAAAACATAGCAAGCTTTATGTTATGACCCCCAGATGCCTATGGCAGAGTGTTACAATTGAAAAAAGTGTATCTGCATTTGCAGATAATACTCTGATGAACAACATTTTTAGCTCACCTGGACGAAGTCGAGATGAGCTTATGCTATACCCCTGGCGTTGGCATCAGCGTTAGCATCGGCGTCCCAGTTAAAGTTTTAGGAGCAAGTCCCATTCCCAAGTAACTATAAGCCCTACCTGGACCAAACTTGCATGGATGATGCATCTAGGGATGGACACTACCACACTTGCTTCAGATGCTGGATCTGACCTAGATTTTCCAGATGAGTGACCAGGTTAAAGTTTTTGGAGCAGGTCCATTCCCAAGTAACTATAAGCCCTACCTGGACCAAACCTGCATGGATGATGCATCTCATCCTCGCAAGCCAGGGGTCCTGAGTCAACACATTGCCGTTGGACCCCTGGCATATTTCATTCAATATTTGTGGGCTGACTGTAGCGACGTCTTTCGGAAAAATTACAAATCTTGATTGTTTTTCTTATCTCTCAACCAATCACATAAAGCCATTCTATGATAAACAACTTGTAACACGTGCATTTGATGTGTCAACTGAATCCTTGTCTAAGTATTTATGAAAGCTTTAATTTGATTGGTGCTTCTCAATGAGAGAAGCAAGCCCATGATTATTGAATGAAATATGCCAGGGGTCCAACGGCAACGTGTTGACTCAGGACCCCTGGCTAGCGAGGATGGATGCATCTAGGGATGGACACTTCCACACTTGCTTCAGATGCTGGATCTGACCTAGATTTTCTAGATGAGAGACCAGGTTAAAGTTTTTGGAGCAGGTCCATTCCCAAGTAACTATAAGCCCTACCTGGACCAAACCTGCATGGATGATGCATCAAGGGATGGACACTTCCATACTTGCTTCGGATGCTGCATCTGACCTAGATTTTCTAGATGAGTGACCAGGTTAAAGTTTTTGGAGCAGGTCCATTCCCAAGGAACTATTAGCCCTACCTGGACCAAACTTGCATGGAGGATGCATCTGGGGATGGACACTACCATACTTGCTTCGGATGCTGGATCTGACCCAGATTTTCAATATGAGTGACCAGGTTAAAGTTTTTGGAGCAGGTACCCAATTATAAGCCTTACCTGGACCAAACCTGCGTGGATGATGCATCAAAGGAAGGACACCACCATACTTGCTTCAGATGCTTGATCTGACCTACATTTTCCTGATGAGTGACTAGTTTAAAGGTTTGGGAGCAGGTCTATTCCCAAGTGATTATTTAAGCCTTACCTTGACCAAACTTGCGTGGATAATGCATCTAGGGATGGACGCTACCACACTTGCTCCAGATGCTGGATCTGACCTAGATTTTCCAGATGATTGACAAGGTTAAAGTTTTTGGAACAGGTACCTAACTATAAGCCTTGCCTTGACCGAACTTGCATGGATGATGCATCTAGGGATGGACACTACCACACTTGCTTCAGATGCTGGGTCTGACCTAGATTTTTCAGATGAGTGACCAGGTTGAAGTTTTTGGAGCAGGTCCATTCCCAAGAAACTATAAGCCCTACCTGGACCAAATTTGCATGGATGATACATCTAGGGATAGACACTACCATATTTGCTTCAGATGCTGGATCTGACCTAGATTTTCCACATGAGTGACCAGGTTAAAGTTTTTTTGGAGCAGGTCCATTCCCAAGGAACTGTAAGCCCTACCTGGACCAAACTTGCATGGATGATGCATTTAGGGATGTACACTAACTAACCTGCTTCGGATTCTGGATCTGACCTAGATTTTCCACATTAGTGAATTTTAGCCATATTTTAACCAAATTAGCATGGATGATGATGTATCTAGAGATGGACACTTCCAGACTTGCTTTGGATTCTGAATCTAATATTGATGAATATTAATCTTGGGATGTACACTAACTAGGAAAAAAATATGTGAGATTTGCCTTACTTATAGATAACATTCGTCGAGGTGAGCTTAGTAATCTTTGATTACCTATGTTTTACCTTGTCACCAGAAGGACAGACAAACCTGGTACAGGACCAGTAATTTTACATGGTTATTGGTCCTATTGACCTGTGAATTAAAATGCTAAGCTGTGAACACAGTGTACATGCATGCATATGATATTTGAATTACATGTATATATTTTATATATTAACAAAGAAAATATAAATTCTATTCTTTCAAAAATATCAATTTCATTAAGGCTCATTGACATTTGAATTAATTAATCACTGGAGCAAAATATGAGTAAAACCATAATTATGTACAGTTGAACTTTGGTATCTCAAAAACTGATATCTCAAATACCATGGATATGTCAAAGTAATTTGGAAGTCCCAACCACTTATTCTTTAAGTATTTTACTTTTGATATCTCAAATCTAGAATAGGTTCCGGGCAGATTAGGGGATCAAACTTTTACACTGAAATATAAAGAAAAAAAATCTAAGATCTTCTCAAGAACCACTGGGCCAGAAGAGATGAAACTTATTTGAAAGCTTCCTGAGATACCAGGTAATGTAAATTCTTAATGTACAAATCATGGCCCCTGGGGTAGGATGCAGATACAATAGGGGTAAAACTTTTATAATGAAATAATAAAGGAAAAAAATCTTCTCAAGAACCACTTGACCAGAAGGGATGAAACTTATTTTAAAGCTTGCCGAGGTATTGTAGATTTTAAATTGTTCAAATTATGGGTAGTGGGTCCACAATATGGAATCAAAGTTTTACATTGAAACAAATAGCAAAATTCTTTAATAATCCTCTTCAGAACCACTGGATCTGAAAAGTTAAAACTTACGTGAAACCTTCCTAATATAATGTATGTTCTAAATAATTAAGAAAAAAGAACAGGGTACTGTAGTTAGGGGCCACAATAGGGGAGTTTTACAAAGTTTTACAAGGGACTTTATTGGAAATAAGTTGTTTGAAAATCTTCTCAAGAACCAAAATTGCACCGTTCATTTGCAAACAATTCCACCATGTTTGCTTATGATGTTGATGCCTGTTCAGGGTTTGACACTTAAGGTAGTCCACTAGCCCAAGACAACTGAATAGTAGACTTTTAACATGAGAGAAAGTCTTCAAAGTCTGCATTATTTATCAGTTTACTTTTTGCTTTATTTGCCTTCATGAGTACATTAGAGAGGTTGAGATTTCATACATGTACATGTACGGGTACGTCTAGTAGAAGAATTCCCTAAATTCCTCGTGTATTACGTCATCAGTTTTAACATTGACAAATTTTCTACATGTTCCTACAACTTGTAGAATGGCATCTACACGTAAGTGTAAACTTGTAGCTTTATACCGTAATAAAAATTAGTTAATTTATGTGTGAAAATGATATTGTTGTTCATTATTTAGAATTTAAGGTTTCAGGAACACTTATTTTGAAATTGACCATGTTTTGTTCACTAACTTAAGTCAAACTAATGTCACAAAACTACTAAATAGTTGAAACAGAGACACCGACTGCAGTCTACACATTCATGTTACACGTCATTAAAATCTCAACAGACAAATTACAAAAAACATGTACGTGTATGTCAAAGTTTGTGCATACGTACACATATGTGTACAAGTTTAAAATCTCAACCTCTCTATTATTGATTACAAAACATTGTCTTCTTCAACTAACTTTACTTTCAGTCCAATAGAAAAGTCCCCCGTTTTTAGTGCCTTTATTTTTAAACTAGTTTTAGAAAAAAAGTGTTCTAAAGACTGTTATCTCCATAATTATTCTCCTATGAGTTTCATCTTGGTTTATTGAATAATATTTTGTAAGGAAAAAAAGAACCACCTTTATGTTAAGTTAAACTACAATAACTAGAAGTCATTTCTTGTTACAAAAACTTTATTTTCCTTCCTTGCCCAAACTTTCAAAAAAGTTTGAGATTATTCCATACATGGGTAATATAGTTATAGCACAGAGAATTCACTATTCAATTGCCCCCTGGCCTTGATTACCTTATAAAAGGATCATGATACACCTTTAGAATATGATACACCTCTATGATGCACTATAGGATCGATACATCTTTAGGTCATGATACACCTTTGAATCAAGATACGCATTTATATCATGAAAAATAGTTATATCTTGATATATCTTTAGATCATGATACACCTTTTGATAATGATACACCTTTAGATCATGATACAACTTTAGATCATGATATACCTTTAGATCATGATATACCTTTAGATCATGGTACACCTTTAGATCATGATATACTTTTAGATCATGAAATACCTTTAGATCATGATACACCTTTAGATAATGATACACCTTTAGATCATGATATACCTTTAGATCATGATAAACCTGTAGATGATAATGATAAACCTGTAGATGATAATGATAAACCTTTAGATCATGATATACCTTTAGATCATGATATACCTTTTGATCTTGATACAGCTTGGATCATGATGCATCTTTAAAGTGACCATAACACCTCTTTAGAATGACCATGATGCATCTTTAGATCTTGATACGTCTTTAGGTCACATTGAACAGTTTTATGATGTTTTAATTTATTCCTGTCAAGAACTGCATTGGTATAATCTGAGAAATAATTTGTGAAAGACTTAGAAATAACTGCAGCACAACAATATGTGTTTTCCTTCCTGAGGAAGACTGGGTCATGAGGAAGGGGAGGGAGGGGTGTTCCAGTAATATGGCTAAAATTCACTAATGTGGAAAATCTAGCTGGTCTGTTTATTCAAAATATGTTTCAATATATGTACATTGAAGTTCTTGAATGAAATTTTTCAAAAAGATACTATACACAAAACTTCTAAATTTAACCTTATCAAATTTCCTCACATTTTTCCTTCGTCTGAATAGAACATAGATTGCTTCCTGTTAATTAGGAGTTATTTATTGCATCACACAGATGGTTCTTATATCCTGTATGCTAGTTAGGTATATTGCTGGAAATTTGACAGGGCAGTCAAATTCCACTGATGTAAGAGTGTGTTTTTTTAAGAAGATCAATATTAATCTTGTCATTCCTGGAAAATAGGAAATAAAATAATATCACTAGCTTAGTCAGGGCCAAGTTTCCAGAGCTGTAAAAATAATTTTGCGTTTTTTTGACAGGAGTAGTGACGCGGCATCTCCTCCTCCAATGCCTTTTGCAGAGGGGCCAAGGGAATCCGACACAAGACAACCTATGGGTGAGTAATTTTAAAGATTGTGCAAAGCAAAATTGAAAAGGGGTGGTGGAAATTCAGACAACCAGCCAGACAGAGCAGTCTTAATAATCATTCCAATCATTAACTCAGACAGAGTAAAAGGAAAACCGAACCTGATCATACATGTTACATAGGGAATATCTTTAAAAATCTTCTTCTCAAAAACAACTAAGCCATTATCACTCATATTTATATAGAAGCAGGCTAAGGAATACCTTAGAATCAAGTAGAATCAAGGTTGTTCAAATTATGACCCTCAGGGGTTGGGGCAAAACAGAGGGTAAAAGATTTACATAAGAATATATAGGAATCATCTTTAAAAAATCTTCTGCTCAAGAACAGCAAAGCCATGATTAATTATATTATTATAGAAGCATCCTCAGGTAGTGTAGATTCATATTTGGTGAAATTTAGGGTGGGTAGAGTGGGGCAATGATGATGTACAGAGCAATCAGAGTTTTATATAGGAATACAAAAAAAAAATCTTTAAAATTTTTCTGCTCAAGAACTGCAAAGCCATGATTAGTAATACTGATATGGAAGCATCCTTAGGTAATGCAAATTTAAGCTTTTCAATACTAAACTGATTTCTGCTTTTTCCTAGCCAATGTGCTCAGGTGAGCAATATGGCCCATGGGCCTCTAGTTTTTGTTAGTTATGTTATGTTGATGGAGATGAAGATGGACAAGCACAACATGCCAGTTTTTTTTAAATTCCATATATCCTTCATAAGAGACGAGATGACATTATGAACCTCACCTCCTTCCAATCCTTTGCATCCTATTGTTAAGAAAACCTATTGCTTTCTGATCAGAACTTTTAAAGAAATTCAATTTTTAACCAACTTCATAGGGAAAAAAATACAATTCTCGTTGCAAACTTTTTTAGAAGGAGAAGTTATACTTTGGCAGTGGATTGACGAAACAAATATGCTCCATACACTCTCAAAAGAAGAGTCAGCAAAGCTGGAAGATGTCTACCAGAAGAAAACTGGAACAACACTTGTAGGATACAAGGGTCTACAGTGAGTATTTATATAGGCATATTTCAGTGTATTTCAGAAGTCTGGGCCAATACTTGTAGGATACAAGGGTCTACAGTGAGTATTTATTTAATCACTGTCTAGTTAGTAGAGTATGCCAGGGCATCAACGATAGTTGGAAACGTGGGATAATTTGCATAACGGGCGAAGCCTGTTATGCATAAATTATCCCACGTTTCCAACTATCGTTGATGTCCCTGGCATACTCTACTAACTAGACAGTGATTCCTTATATTTCCATTTCATTGTGAAATAAAATTGTAAATTTAGATTTTAAAAATTTAGACTAATAGATTTGAATTACACGAGGTCTCACATGTCAATTACAATAGTCCCCGCCCACTGACGTAAAACACAAAGACAGCCGCACGAGGATTACATGCATATTAGGCCTTCTTACCACCTGACCTTTCGCTTGGTGAAATTTACATTCCAGTAGAATGATCAAGAAATCAACTCAACTAACTTTCAAAGAGTTATCAAAGAGAAAACAAATAGAAATGGAAATATATAGGCATATTTCAGTGTATTTCAGAAGTCTGGGCCAATACTTGTAGGATGCAAGGGGCTACAGTGAGTATTTATATGGGCATATTTCAGTGTATTACAGAAGTCGATGACATTTATAGGATATAACAGGCTAGGTGAGTATTTATATAGGCATATTTCAGTGTATTACAGAAGTCTAGGATGATATTTGTAGGATACAAGGGGCTAGGTGGGTATTAATAGGCATATTTCAGTGTATGGCAGAAGTTTGGAATGGTACTTGGAAGATACAAGGGGCTACAGTGAGTATTTATTAGAAATATTTCAGTGTATTACAGAAGTTTAGGACAATACTTGTACAATACAGGGGGTGCTGTTAGTACTCAGAAGCATATTCCAGTGTATTAAAGATTATTAATAAAGAAGTGAAAAAGAGGGCCCTGTGACTGTTGTCATTAAGACAATACAGTATTATAACTCTTACTTTTTATGCTTGGTAGGTACCAGTCATCTTCCCTAGCCGAGGGCTTCTGATTCCCTACTCTCATTTCTGAGGAGAGTAGCAGATCAGAAACCCATGGCTAGCAAAGATGGGTGCCAGTATGAATGTATGTTACAGAAACTTCTGGAGATTTCATAACAGTCTAAAACTCTTCTCCAATAATTTCTAAGATCAAATTGAATACATATTAATATTGTACATTATTTAAGGTACTGGATCATTGATTTATGTAACCACTATTTTTTTTTTTTTAGACTCCGCTGCCAGCCCACTCAGATGAAGTATAGGGATTGTGGGGGAAAGAGTAGAACTGGAAAATTGATTCGTAAAGGTACAGACAATTTTATTACTGCGGCACTTCCTCTGTTTATATTTTTCTGAAAATCAACCACAGTACTATAATTAAAGTTATGTAGTTAAATGATATACTTTTCATATTTTTTTCATTTCAGTGTGCAATCACGATGAAGCTGAAACATATTATTGCATTGAAACATTGTAATAACAATGAAGAAGCATTAGGAACTGCTAAAATACAGCTAGTATATGGAACCATTCATATTCTGGTGGCTTAAAGCATAAAATGAAAAATACAAGGCAGATTTCTAGTACAAATATTTTATTTTTAAGACTGGTGTTTTGGTATAGTCAGATTTATGATTCTTTTTTCTCAGATATTCTGATATCTACATCATATGTGATTACATTTATGTATAGCTTATATTTCTAATCAGGAACCATCTATTTTGTGTATTTGCAAAAATTAGTCGTCGGGGATAGATTTCAAACTGACAAGTAAAGCTGTCTGTAAAAATTTATCATTGAACAACAAAAAAAATTGACTGCATATAAATAGGTATCACATGTAAAGATGTGATGAAGTTTCAATGCTTCATCTTTACAATATTTATCTGAACAATGTTGTTCTTATTTTAGGATTTCAATATTTCACTGCTCAGTGCCTGCAAAACAAATGTATATTCTTGTATTAAAAGTATGATTAAGTGTTTGTTATGCATGACTCTCTTTGATATTATTTGCTATTTATTATTTATACAGCAAATTGACTGAACTTTTTTTGGTTGCTGCTGTAGGTTCAGTATTGTACATATGTAATTTTGATAGGATTCATTTTTAGTCACTTGGACACAATGCTTCAAGTAATTGTTATTCATAAATGCCACCAAAAAATGATGTTATATTAATACATTACATAGAAATATTGATACCGCTGATTCATGATTATGCAAAGCAGTCCCTTATCACAGGTGCTTGTTTCATAGGGTATGCTAGACTGTTCAAGTCTTACAGAACAAGGATACTGTATGAAACAAGCAAATGTGTTCTTAACCTATAATTATGCTAAATTTGGAATGTGCACCAACAATATTTAAGCTGAAGGAATTTATTTTAGTATTCAATATTTTGTGTACATTAAAAAGGACGTGTATTTGATGTTACTTGTAATTCACTATATCCTAATGAGTAAACTTTATTAATTAGTACTTCAAAGGTAAAATAGAGACTCTGTTATAAAAATGTTCACTATAATTTTGGATGGCAACGATTAATTAAACATCACTTGCATTAATATTATTTTAGCACCTTTAAATATTTTTTATTCACTATTTAATCATTGTTATTTTATGGGGAGGGGGGTTATCAAATAAGAAAGATGGAATATGTGTAAGTTGCATCAACTCATGTACCATACAGGGAGTTTGTATAAAACTTAATTCCTGTTTGTTTTATATATATATATATATATATATATATATATATATATATATATATATATATATATATATATATATATATATATATATATACCATTTTGGTATGCAATGTTAATTGGTGAATGAAGTCTTTTAGAATTTGTGAATTTCTGTGAATTGATGTACATGCATGTATCTAAATAAATTCTTGCAGATTTTTTTTTTTTATTTAAAGTGTTTAAATTATTTGTCCAGTCCATATATTTCTATTGTAATGAAAATTTAGAATCTGTTATTAATGCCCTGTTCACATGGGAAGTTTAATTCGAATTAAACAGAAGTTACTGTGAATTAAATTTACATGTAACATTTAGCCTGACAAACTTATTCTATTATGCAGATAAACATCTATTTCTTTTACCAGCAATTCACAATTTGTAGTCGAAAATATTTCATGGTTTTCCCCATTTAATTTAAAATACGTAAATTTTTTTATTGAAAAGTTATTTCCAAAAGCCAATTATTGACACCTATTTGTCCATGTTTAAAAGAAATTCAAACAATAGCTCTTTACTTCTAGTATGATTGACTGTATATATATATATATATATATATAAAAATTATTTTACATATAGAGCTGACACAGTGTCTGGTCTTGACACCTACCTATTTATTTCAACTGTAAAAAGACATAACAGAGCGATTTATTTCTTCTCTTTTATTTACAGTCTTTTTATTAAACATATCAACTTTGCCTTGAAAACAAAAGCTTAGTACATGTGTACAACAAATTTCAAAGCACAAACCCTTGGAAAACAATCTATTCAGTTGAACTTTGATATTTTGAATTTTAATATCTTGAACAGTGTGGATATGTCAAGGTGATTTGGAAATCCCAACCACCTTAAAGTTTTCTTAATCCATTTTAACCTCAATATTTCAAACCTTCAAATATATATCAGAAGTTTTTTTCTCAGTCCCATTGAGTTTGAGATAATAAAGTTTGACTTAATTTATAATAGCTTATATGTTTTTTGCACAACTCTCAGACTTCTATTATTAAAAATGAATGATATCAATGTTTCTTTCAATTTTTTACACTACATGTACCATTGAAAGTTAATTGTATTTAATCTTGATGATTTATTTCGATGTTGAAAAAGCTACTGCCTTTATCTTAACTTAAATAATGAGGCTTTTATCTTAAATAGTTCAATTTTTTTTTTTTAAGTTCTGAAAATGGACAGACAGAAAAACAAACAGATAGACCAAAATTATATGCTCATAGTTTTCAGTCACAGAGGTTGCTAGTCAACTTGTGTTGACACAAAGACTGGGTGAGAAATAAAATTCAGTGACCACTTGTCCCAGGTGACGAGTATGGAATCATACCCACTCAATTGTTCCTGTGATGATTTTACTCATCCCTTATAAGCTTGCTTTTTTCGCCAAGTAATGAAAATAATTAAAAAAAAAAACATTAAAGCTTGTTTTAGATTTCTTTATCTCTTCGGAATGTGTCTGATGTACATCTGATTTATTCAGAGTCTAAGTCTCTTGTCAAATCTGGAAGTGCTTTGTTTCATTTTCATGAAATAATTTTGAGATATGTAAACGGAAGTCAATAGTCATGCCAAAAATTTTACTCATTACCAGGGACAAGCAGAATATGACATTCACGAGTGCTTTTTTCGCACCCTGAAGACAAATCTGCTTTTAACCGCACCTATATATGTCTTGGTTTATATCACAAATCACCAATAAAAATAAAATAAATTGAGACTATCATATTTGAAACGTATGTAAACAAAAAATATGAACAACATCATAAAAAAATACTTAATTGGTTCATTTACACCATACAACAAATTGCATTCAAATCAGTTCAAGCTGAATTTCACACAGAATATGGTGATTCAAAATGAATTCAAACTGAAAATTAAAATTGCAAGTATCGGAAATATTTGAAACATTCATCCTATTTACAGTAAAACAAGTTTATGCAGAATATGACTACAGAGTATACCAAACTCGTATAGAGTTTTTTATTCAAAAAGGATTTCTTGGTTGGAAATGGGAGACAATTTTTGCAGTCACAAGTGGCTCACAGTAATTTTGCTGTTCTTTAACGTAGCATAATATCAACTGTCAAATGAATATTTTTTGCAAGAATTTCATTCCAGTTTTAGTTCACGTCATTATATTGTCACCTCTGGAACAAAAGAAATGATATATTTCAAATAAATATATTTAAGCAAATGGTAATTCCAACAAATTTAAGCATTTTTATGTTTATAGCATTATAAGTATCTTTTTAAAAATATTTTTGTACCTATTCATTAAGTCAGAAATTGATGGCTGCAGATTGCTATAGCTTTATGGTTGAGAAAATTCAGACAGAACAAACCAGAGATTTGTCTGTTGGACTTTGTCTGGTTTGTCTGTCCAAATTTTCTCAACCAGAGAGGTACAGCTAGTTTTGCAGCTTGGAAATTAATACATGTATCTATAAATTCAAAGTACATGCTAGAGATGGACATTTAGTATGGTAGAATCATGACAAATATATTGACAAACCTATACGCCTTATCTGATACTCGGCTCCTGTGGAGACATTTCTTTGACACTTCTTGTCTGGAATGACTCTGTACCTGAGATAAAATTCAGGCAGCATTTTTTGAAAAATAATTTATTTTATTCAATTTTTGATAGCAACATTTCAACATCCAAATTGAGATAATAAGAATTTAAAAGTATTTCAGCAGGGGGGATCACTTTATATTGATATATTGATTTTTGTGTGTTAACTATTGATGAATACGGTACTGGCCATTAAATGTATGTTGCTTTGAGTATAAAGTTACTATTCAATAACCCCATAATACAAAACAATGTGCACTGATTCAAAATTACTTTTAACTTTACCACATCCCCTTGAATGAATTAACACATCTTAAAAAAATTAATGCTAGTTTTAGACTTCACAATGAATTACCAACTGCATGTATATAGCTTATCAGAGTTAAGATCTTACTTTTGATTGTCACACTTCACTACCACTGTTACAGTAGTAATAAGAGAGAATAGAGAAATAATAGAGAATTACCAACTCTACAGCTTATCTAACTGCCCAGAGTTATCTTACTTTTGATTCTCACACTCTACTACCACTGTTACAGAAGTAAAATAGAGAATAATAGAGAATAGAGAAATAATAGAGAATTACCAACTCTACAGCTTATCTAACTGCCCAGAGTTATCTTACTTTTGATTCTCACACTCTACTACCACTGTTGCAGAAGTAGAATAATAGAGAATAGGGAAATAATAGAGAATTACTAATTATATAACTTATCTTACTACCCAGAGTAAAGTTCTTACTTTTCATTCTCACATTCCACTACCACTGTTCCCTTGCCCTGCCGAGTCTGGTAAATGTGTTCTATTTTGTCTGAGGTGTCCCCAAAGTGGTCCCTCCATCGACCATCTTTATCCCTCCATTGCCATTGTCCTTTCTTCTCAGCTTTAAATAAACACAGAATTTATGACTTTTGAACTGCACATATATACCTGTTTACAGTATAACAATCACAATAAGGACTGTGATAGCTGTATATTAATTCCAGTGGTGGAAATCACTTTCAAAAGGTGAACTGAAGTTGATTTTAGTTTATAACAAAGAATTACGTAAAAAGGTTAGGACAAAAAAGCTTTATTCTGTGAAAACAATATAACGGGTTATTTAACGACTGTCAAAATTAGTGATTTTATCCTTAAAAAAATTGGGCATTTATTATATTAAGCATAATTAAATTTTATCAATTTTAGCAATAACTCTATTTATTTTCTATGCCAATATTTGTGATTAGATTATTGGTGACTTTTACTTATGGCATTATCAAGACCATCACTAAATAATGCCAACATTGAATGTTAGCTAAAAAATTCCTGTTATATGGAAAATCAACTTTCTTTTTTCTTTTTTTTTGATATAAGTAATGATGAATGCACAATATACTCACTTGCTTCCTCAAGAGTTAAGTCCCCTGAAATTCCTGTGGCTCCTTCTGTAACTATGCACTGTGGACTGAAATGGTTCCAGCAGTGTAAAATGTTAAAGGCTGCATGGATATATCAATGTTTAATAAATTTACAACGTAGTTTTCATCTAGCATTCAGATTAGTCAAAGACATAAAGAGGGGGTAACACATTGAGACTTACCAGACCTCAACGTCATATTTTCCAAACAATCCAAATCTATAATTTCCTCTTTTACCATTATCCCATCTCACCTGTGAAGGAAATGTCACATTTATTTATTTACATTCCAAAACAAACAAAAAAAATCTAAATATACATATAACTGAAACTTCCTTATTCAAGATGGCTCATGTACATGTTATATAATGACAGCCAAAAGTTAATCATGGTATGATTAGGTAATCTTTGAGTATGAGAATAGTGCAATGCAATATTCACACATATGTAATGCAATGTAATATTTGTAATGCATTGTAGTATTGATACATGTGTAATGCAATGTAATATTGATATGTATGTAATGCAATTAATCTAACATTGATATGTAATGCAATATAATTTTGATATGTATACACGTAATGCAATGTAACACTGATACATACATGTATGTAGTGCAATGTAATATTGATACATATGTAATACTATACAATTATGGACTCTTTCGGTGGTGAATATGGTTTGTTATTCACCAGAAAAATATCAATATTGACCGAGGCGAAGTCGATTTATTATTTTATTATATTGTCCGGATTTGAATAAATAAGACACTGTAGGCTGCATGATGATACCACTTTCATTTACGAACTTCTCTCGTAGAAAAATAAAATAAATGTCCAGATTACAAGTTATAGCTTCCGTGTTTTCCTTTTGCTGTTTGTAAGACATCGAATTGTTCAGAAAATAAACCTGCGCTAGGCTTGGCTAATGTTTTTCCTGCTCAGATATACAGCTGGCTCCAGCCGTTGCAACCATTGTTTACAACGTTGTTTGAGGTGTTGATTGTGACGTCACAATGCCGCTGCACGCGCACCGACCCTCCGGTGAATACGGCCTCAAAACCAGTGAATATGTAGTGTTATGAACTGTTTGCGTTTGTATAGATTATATAGGGACTATAAATAGACTATATAATAAAATGTAATATTGATACATATGTAATAAAATGTAATATTGATACATACATGGACAATACCACTGTCCTCCACTTTGAAGATGACCCCCGAGCTTCCCTCTCCCCCGTCTTGGGATCCCCACTCCCAATCTTTACCTGTAACATGTCAAACAAAATGTCTGTCAAATCTCTACTGACTATAGTGTAACTGAAGTCTTAAAAATTTCAACAAGCAGTATTTTTCTATCTCACACTTGTGACCTACACAGGTAGAAAAGTATTATGTTATTGTGGAATCATTTTAATTCATAAGGGGCATTTTTATCGATTGCTGAAAATTGGAATATAATTTCTTGGACAAACATCTATGCATGATAATATACCAGTATAGATCAATATTCATTTCACATTGTAAATTCGTGGGAAAGGTGTATACTTGATATCCACCTACATCGGACTCCAATGATTCCAAAGTAATTGCACAAATGATACATCTCTGATATGTTTCATTATTTAAAAATGCTTAAAGCAAATATTAAATATGATTTCAAAAATAATTTGTGTTTGGAGACTCAAATATGGTTTAGAGGAAATGTACATCTTTAATTTATATCTTACAGCCAAAAAAAAAATTGTAAATGACTTGTATTTTTAGGTCTTGTCTCCTAAAACTCAAAGGATTTCTGGAAAGAATATATGCAACATCCTACTCCTGAGAAAGAACTACATATACATTTTGAAAATAATTTAAAAATATCCACCTCTTCTAGCCCTGACTCCTACCGCCACCATCATTCCTGGTGGAAGCATACGTGGCTCATCCACCATCCTGACATCCTTAGCTCCACTTTCCGCTCCATACCTGTACTTTCCACGATTTCCGTTGTCCCATTCTACTGTCAAGTAGCCTAAGAATAAGTCAGTTCAATACATTAAACACTGAAGAAATAGATCATACAAGATTTTTACAATGACAAAATTATATGCAAACTTTGATTACTTTTTTTAATCTATATTTAAAATACATGTTCCAGGTACATGTATATACATGTATTTGTATAATTTTTCTTTAAAGAAAAAACCAGGTGAGTAATTATGGTAGTAAATAAGTATCCATCATGGCTGACAAAAACAATATATTTTCCTTAAAATGCATTAGATCTACCATTTCTTCCTCATGCATGTGAGAGGTGAATTGACTTTTACAGAATATCACCTCTTGATTTGTGGGCTACAACAGTCCCGGGCAGATTATCGTCCTGGTTCTCCCACCTCCAGTCTGGGCCTCGTCTCACCCGGGAACCAATCGGGGGCATCTCCTTTGTCTCTATGGAGCTACTGTCAAATCCCCCTGTGGCACCAACTTGTGCTTTTTGCTCACTCTCTCTGATCATCCTTAAGGCCTCATCCTAAATGAAAATTAATAAAATCATTAATAAGACACATCACTTTATCCAGTAAACCTAAATGAATGACTGGTATGCACTAATTGGAAATGGCTGTAAAGAATTCATGGAATTTGTGGAACATACAACCTGAGCTGATTTATTTGACTTAATTTTGTTATAAATGCATGAGCTCCCTTTTTTACTGGCAATAGCTACCGGTACATATAAATACACCTTTCAGTGTGTCCAATGTCATTATAGTCTGAACGTTGATGCTCATGGAATTCTACAATCCCCGTAAAAGATTTATACAGACTCACCACTTCCGACTCATCAAAACCTGTCCCTCCCTCTGCCTCCTTAATTTTCTGCTTCATCTCCTCATCTGACAACTTAGGGTCCCTCAGGGCTCCATCATGGATAACCTTGGCTACTACAGTCTGTAAATAGTTCAAATTTGATTTGAATTACATGTGTGTATTTAAAAAAAAACTGTGCTTCAAAATATACTTTGTAACTGTATGCTTTATGGGAGGTAACTCCTACCAAGTACTTTTGCAAAGCCTCCTATTTACTTTTCTCTTGTCAAAACTTCTGTAATTTTCAGGTAACTTTTGGAAATTGATCAATTTATATTCTCTCCCATGACCATTTTTATATCAATAAATCTTATTAATCAAAATTTCACTAACTTGGTTGTGTTTACCAGTTTTCTGACTGACTTACATTAATAAGGAAATGGTGACTTAGTTTCTTGACATCCCCTGGTTGTACAATGGTTCCCCCTGCAGTGTTTACAAGTTGTCCCAATAAAGTCTGTAAAAGCAGTGGCACTTGTACATATAATAAAAGCATGAGTACATAAATACACTCAAAACAAGAATAACTTTTATACTGGAAATCAATCATTCACAAAGTCTTCTCTATATAGACTTTGAAATTGGAACATGGGGAATAAATTTTACTTTTCGATAACAGTCAATTGAAGTTTTTCTTTTAGAAGTCTCCTGTTGCATGACCTTACCATATCTGCATCGTCTCCAATTGGAACACAAGCAAGGTGTCTGGGATCTGTGTGGGTTCGGAATCTCTCTGCAAACTCCATCAATTTGTGCCACACCTGAAAATAAAAATGTGCCATCAACCAAACAAATTATTCATTTAATTTGTGGGAGTCAGTTATATTTTAAGTTATTAAAGATTGAGGAGTTTGCTACGATATAATTTTGAGGGTATATATCCCATTTTAAAGGACATTGTCTATATACATGTATCAACATTTGTTAAGGTTGTAAATTTTTAGCTAAGAGTTTTATATCCAAGATATCCACAAAAAGTTGAAAAGTATTTAATTTGTGGGAGTCAGTTATATTTTAAGTTATTAAAGATTGAGGAGTTTGCTACGATATAATTTTGAGGGTATATATCCCATTTTAAAGGACATTGTCTATATACATGTATCAACATTTGTTAAGGTTGTAAATTTTTAGCTAAGAGTTTTATATCCAAGATATCCAAAAAAATTGAAATCAATTTGATTCCATATGATACCACAGTTCTGTTTATAAAACCTTTGACATATATTTTTTCCAATAAAAGTTCACTGACCTCTTTCTTTGTCCCTCCTTGCTTGACTAAGGTATCTGGTCCATTAAATATTCTCTGGTCTGTCACTCCACCATCAGTCAAGAGAATAATGCGGGGATAGATCTTACGCTCCCTGAATGTCACCACCCCTCCTGAATGTACAAAATCACGCAATTACAGGGGTATTTATCATCAATTCCTAATTTATTAATTAGAAATTAATGACCTAATACTGCACATGAACTTTTTGGAATTTTAGTTCTGAAAACATGACCATTTCAGAAGCAAATCTGTGTCAGTGAAATGTTCTTCTTTACTTAAAGGTGAAGCCATACTCTTTGATGTCATAATGTAAACCCATATTGCTACTACTGTGAATGGTTTACTTTTAAATAAATGCAATTACGTTATTTTTTTTATAACGAAAATAAAGCATTTTTGTATATTCAATTATATATTTTCAAGATTTTGATTCTTCTCAAATATTTGAAATTGAATATTTTAAGTATGAAAATTGACATACGAAAATCTATAGCTAAGGTTTATTGCATCATTAGTGTAGTGTGTATGCCTTTAAATTTTGAATTTTTTCAACAAAAGAAGATTAGTTTATATTAATGTATTATTCAAGTCAATTTATTGATATGTAATTCTCTCATTATCCTCGTTTTCTTTGTTTTATATATAATAGCTGTATATTATTTATCTGAAGCTGATTTTGCCACATCAGGGTTGGTCTGTACCCCAAACTTTAAGTGGCGCTGCTGAAAAAAAAGATAATATGATGACAATGGCTTTTTCCCCACATATATATGTTTTATGTGATGTAGTTAAATAATGTTTAATGTTAGAAAAATTTCCCTCAGAAATTAACCCAAGTACGGCTCTTCCTTAATAAATCTCCATAAATCCTATTCCTGTGTTACCGGAATTAAAATATTTCCACCAAAAACAAAAAGTTTCCTCACCTCGATTGTAGATGGCACTCATACAAAGCACAAGACCAGTCATTATAGGACTAGGGCCACCAGTTTCCAAGGATTCTGAAATACAACACAAAGGTTAAAAAAAGCCAAAAAAATACCTTGAGGTACTATATAAGATTCTCAGGAGTGGACACCACATGGTATTCAACAGTGTCTGGATCTAAATTTTTAAACTTAAAGGAATAAACTGATCACCGAAACATCATGAGAATGCACAAGTGAATTTATTTTGTTGACAGGCTTAGACTGTAAAATATTGACGGAAACAACTGAGATTCTTGTATAAAACAGTTTACAAGAAAGCATGTGCAGTATTCACATCTAAGAAAAATATCACCTTACCTACTGCATCCCTGATTTTGGAGTAGTCATTGGTCAAATTCTGAATGACTCTGGTTTCATTCCCAAATGTGACCACAGCTATATTTTCTTCTAGAGAATTCTCAACAGCAACATCTTCTATACCTATTGTCATTAAAGAAACTTCTTGCTTTAATAAAAGACCTGCATTATAATATAAAAATTCACTTCATATTGTAAACAAAATTCAATTTGGTTTTGATGTTAATACTGTCAAAGCAGCATTATTGCACACTAAGCTCTCTGAAAATCATATCATCTTCTTCCTGTTTTATTTCTTTTAAAATGACAAAGAATTCTTCACCTTCTAAGAAAGACTCGATAAATTCTGTGATTTGCTGAAATTTTTGTCCAGCCATGCTTCCTGAAGTGTCTATACAAAGAATAGTGTCTGCTCCTTGGGACTTGTGATCCGTGCAGTCAGCAGCTGAAATTACAACATAACTTTTTTTTGGCAAAAAACCTCAACAACTTCTGAGGAAGAAAATGTGCATTGTAGGTATGAAGTATATAAAATGGATACTTTTTCCTTAAAACAAGAGAAAAATTACAAATGTACAGCATCATGGTTGTATTGTAAAGGATTACAGATATGTTTTCTTTAAAAACTACAGTGTTCCTGTATATTTCCACAAACTTATACATGTATATCTCTCTTGAATCAAAATTTGGAGCTCTCAATGGTACTAAGTCTCTTGTTTACAAACAGAAATGTTCTATCTCATCGACTATACTTACCCCTGTTTGCTTCTTTCAAGGTGAGCTCTTCCAGTTCACTTTCAGTGAGAATTTTCAAGTCTGGTCCCCCATCTAAGTTCAAAATCACAGCAGTAGATGTACATATGTAAGGTACAATATGAATCATAAAGAAATATTACTCATGGAATGACTTTATTTTCTAACACTGGGTATATGAACATGCTTAGCTTAGTTATCATTTACTTTGAATATCAATATTGGTCTTTTTGTAAAGTTTCACAATGCCCCCTCCCATTGAAGAAATTTGGACATTTAAGGGAGGTAACTCACAACTCTATATAGATAAGATTTACCTGGTCAGTCTATATAGATAAGATTAACCTGGTCTGTCTATCTAGATAAGATTAACCTGGTCTGTCCATCTAGATAGGATTAACCTGGTCTGTCTAGATAAGATTAACCTGGTCTGTCTATCTAGATAAGATTTACCTGGTCTGTCTATCTAGATAAGATTTACCTGGTCAGTCTAGATAAGATTTACCTGGTCTGTCTATCTAGATAAGATTTACCTGGTCAGTCTAGATAAGATTTACCTGGTCTGTCTATCTAGATAAGATTTACCTGGTCAGTCTAGATAAGATTTACCTGGTCAGTCTATCTAGATAAGATTTACCTGGTCAGTCTAGATAAGATTTACCTGGTCTGTCTATCTAGATAAGATTTACCTGGTCAGTCTATCTAGATAAGATTTACCTGGTCCGTCTATCTAGATAAGATTTACCTGGTCCATCTATCTAAATAAGATTTACCTGGTCTGTCTATAGATAAGATTTACCTGGTTTGTCTATCTAGATAAGATTTACCTCGTCTGTCTATCTAGATAAGATTTACCTGGTCCATCTATCTAAATAAGATTTACCTGGTCCATCTATCTAAATAAGATTTACCTGGTCTGTCTATCTAGATAAGATTTACCTGGTCTGTCTATCTAGATAAGATTTACCTGGTCCGTCTATCTAGATAAGATTTACCTGGTCCATCTATCTTAATAAGATTTACCTGGTCTGTCATCTGGTTCTTTTAATGCTGATGCTAGAGAAGACCTTAAAAAATGAACATAAATTAATATTTTTCTTTTCCTAATGACATTATTAACAGTAATTATCTGCAATATCTCTCTCATTTGAAGAATTTACTTACGTTGGTTTGAGCGAGGATCTTAGAGAGTCATTTGGAATGCTCTGAAAATTTGAATTTTGAAAATTTTGTTTTCCAAATCCTTGTTGTGGTGAGGTTTGAAATCCAGAAGCTGAAGCAGATGACAAAGGTGCAGAGGTCACATTTGCTGAGGGTTCGTCATCCGTATCATCCAAACAATTCTCCATTTCAACCCTCATTTCTGACCTCTCTTGTAGAGTTCTCTCTTGTCTGAAGGACCCACTCCTTTCCTCTCCTTCTATTCCATTTGCCCCATCACTGTACAAAAATGCAATTCTATTGTCATTTGATCTCACTGTCTGTTTGCACTTCAGCTTGCTAAATCTATCCTGAATGTCTACTGCCTCAGTTTTTGTCACTTCTTCCAACTTTTGATCTTCTGTCTTCTCTGGGACCTCATTCGCAGGCTGCACCTCTGGCTCTGATGGGAAACCTTTTGGGCTTACTGGTCGAGGTACTGGTAGGACATGATTGGTCACCTCTGGAGGTCCTTCTGCAGTGGCTAGATTCCCTGACTGATTACTATGTTCTCCTTCTTTCTCATTCTTTTTCTCACTATCTGAGAGATCTTCTTCAACATCAGACTGAGTCAGCTTGGTAACTCTTGAAAAGCTAAAGTTTTCCTTGGTTTCACTTTCAGGTGTTACAGCACTTATCACAGGGGCATATTGGGAGGGTTCAGAGGGTGGATCAGGCTCTTCAATTCTGACCTCTTCTGGAAAAAAACCCCAAATATTTTTAAAAATTTACAAATAATCCAGAACTTTTACTTAAAAAACTGTCAAGAAAAAGTTAAAGAGAAATGTTTTTTATTAAAAAAAAGGAATTGTTGAAAATACAAAAAAAAAAAACTTTTTCCAGTGAGTAAATTTCACAACTTCTAGAATTTAGCAATAATAAAGATGAATTCTGAGTTCCTCATAAATAAAGATATATTAATAAGGTTCCTCCAAATTATTAATGCTATAATCAGTTTTTTTGCTGTGATTTAACCACTGGTAATGACATTTTGGCAGTGACCAAGAAATTGTGTTATCAGTTGTTTCAATCTTTACTTCAGTTTTCTAATGGCTCTCATTTCTCTTACCTTGGTTTAACCTCTGATCCTGGTTCTCCAAGCTTCTCCAAGATTGGCTCACATCATCTGGCTCTTCCTGTCTCTTTGATAGTCTAGTAAATGGACGTTGGACTGTTGGGGTTACATGAGCTACAGGTGGATTGATGGACAGACTTTCGGATATCCTCTGGACATTATGAAGAAGCTGGTTGAGAACACCTTGCATTTCATTGACTCTTGCATACAAGTCTGGGATAAGGGCAATTCTCTGTAACAAAAAAAATAATCTTAGGCAAGAAAATCTTACAAAAAATGGCAACTTTTTTTTAGGGGGGGGGGGGTGTTGTGTTGTGTTGTTATTTGAAGGGAAAGCTGTTTCAGTCCAGAATTTTCATACCTCTTCCATTCTGGAGAGAATTTGGTTGCTGCCATCTGATCCATCCACCATCCTTGATGTCTTTAACAATCCAGGATTATGAGCTGTCAAAGTGAGAATTAATAGCTAAGTTCAAGTCAAATTTGGTACATTTTAATAAAATATTTTTAAATAAAAGCAAATGAGTGCCATATTGAAACTATATACATGTACTTACATGTCGAGGGAATTTCTCCATTAAACTGATGATATGCCATTTCATATACAGTTCACAGCCATTCTAGAATTAGACAATAGCATTAAATTTTGTTAAAAAAAAGTGTTTATTCTTTTTCCTCTCTGCTGTATTTACTAGTATTCCCCTGTCATTACAAGATAAGAATGATTAACCCTTCCAAAGAAATATTTCACTGTGACATACTGTAGACATAATTTTTTCCGTGGGGGATTAATTTTCGATATATACGCAGTCACAAGTTTTCCACTGAAATCTGTCACAGTGTACTTAAAGTGCATTTAAAACAGACAAAGGCAATCCAAGAAATAAACATAATTTTCTACCTGCGATTGAACAGAAATTATGCTTCCTTGGAATTATGACCCGCAGAAAAAAGTATTCAGCAAAACAATAAAAAACACACATTTAAAAGTGTTTATACACAAACACCCCCCCCCCCCCCCCAAAAAAAAAACAAACAATTTGGCAGACATACATGTGCTTAAGATTATAATAGAATCCTACACATTATATTATTCAAAGCTCCTGTGTACTTTGCAGATCTATAAAGTATTTATCACATATTATTAAGGAACTGAGGATACCATCAAAATAATACAATTTTGGTTGACTCTGAAAATAGCTTCCAGGAAGTGTGAGAATGTGCAGTATTATGGAGAGGAAATTAATGTCTTCAACATCCAAGTCTTTATTTTCCTGGTTCTATGTTAATCCTTTATAGAGTTCATGTACATCTCTAGTAACAGAATTCAAATAATCACAAACCTAACAATCTGTATTTTTTAAGTACTCTCATCTACCACTCTCAAAGTCAATTGCTTATTTAAGGAAAATTCATTTTTTTTTCATCAAAATACCACTTATGGAATTAATTTCAATCTTAAACTCATTTTTTAATTGGCCTAATAAAAATTTCTTATTCTGTGTTTCCCTAATCTATTCATTTACCAATCACTTTTTCTACTGTATTAAAACCCATCTCAATCCTTGTAGGAAAGAATTAAAAAAGTAATAAAATAAAAAAAAATCCCTCTATCATGTCCCAGCTTCCCACATTACTCTAACAATTTTAAACATGAGAAACATTACATTCATATTTCTCTTAAGCAAATATATACATGGGCATATCTGTCTACAGTCCCCCAAAATTTTAGTACATTTTCAACAAGATTTAACCCGTGTACCATATTAACAAACAACCACAACAGCTGGCAATGAATACTTTGTGTTGAATTGAAATTATTTATATTTATATATATCTATGTAAATTATATTTCAAACTCAGCAGCTAAAATTGCACTTTAACCTCTTCTTCACACACGGCAATGTTAGATCTTTTCCAAATCTCTTTTTTTGTAATGTTTTATACATTACTTTATATTGCCAAACATATGTCTGGCAAAAATAAATGCAGTTTTTTTTTTTAGATATAAAGGGAAGTAACTAGGTGTAGATCCAGGTTAAATCTCTCTGGATGTCCATAAATATGCAGTAAAAATACATTTAAAAAAGCATGCTAATAAAATTAAACCTTCTGAATCTGAATCAAATAAAACCCTTAGTCTTTAAAGACAGACTAATTTTACTAAATTGGGTGAAACAAATGCTAAAATATGTGACAGTTTAACAAATCCATGCCCTTTTCTACAAATACAGTCAAGCTTTGTTAATCCGGATACCAATAATCCAGATGCTTCATCTTCCAGAGAATTTTTTTAGGAATCAGAATTATCATTTTTATCTACCAATCATATGCTTCAGTGATGCAAATGCTTTCTAAATCCAGACGATTTGTTCAGGGGAACAAATGTCCAGATTCAAGAGGATCTACCTAATCCAGATGATTTACTTGGGGACACAAATGTTCAGACTGTAGATGAAAACATATTAGATATGTGTGTCTGTTTCTTCTTCAGATCTATCACTACTTACTTCAGAGATGCACCCCCGCCTTTTTTCCCTAGACCCTTGTATCCCCCCTCATCCAACCAATCTAAGAAAGGTACATGTACATTATGTTCATTCATTCGTTTCAAAATGAAACTAAATTCCTATACTTCCATTAACGTGTATCATTAGACTGACCGCTTTTACAATGAAATGACATTAAATTCAAAATACTATATCAAAACTGTACTTTTATTTTACATTGCACATTATTAATTTCTGTTTATCTTCTTACGTTGTGTACGTTGAACCACAATCATTTTTTTTCTTGCAAAACTTAACACTGCATAGAAGTCTGTTTATACATATATTGACTATCTCATCGGTGTCTTTAAACGCTAAACGAAAAAAAAATACTTACAACTTCTCTTGGTAAATATATATAAAACGTTGTATAACGAGTCAAATTTTCGATGAACCTCTGACAAAATCGAAACTAGTTTTTGACTGTCAAAATCTTGGAAATTCCCTAACGGAATTAAAAATTACCTGTTCTATTTTTAGTTAAATATCACGATTTGTTTTTAAATGGTTTTTGTTTTGAAAATTGCTTAATTTTTGTATGATTAATATATTTGTTTCAATTGTCTTCGTAAAAGAAATTAATTACGAACTTGATGTTCGTCGTCCGTCTGTCTGTATCCTGAAAGTGCGCATGGCCCTTGGCAAACAACAAATGTTATATTTTTCACATCCCCACTTCTGCCTCTTTTATGCCATCTTTAGCCATATCCTCAGCTTTTAACAAGCCAGAACTATACAGAATTTTATTCTGACGCAATTACAACAGCCAAATCAATTTTCTGAAGTCTTCAGTATCTATTATTATACGATTATCGGGAAACATAATGGGGAAAAAAACGCAAGAAATGTCTTTGAATTGAGCGACGTCGGCCAACCGATCGAAACAACAATTAATTTATAGCAATTAATTCATAATTCTAAAATTTGTGATAACAAATTAATTCGTTGAATGTTAAAAATTTGTTACAAATTAAATTAATTTAACTGAATTTGACATTTAGGGCCTATAGAACAATATTTATGAATCCAATAACGAATTGTCAAATTCGTTCAAAAGAATTCAATTCATTAAAACAAATTTAAGAATTTGTTTAAATGAATTTAATTCTTTGTAACAAATTTTGGATTTCGTTTTAAGAAATTTTATTTTTAAAACAAATTTTAGATTTCGTTTTAAAGAAATTTAATCTTTTAAAACAAATTTTTGAATTTGATATAATGAATTCAACAAATCTGTTATTACATATTTGATTTGTTATAACGAATTAAAAAAAATGATACATTGTATAACGAATTGAATTTGTTTTAACAAATTTGACATTTCATTATATTGAATTCAAAAATATTTTTGATAGGTCTTTACTTGGCCTCAGTAACCATGAAATTAAATATATTTTTCAAAAAGAGCATGCATCCATGAAAGTTTCAAAACAGCCAATTCACACATCTTCTGTACTGAAGACCACTCTTCTAAGATTAAGAGTTTGATGAAAAAGTTAAAAGAAAAATATGTAAAACTGATATATAAGATTACTTTCTGTCAAATCAGGATAACATAAAATTTATGCATGTATGTACAAATTTTATTAGTTTTATTAATATACAATGTATACATAAACATGAAGAAAAATGTACATAAGTATCACTGATTGTACGGATATTTTATAACACGTCAAGGGAGGTAACACTACATAACACCAATCAATTTTCAGGAATGGGCAACATCTATATATAACAATGGTTTTGAATGCTACTGCATTATAAAATGATTGTAACCACCATACATTAATTAACCTAAAGTCATTAACAAGGAAACATCATGAGAACAAGAAAATAATCTCTATATGGGTGGATAGTCTATGGTCCTCCATTTATTACCTTATTTCAAATACTGTCAATTTTGCATTAAAAATTTCTATGCACCAATATCTCATTCAATCAAAAAAGAAAAAAAAAAAACTAAGTACAATGTACACAAATCACAACTCAAATCAAGTAATCAATGAGGGTTGCATACAGAGTGAATACTGAAAATTTCATCTATTTATTGAAATTTCTTATAACTTAAAAAATTCTTCTAAATTTAAAAGTTGTAAGAACTCCTTTAGGTACATTAAAAAGAAAATCTACTGGCCTTTGACCTATTAAAGGACAGGAATTCTGGTCAACTTTTTTAAGAAGACCAACATTTTAATGTAAGTTAGACTAGATAACATGCCTGTATATTATCTAAAAGTTTTAAATTTTCTGTTATTTAGATGTTTTAATCCAGATATAATCTGACTAGTCATCTCACAATAATAACTGAATAATTTTAAAATGAAATAACTTACAGAAGAAAATAATAGATTATTAGTATTCATGCACTCTTTCTACAATTTCACAAAAAAACAAATTCAACGTGCAAAATTCACAAATCAAGTGCAACATATGTAAGGATTACATCAGTGGGAAAAGATAATACTACCCTCATACAGTGAAACCTGATTACTGTGAACACAGATATAGTCAATACCTGGTTATAATGAAAACAATATTCATTATCCCCAAGAATGCAGTGTATATCATGGAATTCTAATCGGATTTAATGGGCTAATTTACAATGTGCAGATATTAACAAAACCAAGCTTTAATGTGTGAAGTGACATGGTGCAGCACAAATTAATGATGTGGGCTGTTTGAATGATTATGCATACAAAGCAAAAAAAAGGTTCTAAATAGCTTGAATTTGCCCTTAAGTAGATGAAATGTAAATATAAAACAAATGTAGTAAATGCTTTTATCTATCAAAAAAACATACAATGTTTATTTAAAGTTTAATCTCTACTGTAATTCGATCACTGCTCCTGAATTTTATTACAGATGAAATGAAACTTCAGTAAAAGGAAAGGAAATCTGTACCTAATAAATTTATATATGTCAGTTACAAAAACCATTCTCTCCCTTCATTCATGCATGTATTCATGCCCCGAATCACTACAATTTATAACTGAAATGAAAATTCAGAAAAATGTTCCAGTACTCTAAAACTATCATTAAACCAGAAACTAATATCTTACCATCACCAAATTTTCAGGAAATTTTTAAAACTTTTGCACAATTATCATTTATCAAAATATTGAATGAAAAAAAATGAATTTACTACTGCTGTTTGTTTTGAAATGCTGAGTTTAAAAGAATATTGAGCATTTCTACAGTGTCATAAAATTCTACTGAATTAAAATATGAATATGGGCATGTACAAGCATCTAGGGTCTTCATTGAAAAGCTGAATAATAATCAAAAATATACATAAATACCTATAGTAAATTGTCCCCCTATTAATGGCCCCAAGTTCACTAAAAATCATCTTTCATAGAAAGGATTCATAAAATTATTTATCATACATGGAAAGTAATTCATATTCTATGTCAACTTATATAAAGAGCTAGGTTCGCTTTGTGCATAAAATGGCCCTGTTTATAATCCTGTTTATGAATTCAATTCTCACCCAATCTCCAATTTCAAACATTAATATAAAAAATAGAGACTTCATGCTTTCACTACATATAAGAAAAATTTCTACTGTGGGTCCATATATTGGAAAACAGGCTTTGTGAAATTAGGAAGTCCTTGATTTTTTCAGAAAATTGGTCCATCTTGGTACATTTGACAAAGAATTTAAATTTAAGCACATCCCTCAATCCAATAAAATAAATCATGCTTTATAAACTTATGTTACCATTCTATCAATATTTACTAAACCTTTTGGATCACAGTTTGTGCTCTATATTGCACAATACTATCTGTGAATGGGATTAAATGATGCAATTCATGACATCATAGAAAATACACCAAAGAGAAAATTTCTTCCTTTAATACATGTAATACATGTGTTGACAAAGTGTCCAAATAATACTTTTTGTGTTGTCACCTAAAATTGAACAGTTTGGAATATTTAGAATTTAACAGGGCCAAAAAAGTCCTAAGTGAACCTTGCTCATTGTTTACTTTTCTCCAATATGCTTTGTTTTAAAACTGAAAGAAATCCATAGCAATTACTTCCTGGGATCCAAATTTTTTTTAATTGGTGTACCTATATAGCGTACAATAGGTAAAACCAAAAAGGGGTACATGGCACTCGATCTGGTTTTTCTAAGTTACATGTAGCTACAATATACATGAATTATACACAATAAATTAACGTTTCTTATCAAGTTAAAATATATCCCATAATATATACAATATTAATTATTGATTTATGTATAAACAAACATATATACACTGTACTTGTATCAACATTTTTTTAAAAACTTTTTACAAAGTTTGTACAATATTTGCCTTTCTTTGGATATATTTTTTATCAAAATTTTCTAAGCCCTGCTATAACATTTATTACCTTGACATTCACCAGTGATTTTCCAAATGTCCCATATGAATACAGTATATACAGTGTACATGTAGTGATCTGGTATCCTTTAGGAACAAACCAGACAAGCTGAAATTTCCTAGAGCAGAAAAGCTACAGTAGTTTTCAATAAGTAACCGAGACAAGAAGGCACAATAAAGAAGTTATGAAGCAGTGTTTAGAATAGGATAGGTTTATCTTTGACAGTGTCCTTGACGTAGCCAGTGAATCGTTTGAGGAACTTGGGGTACTCTCTCTTGTACACGGCTCTCAACACAGAAGCTGGAGCCCATCCACCAGGGTTAACTGAAATTAGGGTACAAATCTTTGAGTTCCATTTTACATGTACATGTATGTTCAATTTTTTAACTAGTTGGTTTTAGTTTCTGTACAGTTTCTACTCAATAGACCACGTATATGTAGGAAGGAAAAGAATTAAAAGTTTCAAATATTTAAAGCCATTTTTAACTTTCCAATGTAACTTTGTAAGTAGACCCTTTTCTTTTGTACACATAGATCATTGTGTTTTAAATCTTTGTTCATTTTCACACAAAACAAGATGTGTTTAATAAACACAAATGCCCCAAGTATGGCCATTTCTAATGAAAAGGCAATGATCTGAAGGAGTTTCAACAAATTACAAAATAACAAGAAACTTTGAAAGTGGATTAACCTACTGCATATGTGTTTGGGCATTTTCCCTTATACCTAGCAGAAACATGCCTCATATGAAATATATTAAAACATCTACCTAATATTAAAGGAATGGATAAGTGCTCTTGGTGCCCTCTCAATGATACATCTATATGTTAACATAGTGATAAAATTCACTTTACATCACTAGACATGCATTTGAACCATAAATCAAGTGGGGGGGGGGGGGGGGGGGGCTGGACCCCCCACCCCCCCACCCCTGAAACCACACAGACCAGTGAAATACTTATAACTACGTATCATGCTAATGACTAAATAAATGTCATATAAATAAATTATTATAGTAACAAATTTATTATGAAATGCCCATCCCATAACATTTTGAATTTTATGATACACAAAAAAACAGTGATGCACAATCGAATGTAACTACTTGGCCATTATTATTCATTTATCGTTCATGGAATTAATATGCACTGAACAATAACAAAGACCATCCATATCAGCCAGATAAATATGATTTAAATCAGAAGATTAAGAATTATTTATTTACCACTTTATGGAACAACAAGTGGAGTCTCCAGACAATGTGTACACTATTTATAGAACACCAAACCTGATCTATTTAAATTTTTATTTTTTCTAATTTTTCTTCAGAAAAATGGGTTAGTAAAACTTTTGATAAAAAATATTAAAGCTCTCATACATATCTATAACTCTGCCAAAAATAAAGTCTCTAAGTTCTGTGGCTCAAAAGTTAAGAGGAAGGTTCAAGTTTATGACAGAGACACAGAATGACAGATGATCAGACAAAAACATATGCTCCCCAATCTTCAATTTCGAGGCATATAAAGATATTTTATACATGTATTCCAGATATTTTCAGATTTTTATCCAAATACCTCATAAATTATGCATTTGGCTGGCTTTAAGCAAGATGAACTCCAGTATCTGTTCAGTACAATGATGATTTCAATTCAGTATACCCCAGTAATATAAGTGGAATGTACATGTTTGTCTACTTACCCTCTGCTGTGTAGCTGATTTTACACTTGATGTCATCTCGACTGATATTGCCATCAGCTGGTGGATCAATAATGGTCTCACATATCATGGCTACATTCATTTTAACTCGCACATACTTATTCTGAAAAAAAATGAAAAGTAATGGATTCTATGAAAACCAACACTTGTTTCTTTATTTAATCACATGCTTCTTTACAATTTTATGCAACAAAAATTCTTTTCAGATGTTCCATTCCAAAAAAGTAAATCTACCAGGAAACATTTTGTTGAAAAATATTCAATATCTTTCAATACATTAGCAGACCAACATTTAAAAATTAAAAATATTTGTACATGATGACAGATTTGTATAGTGATTTACATGAGTGTGCACCATTAATGGGGAATTTTGACTTCAAATATAATTGGCAGAACACCCCATCATATCATACTGAATATGCGAAGGAATAAAACTTAAAATAAAATTACGGGAATTTTGCTGTCTTCTGTTGAGTAATTGACGACAATCCACCTGTCAGGATCCTCGTCATTCTTCCCTGTCACATGACGGAGGTGTGACCAGAAGAGGGCGTCTCTCTGTGAGGCTGGCCACACCCTCTTAATGACGTTGTGACTAATAAAAGTGTCTTCTGCCAACCATTCAGTACAGACACTGGACTCAAGGGTGGCTGTCAATCATAAAAGTGAAAGCTGTCAAATCCACTAATCGGAAGTCCACAATGGTTATTGCTACTATTAAGAAGGCTGGGGGGTCAAGAAATTAACCATCAAATATAACTGAATTTTTTAGAAATGATATCTTAAGCTGTCAACTATCATTTGGTAAAGAAAAATTTCATACATTTTAGTTTTAAAATTTGATCATTTTTGTATATCTTTATATGGAGCTCTTCTTCTAAAGGAGATCAATATAGTCTGAAAATGGGCACAACCCCCCAGCCCTCTTAATACATGACATTTTCTACTATGAATTAATGGGGGATATTAATAGAAAAGGTACAGAACTGAGAAGAGGAAGTCTCGGAGCTATACATTGTATTTACATATATATATATATACATGTATACATCAAAATGTGCTCATACCATCCCAATCCAAGCGTACATCAATGCTCCAGAAGTAATGACAAACCTCATGACCAGTAATACCCTACAAATATTGATTAGAATACTCAAATTTTACAAGATACACTTAATTTAGAAAAAGAAATACTGTATACAGAGAATTTTGCCTCAGTTTTATTTTGACCTATTCTACCTCATCAAATGTGTGAATTTAAAATGGTGCTATTTCACATTTGCAAACAATTTTCCTCATTCTTAATTTGCCCAGACAGTTGTATTAATTAAAGTGGCAACTGTCCTTTTTTTGAAATTTGCATGGTAAAAAAAACATGGGATGAAAATAAGCATATATACAGTATGTCATACATACAAATTCGAACAAGTAAAAGCTCTATAGTCTACACAGCATTGTCCAAACCTTGACAACATATGAGGCCTTTAGGGGGTCGATGACAACACCATCTACTTCTAGCTCCCTTTTATACACCTTGAGGTCTCCCTCCTCAGCGATCACCTGCCAGGTGTCTTCCCCTCCCTCTGTCTTCTCATCCATCCTCTTCAGGTGGCTCTCCACAAGCTGGTTTATCTTGAATATAAAATGAAGAATAAATAAACAATATCGGTAAATATATATGAATATTTCAAGCAATGCTTCCAGAATACATAATATGCAGATGTCACTCTCTCTAGGCATTCTAAATCATGATTCAGCATTAAAACTACTTTCACAGCTGTAGATATGCATGTACATGCAAGCATCACACTTAGTTCATTTGTAGTACATTGTACCTATCTCTTTCTTAGTATTATGCTGAGTGTGAAAATGCCATCTATGCATGACCAAAAAATGTTCCTCACAGAGAATGAATTTACACAAGAAAAAATACCATGATACAAAAAAACTTTTTATGCAAGGTTTTTCATTCCAATAACAAGGAATGGTTCTTCTTGTACATTTCTATCTATTTTAATCTACTTTCTCTATTCAAATGAACCTTAAAATGTTATTTTACCTCATTATACAATGGATGTTGTGAATTCAAGGATATCTTGGAATGATGAGCAGGTTCTGTGGCTTTCTCAATCTGAAATCAAATTAAACTTTCTATTCAACTCGTATACATATGGTTATACATGTGCCAAATTACAGTATACTGTTGATGTAGAAATGCATGCTTATTGATATTTAAATATTCAATAGACATTTGAGTGTATTTTATTTCTGTGTCCCTGAAATCATTCAATAACAAATGCAGTACACTAAAACTTATATTCCACATTAAACTTGCTCAATTTCTTCCTAATCCCTCAAAAGTGTTTAAAAATATTTCTTTCTGCAAATCTACATGTTCACAGTATATTCTGTAATTCATACATAAACTTAGGTAAAATGATGTTTCAAATTTAAAGTATATAAAATATGTACATGTATAACTGTGTTGGTATGAAGACATCAAAGAAAAGAAACAATTTTACCATCATTTCATCAAACTTTTCTTCTAGTTTGTCTAAGCCTGCATCAACGGCATCATAGAATTCTTCCTCTTTCATCTGGGAGTTGGGACCTTCCTATAAAATTTTATTAGTTGCAAAAATGATTATTAGATAGGTATGCATAAGTCAAATGTTTTCCAGTCTAAGTTCAGGCTTTTTCTGACACATTTGTCAGTACATGGACAGAAGAATTAACAAACCTCAAAGTCAGGTCCCCCTATGATGAGCTTTTGTTTTCCTCTTTCCAAGGATGCTGACTTGTAAGCTTCCTCAAACTTCTTTCTTCTTTCAACCTCCTAAAAACAAACAACAGAAGAAGCTTGAATGAATTTTACATGGGAATGGTCTCTTCATAAATGTGCAGTATTAAATCACTTCTTTTTTTGCAACTAAAAAATGAATCATGTAATCACTGTATCATATCTTAAACTTATTTCTTTTTTCCCCCATTTCTTATTATATTTTCAGTAATCATCAGCTTCTTTAAATAAGTCTTCTTTCTAGAGACTTTAATTTTGTGAGACATGCCCAATAGCATTTTACTTATTTGCAAAATATAATTCCAATCAATACGTAATTAAACTTTCTTTCTTAATCTTGACTTTATTCACATGTCAAGACATTATTGGAAAATGAACCTGTACATCATGCTTTTGCAAATGAAAGATGTTCTCCAGCTTAACAGTAACCTTTTAAAATAAAAATTTTCTCAAGATTCACAATTTGTTTTAGTTGGGGGGGGGGGGGGGGGATGAAACACTATGTCTGACCTTTTCCAGTCTCTTTTTCCATGCCTCTTCCCTCTGACCCATCAGTTCAATACAGTGGGTTAGGGTGTGTATAATTCCCATTGTGGTGGCTTTAAATGTCAGGGCCTCTCCTTTGAAATCCACTGCATGGCCCCCATGTTGTTGTAATATTGATGCTGAAAATATAGGATATTTTACACCATACAAGTGTACATAAAAATTCATATACAGACAAAAGTAAATAAACTTATTTCTGTCAGTATGCATTTCTCAAGAAGCATACAAAGATGTCTAAAAAAATATTGCAATGATTACCAAGATAATCCTTTTTTTTAAATTTCTTTAGGAAAACTGCATGTAATTTGAATGCTTACCTAAATCTTTGCCCTTTGGACTGTTGAATATTTGACCTTGCTGATCTGTTCCAGATGCATCATGGGGGTCATCTGGATCCCCAATGTCATCTTCATGCACTGGAAAATGAATGTTATGAGATTTTTTTTTCAAATACCATATTCTCTGTATTAAGCACCCATACCATTATATGTGCCCCTGGAGTAATTTCTGATTGTCTGAGAATAAGCACCCCCTTAAATAACTTATGGTCTCGTCAGAGATTTCCAAATTCATCAGATGTACATGCAAAACCCATTGAAAACATGCCATTGATCTGTGTGAGCAGAGCAAGAATGAATGTCACAATCTTGAACAATGAGTTTACCCACAAAACTTTTGATGAATAGGGTTAGGGTAAAAACTTTTTATTAACTTTTTGACACAATCAGTTCATTCAAAGTTCATAAACCCCCTGCTCACTGCCTTAATGCTTATGATTTTCTGAAATGTATTTTATAGATAAAATACTAACAATTACAGCATAGCTTGCAGGGCAAAATTGGACAAAAATGCTATTTCAACTCCACAAATTTATAAAGGAATAACAGTCATATGTCAGAGTTAACAGTCATATGTCAGAGTTATCTCTCTTATCACACTATTTTTCATCGGGATCGGGATTCCGAAGAAACACACCAAAAATTCTGTGGTAAATAATAGTTTTAAAAATGTCAAATTAACTGATATTATGACAGTGGCAACATTTAAAATGTAGCAGAAAATAGAATATTTCTTAAGTGTAAATGAAAAAACTGCCCATATGGCGAAAATTACCCAAAAGGATTGAGAAAACAAACAAACAAAATTAGTACACGAACGGCGGCAAAAATAAAAAATGGCGGTTTTCAGTAAAATAAGTAAAGCAGACCAAGAGGTGATCATGAACTCGTTTTATTGGGACTCGGTCCTAAATACGGCACACTATCAATTCCCAGATGTACCAAAACTTCCAACTGGAAAAGCAGCTCATGCTGAGCTGGAGCATATAGACAAAAACCTATACAAACCAAATGCAAAAATGGTGTCCTTCAGGGTACAAGACAAAAACCGTTTGATGAACTGGTTAAAATGTTTAGCTTACAGATATCACTATCAGTTTGGTAAAAGAAAGGAATTCAAATGTGAATGGATTGATAGATTGAAGGATGGAAGTGAGGAATTAATCGATGAAGTTCTAGTTAGATTGTTGTCTGTCGATATAGAAGGCGAGGAGATGGAAAAAATCATTACTATCAATGTATATTTTTCTACCCACTTGATCACTGTTCAGGGAAACAACTACCTTCATTGGGTAGATGACGAATTTCCACACTTAAAATCTGTTGTGGAAAATATGTCCACACAAGACAACTCTGAGACAAAAGTGAAAAACCTACTTGACGTGTCAGCTGAATATGATGAATTCCAGTCATTTCTTAGTAGTAATAAGAAAACGTTTTCAACTCCAAGAATCATCTCTCCAAACACAGTCGCCTCACCAAATAATATGCAAACCATAGAATCAGGTATTTGTTCAAGGTTTAGCACCTTGGACAGAAAGATTGATGTATTCAATAACAATCTTTTGGAGAAAATAAACAATTTGGAAGAAATCATTTCCAGAAATAGCCAAGAGAACGAAATTAATCATAGTGTTCTTCAATCGAGAAATAAAGAACTGGAAAATAAAATAAACTACTTACTGGCAGAAATGGGAAAAAAGGAAGAGAAAATCAAGGAACTCAAAAAAGAAATAAGCAGGTTGAAAGAAGACAAAAAAGAAAACAAAAATGAGAAAGAGCAGCAGAAGGAAAACAAAAATGAAGAGAAAGACAATGAAATGAATGTGATGTTAGAAGAGAATACCAGTGTTAAGTGTCTAATTCCAACTGCAAACAGATATGAAGCCCTCTCAACTGATGTTGAAGAACCAGGTGCAATGCACCAAACAAGGTCAGACATATCATGTGAAATGCCAAAAAAGAAACAAGATCTGCCTATTGAAGTCATCATGGACTCACATGGAAAATGGTTAGATCCAAAATGGATGTACAAGAACAAGGATTTAAGAATAACAGTACTGGGTGCAGGAAAAAAGAACATCAAGGGAGCAATGGAACATATTCAGAGTATAACATTTCCAAAACACTTAATCATAGGAGTTGGGTGTAACGACCTGTCCAACGAAAACCCAGAAGATGTCTCACTCAGATTTAAAGAAATGATAACTAAAAATCCAACAAATTGTGTCCTTCACATTCTACCCATATTTGAAAGATATGGAGACAGTACATACAACCAAAAAGTTACAGAGACCAACAGAGAACTACAGAAATTATGTGAGGAAAATGGTGTAAACTTCATCAAAATGAACAAAATATCATCAGAAAATCCTCAAAATTACACAAGGGATGGAGTGCACTTTAGTAACATAGGAAGGAAAAATCTTGTCATTATGATAAAGCAACATCTGAATCCACATCTAGGAATGAAACCATATGACCAATATCAAAAACATGAATCACAAAATCATCTGCATCACAAAAGGGAACATTACCAAAATGATCAAAGACAATATTACCAAAGGAAACAGCATCGCCGCATTGATCAATGGCAAACAAGCGGAGAATGGAGACAATATAATTTCAAGAACCACCAAAACACAAGTGAACGAAAGCACCAGAATAAACATCTTGAACGAAATCAACCACAAAAAACACAGGGGAACCAAAATGTTCAAGAGCCAATAACGAAGGAGTCTCAAATGAGAGAACTTCTAGAACAGATGTTGAAATTTTTGTAGATACATGGAAGACCAGCATGATACCAATCATTCAATCTAGTCATTATCTAAGTCATAATACTCTCTTGTTATTATTATTTCTCTTTTCCTCAGGTTGTGTGTTGTAAAACTGAAGTAAGAGTAGTCAATATATACCTGGTTGTGTTTTAAATGGTTGTTCTAAACTTGATATATGTATCTGCCATTTATATTTTTATGTCACTGTCAGAATGTTAGCTTGATTTTTCTTATAATTTTGAAATGTCATCGCTAAATATAGCATACTGGAATGTACATGGTCTCAGTGATGAAAAGTTAAATGATGATCTTTTAAGAAACTTTTGTACAAAATATGATATTGTTTGTTTAGCTGAAACAATGCTGAAGGATTCAACAAGAAATCTTCCAGGATTTTCTCCACCATTTGTATTGAACTCAAAAAAGACAAAGAAAAGGGGTAGACCATCAGGTGGATTACATGTATATATTAAACCTACAATATACAAACACTTCAAAAAAGTATTTCAAAGTGAAAATAGCATTTGGCTTGAAATTAACACTCGAAATACAAAATCACAACAGAATATTGATTCATATTATTTTTGCTTCTGTTATATAAAACCATACGTAAGTAAGGCAAAATCGGAAGAAATATTTTCTAATTTAGAAAATGAAATTGCAAACTATAGAAGCAAAGGAGAAATTTTTGTTTGTGGAGATTTTAATGCTCGTACAGGAGGGCTGCAAGATTTTATACAACATGACACACTGAATGATACATTTTTGGATTGCCCTCTACCAGAATACATATATGAACCTGACATTTCAGTGATCAGAAACCAACTTGATAAGACATCAAATTTACATGGACACCTAATTACAGATATTTGCAAAACATATAGATTATCCATCCTGAATGGAAGATTTCTTGGTGACTCACTTGGCTATTTTACATTTTTTAATTCTAATGGTTCAAGCACTGTTGACTATATGTTGGCATCAAGTCAGTTGTATCATAAAATTGAACATTTTAATGTATTACCTCCTACAGAAATATCAGATCATTGCCTTATAACTGCAAGTATTAATATGAACACAAATGTGTTTTGCAATGAAAAATATAAAATGCACTCTTTGAAGGGGAAATATCTCTGGTCAAGCACTTGTAAAAACCAATATGCAGAAGCTATTAATGAGGAAGAAACTAAAAATCAAATACTAATGTTGGATAATTTACTTGACCAAATATATGATGATAACACATATGATTCAAATGATCTCGTTTATAAACTATCAAGTATTATAATTAATGCAGCTAATAAAAGTGTTCCATTTAAACCTGCAAAATTTACAAAATCACAACGAAAAAATAAACAAAGACCAAAATGGATGACTACAGATTGCTTACTCCTACGAAAAGAAGTTAGAAATTTAGGGAAGAAAGTACACAAATATCCAAACAACTGTGAACTAAAACATGCCTTTGCAAAATGTAGAAAAGATTATAATAAACTAAGAAAAAGTCTTAAATCTAATTTTTACAATAGTATTGCAGAACAAATTAACACACTTTCGCCACAAAACTCCAGTAAATTTTGGAATAAGATAAAAGAAAATAAATCAAAGAAAACTAATGCAGAAACAATTGGAATTTCAGAATTCGTTGACCACTACAAATCCTTACTGAACATTCAATATACTGATGGAGAGAGCTTGAAATACAAGTACACTGAACTAAATACTGAACCAAATCCATTAGACTTTTTGTTTACTCAAGATGAAATAGAACAAAGCATTTTAAAGCTGAAAAATGGTAAAAGTGCTGGGCCTGACTTAATTTTAAATGAGTTTATTAAAACAAACAATACTACCCTTTTACCTGTCCTTACAAAACTGTTTAATATTCTACTTAAAAATGGAAAAATGCCCAAAGAATGGAACCTTTCACTTATAACATCATTATACAAAAATGGTGATCCTAATAATACAAACAATTATAGGGGTCTCAGTGTTACAAGTTGTTTAGGAAAACTTTTTACAGGCCTTCTACAGAAACGCTTAGATAATTATCTTGAGTCAAATAACCTACTAAGTCAATATCAATCTGGATTTAGAAAAGGTCATAGGACCACTGACAATATATTTGTACTAAAAACACTTGTAAACAAATATCTTTATACAAAGAAACAGAATTTATATGTGTGCTTTGTAGATTTTTCAAAAGCATTTGATACTGTGTGGAGATCTGCACTTTTATACAAATTGAATAAAAAGGGTATTGGTGGTAACTTTCTCAAACTTTTGACAGACATGTATACAAATACATACTATTCTTGTAAAAAGGACAATCAAATGAGTGAAAAATTTAAAGCTAATAGAGGAGTCAAACAAGGTGATAATTTAAGTCCAACACTTTTCAATATCTTTGTTGATGATTTTGTGAATTATCTTAAAAATGTAAGCACAAATCCTGCATATCTAGATACTATGCCAATAAATCATATGTTTTTTGCTGATGATTTGGTCCTTGTATCAGAATCAGAAGTTGGTCTACAAAACTGTATAGATGTTTTAGGAAAATATTGTTCAGACTGGAAATTGTGTGTTAATATGGATAAAACAGATGTTATGATTTTTTCAAGAAAAACAGATGATGAAACATCATTTAGATTTTATTACAATCACCAAATGATTAACATAATGAATGAATATAAATATTTGGGTGTTGTGTTCAGATCTGATGGAAAAATGAAATTTGCAGCTGAACAACTATCAGAACGTGCTAGGAAAGCATATTATGCTATTAAATCAAATTTTCCTGCAAACATTAATTTTTCAGCTGAAATTATGTTAAAATTATACCAGTCAATGATAATACCAATTATTACATATGGATCTGAAGTATGGATAACTGACTTCAAATGTGATTTAATGTCTTCAGACCAATTTCCTTTTGAAAAAACACAACACTTAATATTTAAAGACATACTAGGGGTACATAGAAAGGCATCAAATCTTGCTGTTTTATGTGAATTAGGTCGTTTTCCTTTGTACTATTTATGTTATGAATATATGTTTAAATATTTTAAGAGACTTAAGGAAATGGAAAACAAACATGATTATAATAATTATTTAGTGATTTCTGCATTTAAAGAAGACAAAAAACTTGTATCTAGAATATCTTGGCAAAGAAAACTGTCTTCATTACTACAAAAATTAAATATCACTTCTTTGGATATTTCTCACACAACCTTGAAAAACAAATTACAAGAGCATTACCAAAACAAGATACATGAACAACTGAAAAATATAAGCAAATCAAACTCTGGAAAGTTAGCTTTTTATAGTAAAATTGTAATTCAAAATGAATACAAATTGCAAAGTTATTTAAAGCTGCCTTTAAAGAAAAGTTTTAGATCTGTATTAACAAAATTAAGGATCAGTGCCCATCCATTGTATATTGAAACGGGCAGATACTGTAAACCCCCTATTCCTAGAGAAAAACGTTTATGCTATTCATGTAAATTATTTATTGAAGATGAAAAACATTTTGTTCTATACTGTTCAAAGTATGACCAATTTAGATGCAATTATACTGATATATTTAATGTAAACACATATACTAGTGATAATCCCATTAGAAAAATTGTCAATCCTACAAATATTACAACTGCTAGAAGGATATGTTGTTTTTTGAAAAAGTGCTTTGACACCAGAAAAGAAAGTCAGCAATGAATACTTAGAGATATGTGAATATACTCTACATTATTTTGTTCAACTCACATTTGTCATTTTGTATATGTATGTATTATTCTTGTTAATTCGTTTTATGTCATGACTGTATGCCGACATGGTAATTGTCAATAAAGTGAATTGAATTATCAAACCTTCATTTCAACAAGACTACCAAATAACAAACCCCTTTTTGCAATTTTCTAAGTGCCAGGGTACTTAATTGGGAGAAAAAGTAAATCTAAAGATGCCTTTATCTTATTTTTACATTCAAAACTATTTCAAGTATAAATATTTTCATGGAGAGCACTGTTTTCTGAAGTTTCTTACAAACAAATTAAAGTGAAGAAATTGTTCAAGATACATGTATAACACCTACATTCTTGGACAGCACCGTGTGACACAGCAGATGCACAGCTGTCAAAGTAGCCCTGTAATGTGTCAATCTGACGACATAGGATATCTCGGAATGTTTCCATTTCTGCCACTTTCTCCGACAGACCACGCCCCCTCTACAAAGTCAAAAGTCAGAATTTTATGAAATAAATGTAAATTCAGATTATCACTAACAACATCTATGTAATTATCATTCTATATTCATATTTACCTCATTGTAAGTATTAGAATGTGAAGATGGGTATACAGTATTTTAAAAATATATGATCATATTTATAAATTATGCTATTTCAAAGTACATAAAGTCAATAATTTCTTTGAAGTAGTCTTTTGCAAATCAGAGGGTGCAAGACAAACTTTGTTATTTTCCGAATGTTAATCTTCAATGTAGAGCCAAATCATTTATTATGTGATGGGGTCAAGTTTATTCCTTTTTAAGATGTATGAAGGTAGTGGTCAATCAGGAAGAATGGACACTTAATGTACTAATGTTAATGTACTCACTTTAAAAGAGGAAGTGGACGTGGTGGACATACTACATGTTGACGTAAGTGACATGAGAGATCCATGACGACGTAAATTGTTTTCACTGCCATATCCTGACTCAGCTTGCTGGAAAAGCAAATAGTATGTGGTTCAACAACCTTTTGAAATTCTAATTAACTATCGGAAGTCTTTCTTAAGACATGACTTAATATCATCTTTGTTCATACCCTGTGCAGCTCAATGGCATTTATCCATTTCTGTCTTTCTTCCTCATCCTTGGCCCTCAGATACCAAACACTGTCATTCACTCCTACATCAAAACGGCACTCATCAAACTGGTGGGGCTGCAAAATCGTCAATCAATTGTAAAACAAATTTTACCTCAATTGTGCTCGTTATAAACTAAATTACAGAACAATCTTACCATCATTGTATGTGTAATCAAGTTATATTCCTCATGAAAGAGCAAGTAAATATTTCAATATATGATATTCATATCACAAGTATACAGAAAGGCATATCTGGAAATCCTACATAAAAAAGAAAAAAAGGATGCAAACTTTAAGAAGCTGCACAAGAACTGGCATCCCTTTCAACCATTCTAATGAATAATGTTTTGAGAAAGGGATGAAAATTGTTCTATATCATTTGGGTGGATTGAAGACCAGAGCAGAATTGTTTAGATTGGAGTCTACCTCAAAACATGAAAGAAAGGCACACAAGGAGGATCTAATGGAATTTATTAACTTATCTCTTCATCTGCCAATGTTTATGATAAAGTTATTATTCTAAGAAATCTGGGTTTTGGTCAGGTAATTCGTTCTAGAAATTCAGCATGTTCTTGTGTGTAACAATTTCTAACACAATACAAATAATCCTGGTTATGTCGACTGTGTCAATGACCAACCTACAAAATTTTATTGCTTTACTGTCATCGTAAATATACAATCCAAGTACACATTCCTATAATGCATTCTTAGCATTCTGACTTACTGCAGAACAAACATAGTAGCTTAGTATCCATACAAACGAGTTTGTCTGTAACTACTTAATCAGTGATAGATAAAGTTGTAGATATATGTTACTTAGAATATTGTATTCATGTGATAGCTTTCAAGATGTTGTGACCTTTTTAATTATTTTTTGTTCAAAGGGTAATAACTTCACATCCAGACGTTCAGTAAATAAACAAACAACAGTGCTTGATAATGACCCTTTGAAGTTACATTTAAGGTTTATTGTACTATAGTGCAAATCCAACTCATGCTGTTCTTACATATATTCTGTTTATTCAAATATTACATATTACATTCTTCCCTTCTCAAATTTCTTCCCTCTCATGATTTTTGTTTTCAATTTCATATCCAATATAAATAATTAATATTTTACTGCTGCCCCCTCCCCAATTCGTTTTGATTACCTTTGAAAAGATTCAGTTGAGACTTTTTTTTATACACTACTTCTTTGTGCAGATCTCTGCTTTATCATAGATCTGTCATAATAATTTCTATGTTGAATGTTTTATAATTAGAAACTACTAATCACATCCACAGATGTTGCACAAAAATACAAATGCTTAGCAGTGTATAGGTACCGGTCGATTGACTAATTCTTGCAAAAATCTCAGATATTTTATCAAAAAACCACATGGATAATATATATATGAAGTAAAAAATATTTAACTGCGTAAAACATAGGCCAAAACATTTTAAACACTTAAGAATTGAAGTGCGTGTGTCAATGTTGATCTTGACCTACTTGCAGGAACCCATCACCTACATGTAACACACACAGATAAAGCAAATACAATGTACAGTGCATGTATTTTTTCTTGCCAGACCCTTATTCATGCAATCATTTGTAGTTGTGCAAAGTAAATACATGTACCTATATATTATAAACTGGAATTTTAAAAATTGACAACCAGGAATAAAAAGTAAAGGAAAGGTATAATGCACATGTTCTAACATGTTGTCTTGATTAATTTCTATAATATAATACATATTGTCTTAGTTTTGTCTTAGTTTTAATCCAGTTAATTACTGGTAATTTATATAATTACATTTATAAAACAAATCACTTTTTCCCATTAAAATTAAAATTTTGAAGGTTTTTTTTTTTTTGGTAATGAAAGATACATACATGTATTAGTTTTGTTTTGTTTTGTCTTGTTTTTTTTTTTGTTTTTTTTGCTGCATTAATTAAAAAAACTGGTTTTCATGTACAAATCACTGAAAATTGTAATAATATTAAAACGTCACTTATTAGTCTGTATATCACCAAAGTATGATTGAAAAATTGAATGGATAGTGCAATTGACAAGCATATGGCTTTAATATTACAGTTTTATGACTCATGCTTATATGATAAAACTGATTGACTACCACAGCAGACCATGGCAAGGTCATATCTTGGTTGAAATGATTAAGAACTGACCTACTTTGGATGATTAATTGAATGTCGGAACTGTCTCTCTGACTGTTTTTATAGGCACTGAAACTTCAGGGTAGATTTTATTGCCCTTCCTGGAACAAATTCTAATGGACATCCTCATCAAATATTGCCATTCTAAAGCTCTTACAATATATCTGTAATGGCTATTATTAATACCACTGAAATTTTATGACTGTGCCTGAATTCATATTTTGTCTGGAGAAGGTAGATTAATAAACACTTATTTTGATATTATGATCTGGCAGTTGAGTGTATATGAGAAACTGTCCAACTGTCAAGATATGTGAGAAAAATTAAATTAATCAAAAATGGAAAAAAAAAAACAGGTTTTCTGAATCATAAACTAGTCAGTGTATGTAAATATTGGTGTGGGTGTTACTCCCTCACAGCCTCTCTTTACAATATACCAGTATCGGTGTGGGTGTCACTCCCTAATGACTTGTTGTTCTGCTCTACTTCATATGCCAACATGTGAATGTTATCATATTAAAAAAATAATTTATCATAAAATTAATTTTAAATAAAAAGGAGAGTACCTTGACCAGAGGAATGAAATAAAATATATAATTGTGTTCTTCTTCACCTGTGTCTGACTCCTAGTGCCCTCGGGTTACAGACAGTTTGAATGATACATGTATTTTGTAAGATTCAAGATTTATAGGAATGTAAATAAAATCATATACTCCTCATACCGAATCCTTACAATTTATATACCTCAAGTTTCTGTTCTCTGTTCAAATTTGTAGTCTTCACGGTGAACATTTACTTATGAACTTGACAGATTTGATTAAAATCAGTGGAAAAACTACGAAAAAAAATATTTCTTAAAAATGTATAAATTATTTATATCAAATTCCAAACAAAACCAAAAAATCACTATAAAAGTATTTCATTAATGAAATAGTCATTCCCTGCAATTTTACAAAAGATATTTGAATTTCTATTGGTACAGTACTTAATTTGCAACACTTCCTTTTATCCACCTGTACTTTTAATTCCTAAGATATTGGAAAGTATCAATTACTGGTAACATATTGCAGTATGGTAACATGACCTATATTCTCAACATAAAATAAAACTACCACAAAATGATGTTAGAAACACTGGACACATGAGTATTTATGCATCTTCAACAGTAAATGAACTGAACTCTTAATTGGAGACTTTAATATGGCAACTGGGCAGAGGCAAATAAATCTGTACCCTCCACTTAATAACCAGAATCTGTACCCTCCACTTAATAAGCAGTAGTCCACAGGACAAGAAAAATGATTTCTGTGTTGTTGAAAATTTATGTTATAACTGCATTTCTTGAAAACATATATGTGCTCACACATTACCACTTCCATGCAATATTTCCAACCAGATGCAAGAACAAGAGGCCCACGGGCCTTATAGGTCACCTGAGTATCATGCAACAACTTCGCCACAATGGATTCATGTTTTAAACCAGAGGCCATGAAATTCACAATTTCGAAAGAGGCACACTTGCTCATCATAATTTTACATTGAGTAAGCTTACTTAATACCCAGAAAGAGAGCAGAGGATTATCAATGAATTAATGCATTTTCACTATGTAATCATTAGAGCCCTGCCCTAACACCAGAACCATGATGCAGGGGCCATAAAATTCACAATTTTGGAAGAGGCATCCTTACATATCATAACAATACTCTTAGTTCATCAGCTTAATACCCAGGAGAAAAGAAGAAGATTTTCAAAGAATTATTGCATTTTTACTATGTAATCATTAGAGCCCCACCCTAACACCAGAACCCCTGACCCAGGGGCCATGAAATTCATAATTTTGGAAGAGGCACCTTTACTCATCATAACTATGCATCAGTTTGTTTGTTAAATACCCAGGATCAAAGAAAAAGATTTTTAAAGAAATAATGCATTATCACTATATATTCAACAGAGCCCCACCCTAACCCCAGAACCCCTGACCTAGGGGCCATGAATTTCACAATATTGGAACATGCACCCTTACATATCATAACTATACTCTTAGTTCATCAGCTTATTACCCAGGAGAAAAGGAGAAGATTGTCAAAGAATTATTGCATTTTTACTATGTAATCATTAGAGCCCCGCCCTAAAACCAGAACCCCTGACCAGGGGGCCATGAAATTCACAACATAGGAATAGGCACCCTTATTCATCATAACTATGCCTTCAGTTTGTTTGCCCTGGATCAGAGAAGATTTTTAAAAGAAATAATGCATTTTCACTATACATGTATATTCAACAGAACGCTGCCTTAACACCAGAACCCCTGACCCTGGGGCCATGAAATTCACAATTTTGGAAGAGGCACCTTTCATCATCATAACTATGTATTTATTTTGTTTTCATAATATCCAAGAGCACAGAAGAAGCTTTTTAAAGAAATAATGCATTATCACTATATATTCAACAGAGCCCCACCCTAACACCAGAACCGCTGACCCTTGGGCCACGAAATTCACAATTTTGGAAGAGGCACTCTTTCTCATCATAACTATGTACTTAGTTCATCGGCTTAGTACCCAGGAGCAGAGGAGAAGATTTTTGAATAATTAATGCATTTTCACTATATAATCATTAGATACCTGCCCTAACACCAGAACCCCTGACCCAGGGGCCATGAAATTCACAATTTTAGAAGAGACACCTTTCCTCATCATAACTATGCATATTGTTTGTTTCCTAAATACCGAAGAGCAGAGGAGAAGATTTTTTAAGAATAATGCTTTTCACTACATATTCAACAGAGCCCCACCCTAGCACCAGAACCCCTGACCCTGGGGCCATAAATTTCACAATTTAGGTAGAGGGCTCAATGCTTATTACATTCATGCCAACAGTTTGCCTGCTTGATGCCCAGGAGTAAAGAAGAAGATTTTTAAAGATTGCATTAATTCTGATGGTTTTAGCCCCACCCCTCAGGCCCCAGGGGGGTAGGGGTCATGAATTTCACAATTTTTACTCCCCTTCACATATAGATGCTATGTGCCAAATTTGGTTGAAATTGGTTCAGTGGTTCCAGAGAAGAAGCTGAAAATGTTCAAATGTTAACGCACGACGGACGACGCACGCCGACGGACGAAAACAGATAGCAATAGGTCACCTGAGTAAACTCAGGTGACCTAAAAATAGGAACTGTCAGCAAATACATTGTATACATCTAAACAGGTGAATGTTATGTCAGAAAAATTTAAATGATACCTAAGTATTTGAAAGAGATTATAGCAAACACCACTTATCATGGTTAAATTCCATAGAGTTTTTTTTTTTTTTTAATAATTTTGGAGTATTAGATACACCCAATGCATTTTCACTCTTGGGTATCTCAGAAACCTGAGGATCCTCCAAAAGCAAACTTTAGGAGGAAAAACATTTAATACGAATCATAATTCTAATCATGGAAGAACCTGGCCGCTGAATACAATGTAATGAACCATTGTTTTAAATCGAGTTTGCAAGTACACATCAGTGTTGTTAATTCAAATAAAAATTAGAAAACAGTGAGTATATGACAGGGTTTCTAAATGATATGCACAGATCTCAGAATTCCAATTTCATATAAAAATGCAACAAACAATTTAACATTTAAATTCAAAGGTCAACTATATGGAAAAATGTTTCTGTAACATAAATCATTTACTTTGAATAATATCAAATGTCCTCATCATAATAGTAATTCCACAGATATCAGTTTGCATTTGTTGATCTTATTCAATACTAAACTCATGTACATTTTTGTTTATAAATTCTATCGTAACTTATTTATCTATAAGGAAGATATATGCTTCAATAAGTGGTTCTCTAAAACATGAACAATATACAACAAATAGCAGCGTTAAAGTCTATGGAAAATAGATTTTTCCTGTATGTAAATAAGAATCAAATTATAATACAATCCTTCCTTGAAAAAAAAAATGTAAATTAAGCTTTTTATTCTAGCATTATTAGTCTAGCATTAAACTTTGTTTTGTAAGAATGAAAAGTTTTCCACAACTATTATGAGGAAATAAAACAACACTAATCTGTTGTCAAGCAATACACATCACTGTCATTCTGACAAATCTACTTATCTAGGAAACACAATCTAGTTTTCATTCAAAAAGCAGTTTAAACAGAACTGTTTTCTTATTGTTTTGTTGTTGCTTTTTTCCTTATGAAAGAACTAAGTAAAACATTCGTATTCATATATAAAGTCAAACTTCATTATCTTGAACACTGAAATCTCAAGTACCTGGGATATGTTGATCAGAAGTGATTTCAGACCAAAGCATTTTTTTATTATCTAGAATCCTCAGATATCTCTATGTTTAATATTGTTCCCGTTGACTTCAAGATATTGAGGTTTGACTGTAATTATCTATTCAATAAATACAGTCAAATTTCATTATCTCAAAATCATTTGGACCATGAAAAAACTTTTAAGATATCAGAGAGTTTGAGATATTAAAGTTAAAATACATAAAAAAAAGAGTGGAGGAGACTTCCAACTCACTTCGACATATCCATGGTATTCAAGATATTGACTTTTGAGACAATGAAGTTCAACTCTACTTCAATCCACTCCTTATTCTGCACTGTTGTGTCAAATGTCATATATACCAATTTTTAAGTTGAACAATAGACCACATCAAATTTTATTTTGTAAGAATAAAAGAAAATAAATTCAAAATGCACCTTTGGTGCATACCTATTTTTTAAAAACATTTTTATGAGAAAATTCGAGTTACACTCAAAAAACTCTTACCGTGACTGTGGCCTTGGAAAGACTAACTGCCCCTCTACATCCATACGATGTGTCATTCTCTGATTTATAATAACTAAGAGTTCCGTCTTTTAAAACAATGAATCGATCTTGCCAACCATGTAAATAATTTGTCCATTTACTCAAAGTGTCTTGGAACTCTGGCAATGAAGATTCGAAATCCGAATCATCGTTATCTTCGTCGTCCGTTAGACTAAGCACATCCGTGCGTTCTTCCGTCATATTGATCTTAAATCTATAAACACTTTACCGATTTCACATATTTAGCAGTATAACTAGAATTCAACAAAACTAAATGTAGGTGTTTATGTTCACGAAACCGACATGATGATGTCATACAGGAAGTTTTCGTATGAAAGAGAAACCCATTTTGGAATTAAATCCGGAAAACTAACGCAGGATTACCAACAGTAGGGTGGGGACTGTATCAAATTATTTTAGACAAGATTCATATGAAATAGAATTAATAGAATAAGTAACTGAAGTGTACTTAATGTCAAATCTTTTTTTCTTAAGGTTTGCTATGGTGAGGGGTTGTATGGGTTTTTTTTTAAAGCTTGTCAACAATTTTTTTTCTTTGGGATTGGGGTGGACCTCCCCCTGGATCCGCGCCTGACCGTTTTTAGAGGGATAGAGCTAACGGAATATCAAGTATCAATGTGACAATACACCACCCCAGCACTTTTCCCCTCCACGAGAATAGTCTTTCCGCTACTGCAACCAACAAAATTAAAAAAAAACAACAATCATTACATTTCCCTATATCAGATATTGTCTGCCCCTTTTCAAACCTGCCCCTTTTCAAACACTTTTAACTGATAGAGTGTTTCGACAATTTACCTTTTTATATTCAAAATTTTAACGTCCATGGCAACATTATTCAACAAAATTTAAACATGATATCCAGAATTATGCATATTGATATCTTTATATTCTTATTGATTTACAATGAAAAACTGTAGAAAGGGAATTTTGTTTCTAATGAATTTATTTTTTCTTTAAACTTTTTGGGGGTATGTTCTAATCATACAAAAATCCTGTGTAATTTAAGAAACTGCACACCTGGCCTCAAGACCAAAAACTGAGAACAGACTTAAGTCAAAATTTTGATTTTTAATCTCAAGTTTTATTTAATGTATATGCTTAAAAATTTGCAATTTTATATAACATTTAAATTCAAATATATGATAAAAATTTTGCTTCATTATCAAAATTACTTCAAAAGTTATATTGGTTTGAAATTTTGACTTAAGTCTGTTCTCAGTTTATGGTCTTGGGGCCTGGTGAGGAGATATACACATCTGAGAATGATGTGAGCAAATTTCCAAATCTGTCTCCATTTCATCCATGGATTTGTTTTCTTTTCAGTTTCTTACTTGCTTTATGAAATCTCATTTAATACCGGTAGTAATTACAACAATGACACACAAAATCTTGAATCTTTCATTCATTTAATTGAAAAAATAAAAAGAAGTGATAACAGTTTCCACAAATTGCATCTGTTTTAGAGTAAAAAAGAAAACATGTTTTAAGTATTCATCACATAATATGTGCAAATCTTCAACTTCAAAGAAATAAATGTAACCATACTGCAATCCATCCAATAAAAACCTTTCCTCATCCAGAAAAGTAAAACCTCTAATTTTTCTTTCATTGTGAAGAAAAAGAAATCATACATGTACTTTCAATTTTATTAAACAAATTATTTATAGCGATTGCCCCTTCTATTTTTTTAGCATCAAGGCTGCTGACTGGGAATAAGTAAACTAAATTTTTTTATGTGTTAATTTGGAAAAACGAAGCTATATTTTGGCATTTAGGACCACTTTCCTGTCTTTTTCGCTTTCCTTTAGGCCCTGGTGATTCTTGCTTCTCTAGGGATCTGAAAGACAAAAATACCAAATCAACACAAACATACACATTCATCCATCCTTCTGGCTATCAACATTATAAATCAAGTACCAACCTTTTGTTGTTTTGCTTTTGCTCTTTCAGGATATCACTGATTGTTCCTTTACACAAACAACTATCCACATGTTGGTTGAAGGTGTCTAAATCTACTCCTGTCTGTTCCATGAAACATACAGGACACACCAAAGTTTCTCTCAATTTACTGTCTTGAGTTTCTGTCAGAACATCAGGGTCTACATTGTCTTTCATCTGAATTTTTGATGTACTGGGTCCTTCAGAAGATGGATTAGATAATTTTACTGTCTTTTCAACCACAATTTTGGGGGATTGCAAATGTCTCAGATCTTGATGTTCATCATTCATTGGTTCTCTCTTTTCAATGAGACTTTTTCGAGATACTGGTGACCCAGAAACCTGAGATTTAGTCTCCATAATTTCTTGTGAATTTCTTGAGCTTGATTTGAGTTGCTTTGAGGAGATACTTTTATGCTTAGGAGTGAGAGTTTTTCTTGTGCTGGGTTTCTTATCCCTAGCTGTTTCTTCCTCTGGTTGATATCTTGAGCATTCCATAACAATAGATCTACTCAAACATGTATCAATATGACGATTGAATACATGCAGGTCACTGCAGCCAACTTCATCCCTACAAACTGGACAGGTATACCACAAAGTCTCCGGCTTCTTTTCTGCTATGTCTTCTTTAGTAGTGCAGTCATCTGAAATGGTTTTATCTTCACATGGTTCGTTATACTCACATCTTTCATAACTCTTTGCTTCTTTGTTCACATCACACACTGAAAGTTTTGTCACATTTGCTATGATTTCTTTTGACTTCTCAGGATTTTCCAGGAGAAAAAGTGTTTCAGATGTACAGTTTTGTAAAGCACAATCTTGTATCAATTCACTGTCAGAATTAGAATGGCTGTTCTCATTTCTTCTTCTTTGCTCACAGTTTTCCTTATGACACTGATTAATCTGCTCAGCACAATTTCCTGAATTTGGGTCATCATTTTGCTGCTCACTTTTCTCTGAACACTGAAGATCTTTCTCAGCTACATGTACATGTATATCCACATGATTTGAGCACTTTTCCACAAGCTGTTGATTCTCATTTTTCCCAGTCTTTTCTCCTTTCTTCACAAACTGCATTAATGTATTCTGTTGTTTCTTGTTTGTGACAAAATTCTGATCAACCAGAGAACTCATTCTAACCCCTTTCAACAATAAAAGAAAAACTCTGTAAGACTTACATAATAAACATTATGAGATAGAGGCATGATGTAGATAAACATTTACATGTACCCTGTCTTTTTAAAAATATTCTTCTTTAAAACACTGAATAATACATTCATTTGCACATTGATTTCTCATTATTCAATTTATGAAAGTTTTTAGAACCTTACCCATAAGTCTTAGTTGTAGAGGTTGTGGATGTACATTCTTTATCTCCTTACAAAGAAGATCTTTTGCTGCTGCATAAATAACCTCCGCATCATTGGTGTAATCTGGAAGTGAGCATGCTCTTGTCTTCACATCAAACTTGACAGTCTTTATCTTAATAGCGACAGTTCTACCCTACAATAAATAAGGGAAATAATCCTAAAGTTGAATTTCATTTTGTACATTTTTTTTCCTCAATACATTCTATACAGGAATTTTCATGTGCCCTTTAATATGGTCATATTTCTTCTAGCACTTTGCTGGATATTTTTTGTGACTATCACAATTGCTACATTTCCTTATATTTCCTCATCTCAGTTTTCTTGGCAAATGACCATGGAAAACTCCAAAAAGAGAAAAAAGGTAATGTCTACTTGATATATAGTAACTTGGAAGTTTATTCATTTTATCAATTACTTTCAGCTCTTCTGACTGAAGATCTTCAGCTAATGAATGACTCAGCTCCAGACATTTACTGTATAGTTCTGAGGGGGCACTCAGCTCAGAGAATGTTCTGAAAGAAAAAAGCACAAATAACCTCCATAATGCTGTAAAACATAACAAAGAACCTAAAGACAAAGCAAAAACATGATCTGATAGTTTTATCATGCATACATGTTTTAAACAAGAGGCCCATGGGCCACATCGCTCACCTGAGTAACTTTGGCCATGCTGTTCATTACCAGACTCCCCCCTTGTAATACCTATTGTGGCCCCACCCTCCCCCCAGGGGCCATGATTTGAACAATTTAGAATCTACACTACCCCAGGATGCTTCCACATAAGTTTCAGTTTTTCTGGTCCAGTGGTTCTTGAGAAGATTTTTAAAAATTTTTCCTATATATTTCAATGTAAAACTTGGGATTCCCCCTATTGTGGCCCCGCCCTATCCCCTGGGTCATGATTTGAACAATTTAGAGTGTACACTACTTGAGGATGCTTCCACATAAGTTTCAGCTTTTCTGGCCCAGTGGTTCTTGAGAAGAAGATTTTTAAAGATTTTTCCTATATATTTCAATGTCAAACTTGGATTCCCTATTGTGGCCCTGCCCTACCCCCGGGGGTCATGATTTGAACAATTTAGAATCTACACTACCCCAGGATGCTTCCACATAAGTTTCAGCTTTTCTGGCCCAGTGGTTCTTGAGAAGAAGATTTTTAAAGATTTTTCCTATATATTTCAATGTAAAACTTGTATTTCCTATTGTGGCCCTGCCCTACCCCCGGGGGTCATGATTTGAACAATTTAGAATCTACACTACCCCAGGATGCTTCCACATAAGTTTCAGCTTTTCTGGCCCAGTGGTTCTTGAGAAGAAGATTTTTAAAGATTTTTCCTATATATATTTCAATGTAAAACTTGGATTCCCTATTGTGGCCCCGCCCTACCCCCGGGGGTCATGATTTAAACAATTTAGAATCTACACTACCCCAGGATGCTTCCACATAAGTTTCAACTTTTCTGGCCCAGTGGTTCTTGAGAAGAAGTTTTTTAAAGATTTTTCCTATATATTTCAATGTAAAACTTGTATTTCCTATTGTGGCCCCGCCCTACCCCCGGGGGTCATGATTTGAACAATTTAGAATCTACACTACCCCAGGATGCTTCCACTTAAGTTTCAGCTTTTCTGGCCCAGTGGTTCTTGAGAAGAAGATTTTTAAAGATTTTTCCTATATATTTCAATGTCAAACTTGGATTCCCTATTGTGGCACCGCCCTACACCCGGGGGTCATGATTTGAACAATTTAGAATCTACACTACCCCAGGATGCTTCCACATAAGTTTCAGCTTTTCTGGCCCAGTGGTTCTTGAGAAGAAGATTTTTAAAGATTTTTCCTATATATTTCAATGTAAAACTTGGATTCCCTATTGTGGCCCCGCCCTACCCCCGGGGGTCATGATTTGAACAATTTAGAATCTACACTACCCCAGGATGCTTCCACATAAGTTTCAGCTTTTCTGGCCCAGTGGTTCTTGAGAAGAAGATTTTTAAAGATTTTTCCTATATATTTCAATGTCAAACTTGGATTCCCTATTGTGGCCCCGCCCTACCCCCGGGGGTCATGATTTGAACAATTTAGAATCTACACTACCCCAGGATGCTTCCACTTAAGTTTCAGCTTTTCTGGCCCAGTGGTTCTTGAGAAGAAGATTTTTAAAGATTTTTCCTATATATTTCAATGTAAAACTTGGATTCCCTATTGTGGCCCTGCCCTACCCCCGGGGGTCATGATTTGAACAATTTAGAATCTACACTATCCCAGGATGCTTCCACATAAGTTTCAGCTTTTCTGGCCCAGTGGTTCTTGAGAAGAAGATTTTTAAAGATTTTTCCTATATATTTCTATGTAAAACATTGATTCCACATTGTGGCCCCGCCCTACCCCCGGGGGTCATGATTTGAACAATTTAGAATCTACACTACCCCAGGATGCTTCCATATAAGTTTCAGCTTTACTGGCCCTGTGGTTCTTGAGAAGAAGATTTTTTAATGACCCCACCCTATTTTTGTCTTCTCTTGATTATCTCCCCTTGTGAGGGGACTTGGCCCTTCATTTTAACAATTTAAATTCCCCTTCACCCAAGGATGCTTTGTACCAAGTTTGGTCAAAATTGGCCCAGTGGTTCTTGAGAAGAAGTCAAAAATGTGAAAAGTTTACAGACGGACGGACAGACGGACAGACGGACGGACGGACGACGGACAAAATGTGATCAGAAAAGCTCACTTGAGCCTTCGGCTCAGGTGAGCTAAAAATGTGGTCTTAATGCTGTTTTACATGTAAGTGTTTTCAAGAACACAAAATCAAATATCTGAATGATTTGAATCATGGCTGCGACTGACCTAAGTCAATAAAAAATAGGTAGCAACTGTTCCTTCGCCAAGCACTCAGCACTTTGAAGTGAAAGTTGTGGGGCCTTCGGATGAGACCTTAAAAACCGAGGCCCCGTGTCACGGTAGATGTTGGCACGATAAAGAACCCTCACTGCTCAATGGCCCTAAGTGCCAAGTAAAGGTCTAAATTTGAAGCACTTCATCGGTATTTGGTGATGTCTCTATATGAGTGAAAATTCTAAAAAAGGACATTAAACAGCATAAAACCAATCAATCAATTTACCTTTCAGTACTCATACTCTTCCTTTCTCCATCTCTGAAAAAAAAGAGACATATCATAGTGCTTGTATTTAGTATTTTTCATTTCTTAAAATTGCAGGTAGTTTGTATTTTTACTACCTTAAATCTTTGTAGATGAATATGCATACTGTTAATTGTAAACCACAAGAACAGACACAGATAAAGTTTAATCTTCACTACAGTGACTTTCCACAAACAGGGTTCGACACTAACGTTAGTCCGTTAGTCTCAGACTAATACATTTTCATTCGGACTAATAAAATCTGGGGCTAATTAGTCCGAACGGACCAATAAAAATTCCTAGAAACAATATCATATGTATAATTAACCAATGTCCGATTCTCCACAAGATTCTTGACAGGTCGTTAGACAATTTCAAGTCAGCGCTTAATATTTTGACTGATTGATATGATGAAAAACTTTTTAGTGATCATAATTTATATGACACATAAAAGAAAGATGGCAGACATTTTGGATTTAATGTAAAGACAAAAAGAACGAGATCGGAAATACCATCGTACTCGTTGATCTCGAGATTTCAACGAATCTGTGCTGTGGAATAAATAATTTCACGTAAAATAAAATGCTTTGTTTATTTTTAAAAAGTATAAAAACGTTTACTGAAATGTTTTTACAAAACATTGATGTTTCCTTTTTTTGACGGACTCATAAAATTGCATGCGGACTAGTAAAAGTAAAGAAGCACTAGTCCGGCTGGACTAAAGCCTAAAAAAGTTAGTGTCGAACCCTGACAAAATGTCATTGTATATGGGTATTAATTGGAATTGTAAGAAAATTAGAACGTTCTGTGCAGAAAAAAGGTGAAAAGAGGGAAAAAAGCCCTACATCCCCACAATGTCAAAAAAATCTGTACATATACAGGGACCTTTGACCATTTTGGAAGAGATCCCTCAGTGACCATGTCAGTGTGCTATGCATGTTTTACATGGCCATTTCCCCCAGAAAATATTAATACATGATGTTGGAGACACCCCTTCCACTCCCTTACCTTTCCACAGTTGTGGATCCGATCCCAAGACAAATTCTCATGAAGTAGTTAAAGGAGATCTGTGAGTAGAGATGGTAGAGAAGTCCCCTCTTGTTGTAGAGATCTTGGCAGGTCTTTACCCCCAAGGCATTCAGCATCCTCTCAGAGACCTTGCCAATGCCACTTATCTGATAGAACAAGAAACAATTTTATTACAGAGTTAAGATTTTTTTCTTAAAAGAGAAGCACTTATCAGGTTACAGCAGCTACTCATAAAAAATCCCCTCAATTAAAATATTTTTGTTAATTTTCAGGGCTCAAAACTAGGTAATTTATTACATACTGTACATTTATATGTACATATGTAACAAGAGGTCCAAGGGCCTTGAATCGTTCTTCTGATAAACTGTACAATCTATCACTTCTATCTGAAGCCTCTTAGTATCCTGTATACATGTATTTAGATAAAGCCTTGAAATTCCAAAGCTAAGGTCATCATGATTACATTTTAGATGAAACACTCTGAGAACCCAAGATGATTCCAAGCCAATTAGTACCTGATAGTCGGTCATGGTGACCTACTTATCACTTGTCATTCTCTGAGGACCCAAGATGCATCAACTAAGTTTGATGATTCTTAGCCAATTAACACCTAAAATATTTTTAAAATTATAACCATAAAATTTCAAAAGTAGGTCACAGTGACCTACTCTTAAGATGACATACTTTGAGGACCTGAGATGCATCAACTGACAAAGTTTGATGATTCTAAGCTAATTAGTACCCTAAATATTTCATTATAGCCATAGAAATTGAAAAGTAGGTCACAGTGACCTACTTTTCAATAGAAGTACTCCGAGGACCCAAGATGCATCAACTCACAAAGTTTGATGATTCTAAGCCAAATAGTACCCGAAAATATTAAAGAAGCCATAAAATTTCAAAAGTAGGTCAGGGTGACCTACTTTTCAGTTGTTGTACTCCGAGGACCTAAGATGCATCAACTGACAAAGTTTGATGATTCTAAGCCAATTAGTACCTGAATATTAAATATTAAATTAAAACCATAAATTTTAAAAAGTAGGTCACAGTGACCTACTTTTCAGTCGACTTACTCCGAAGACCAAAGATGCATCAACTGACAAAGTTTGATGATTCTAAGCCAATTAGTACCCGAAGTAATAAATTATAGTCATATAAATTGAAAAGTAGGTCATGGTGACCTACTTTTCAGTCGACCTACTCCGAGGACCTAAGATACATCAACTGACAAATTTTGATGATTCTAAGCCAAATAGTAACCTAAATACTTAAACATAGCTATAAAATTTCAAAAGTAGGTCATGGTGATCTACTTTTCAGTTGACATTTTTTGAGGACCCAAGATGCATTAACTTACAAAGTTTTATAATCATAGGCCTTAAAATGTCCACATTATGCCTTTAAAACGCTGTGAAATCGAATGTCTGCAAAGTTCAAAAAGTAGGTCACTGTGACCTACTTTTAATAAATAGGTTTTATGGCCCCAAGCTGCATCATCTTACAAGATTTAATGATTCTAAACCTCTCAGTATTTGAATTGTTTTGAAAAAGACTAGCCATAAAATTCAAAAAGTAGGTCAAGGTGACCTACTTTTTAGTTGACGTACTCTGAGGACCCAAGATGCATCAACTGACAAAGTTTGATGATCATAGGCCTTAAATTGTTCAAAATATGCCTCTAAATCATTCTGAAAAAGAATGGCCGTAAAATTTTAAAAGTAGGTCACCGTGACCTACTTTTGAGTCAACATGATATGAGGTCCTTAGATGCATCAACTGACAAGATTTGATGATCCTAGTCCTTATAGTAAGCAAAATATCAACATTTTAATAAAATGTAAATTTTGGTCAACTTTGAAGTGACCTTGAGACCATGCCCTTTGCCCCAGGGTGATGCCTTGAACAATTTTTAATTCACAACATATACTCATCCTTTTGTGTAAGTTTGGTGATAATCTGCCCAGTGGTTTTTGAGAAGATTTTTTTAGCAACCAGTACTTTTGTTTCTATTTTCCTAAATATCCCCCTTTGTTCAAAGGTCAAAACCCTAGTTTTAGTATAAATGGGAGTCCTTGGGCCAAGGATATCCTGTGACAAATTTGACAATAATTGGCCAAGGGGTTCTTGAGTTATGGCCCATTTTCTTTTAAGTTTACGCACACCGCACAAATGGCCATAGCATTTATAGCTCTTTGAGCCTTTGGCTTAGAAGAGCTAAAAATACCAAAAAGCTGCATACATCTGCAACACTTTCATTTTTTATTTGGACACAGGGAAAGAACAAGTCTCAATAAGGCTTATCTGTGGTCCTGGCCGGTTACTCATCAAATTTCGAACATTTATTAAAATTTTTAAAAATTAAATTTTATTATTAACGAATGTCTTTATTATTTGAATCATCATTTAAAAATGTCAAACAATAGATATAGGCAGCATACAAAGCTGCACGTTGAAGGTAGGGTCCTTTGATTTTCATGAATATTGAAAGAAATCAGTGACATGTACACACTTCAAAGCTTTCGTAAACACCGAGCACAGGTTTGTTCTGTAATGTGTATAATATATGTGTTAAGGTTGAATGAAAATATCTTTGTTGAACAACCTTGTGCTCTATGTTTTCTTATTAAAAGTATTATGATTTTGAATCTCTTCGCTGACTTCATTTACATGCGATTAACCTCTTTATGACCTGTTTAAAATCATAACAAGCCACGTAAATTTGTATCGTCACGGGTAAATGCCCCAAGTAAACATGCTAGTTCTCAGTTGAAACGTACTCAGTTTTATATCGATCAGCATGGACTTGTTTGGTTCATTTGTTATAGCTTTTATATATTGCCAAAGTTTTATAAATAGAAAATTGTATTTGTAGTTGATTGTGAATCTTGAACAAATAATTTGTCTTTGAAAGAAAAATATCATAGTATACCATATATACTAAGATCTTCTTTTTACAGTATCTAATCTAAATGTCTCCGCCCATTTTCATGTAATAAAGAAACCGTAGTCTGATCGGGGGAAAATTTTCCAGCATTTTTTAGTGAAATAGGTGTAAAAAATTGGCTTGTATTTTTTGATATGTTAAATTATTTATTATAAATACACAATGTTTTGATTAGAAATACTTCGTTATACACAATGAAATTAAACAAAATACTGTATGCTAATATTTAACCGGTAAACCAAGGGTGTAAAAAGGGACCACACTACTATACTTAAGTATAATATTCCTTTAAAATGATTGCCTCTTGCTTTTTAGGAGACATAGCCGTTTTTAATCAATCTAAATGTTACCTTTCTAATGGATAACTCCCTGATAAAGGACATGACAGCCTCTACAGTGGGTGGGATGATGTATTGACCATTTGGTTTGTTCATGTCTGAACAGACTTTGGCTAACATCATATTTGGAGCAACACCTAAATGTGGAAATTAAATAAATCTCAAATACATATACACTGAATTAAGGAACTCTTAAAATTAATATCAAATTCAAAAATACTGAAAATGAGGAAAGTCATGCCTGCACTAGCTGTTAGACAAGTCTTTTGCTGTATCCTGGAGCGCATTTCTTTGACTGCATCTTCCACAGCTGTTCCAAATGTCACCATCTCAAACTCAGGAACAGGCTTGCCACAACCAGTGCAGGCATCAGGAACCTTGGCTTTGACCTTTAAAGTCCCATCTTCACAAAGACCTACACCCAGAGTTTCATTCAAATCACATAAACACAAATTCTTATCAAAGCTGTCACAAGTGCGACAAATTACTGTCCGCTCTTTCTCTGTCAGGGCACTGCGCTTTGTCAAGTGATCTGTGAAATCTAGGTAAGCTTCATCTAAACTGACCGTGCAGAAGTTGGGGTCAAAGGTTGCCAGAATCTCTTTGACCTGTTTGCTTACTGAAGTATATTTATCAAAATGAGCTGGGACGATGACAAGTTCAGGGCACAACTTCTTCCCAATAAATCCTGGCATTGCTGCTCTTACTCCAAATTTCCTTGCATGATAATTGGAGGTTGACTGAAATTGAAACATTTCATTTTCAAACTATGAAGAGTAAATCCAGTCATTTCAAATATATTATTTTTTCATGATTTTTGCAGTGTTATTAACAGACGTTGTTGAGATGCTGACCACCTCAAAGGGCCCCACTTTTTGTAAAGAATATTAGGATGAAAGGGACTTGTAAAAGACTGTACTTGGAGTTTGACAATGACCTTTGACTTACACCTTAACCCATAGTCTCTCTTTGCAAGGTATGAACTAGATGATGCCTATGGGAGAGAAAATGATTATGCTCATAAAAGGATTTCACAAAGATCTGTTATGATCTTGACCTCTGATATGGAAATTTGGTTCAAAGTCAATGCAAAACCTTAACCCTCGAGCTCTCCATGGGTAAAGTTTGAGCGAGATAGGGCCACAGGGGAAAGAAAATACTGTAAACCAACTTTTATTTTCGTGCAAGAAATATTTGCAAGTTTTGCAACTTACTTTAACTCGCAAATATTAATCACCACGAACCAATTATTTTGATTTGTGTTTATAAAGAATGTTTCCTCAGCCACAAAAATTAATTCTAATTGATTTTAAACTGACGATTTGCGAATAGAAGATATGTTTTGACCTTTACCACAGGCCTGAAAAATTTGGTTGAAGATCACTGCAGACCCTCAAGCCAAAGGCACTAAATGGTTAAAATATGAGTCAAATAGGGCAAAGGGAAGAGAAATATGCTCAAGGCAAGGATTTCTGAGAGAGATCTGCTATGACCTTGACCTTTTCTTTTATCTAGAAAATCGGTTTCAGGACACTGCACACTCTAAACCTACAGGCAATCTATTGGCAAAGTTTGAACAAGATTAAGCCAAGGGGAAAGAAAATTTGATCCCAACAAGGATTATATAGAGGTGTTTTTTTAACCTTGACCTTAGACCTAGAAAAATGGTCCAAGGTCACTGCACACCCTCTACTCACGAGCACTGTATGTACGACATTTGAGCCTGATCGGGCCAAGGGAAGAGGAAATATATTCCAGACAAGTGATATTTATATAATAGTGTTGTACTTTGCATGCACTATGCCTAAATAGTAGTCAGGGTTTGACACATGGTGCACAAGCCGGAGGCGAGTGCACTATGTGTCAAACCCTGACTACTATTTAGGCATAGTGCATGCAAAGTACAACACTATTGTTATTATTATGCTGACAGTTTTATAAAAACGACAATATTTTCTCCATTTCCAATGTTTCATCACCTCTTATATTCATGTTAGTACACCCCTATTATGACGTCATGTTGTGCTACATGTACGTCATAATCTTTTTTCTTTAATTTTGAATGTTCCATGTACAGATAGTTTCAGAGAATTTTAGTTGTGTGAAGGGTAAAAAATTGCAAGATGCTATTTTATAAAAATTATTTTGTTTATTTTTTTTTTCTTTTAGTGTGAAATATTTGAAACTAAGTTTATATATATTATAATACAGTGCTATAGATAACGGCGTCTGTGGCGTAATTGGTAGCGCGTCGGACTGACAATCTCGGAGTCGTGAGTTCGATCCCCGGCGTGGGCGCTGTCGGATTTTCTTCAGAAAAAGAAGCCATTCTCTATTTCGGCATAGTATGCTTACGCTATATAAATCCTTAGACCACTATGCGAAAATAGTTGGGTATTGACTATATAGAGACAAACTGACAGGAGGCATAATAATGGACAATAGGATGGATGGCAGATTGATCACTTTAGGGCACCTGAAGAGCAGGACCCTACAAACAAGGAATTGTTTTCCTAATAAAAACAGAAGTCTACCCTTTTACTAGCTGTAACTCCTTGGAGGAAACACAAATGGGGTTTGCATATTAAAATTCAACATTTTACACATTAATTTTTAAGTCATACATGTATGGAGAATTATGAAATATGTTACCAGCATCGAATTGCCTCCTACAGCCATTGGTTTGTCTCTGAGAGATGGGTCATCTCGCATCTCCACTGCAGCATAGAAAGCATCCATGTCAATGTGCACAATGGTCTTACTAAGGTCTCTCAATCTATCAAATTCTTCCAAGAGAAGATCTGCCTTTATAAAATAATCAAACAGAAAATTTCATGATTAAGAATGGTCATGAAATAAAATTCTGTTTTATTGAAGAAAAAAAAAATTGAATATATTTTATCAAGTACAGTGGAATCAATAATATTCATAGGGTTGCATTTTCAAGAATTTAATGCTATCCCTACCCATGAATTCAAACCACAACCAACTATTCCACTAGCCCAATTGTACTTACACATCATCTATATAAGGTTTAGATAAGAATAATATATGCACAGAGGCCTTGACAGCATCTTGGTTGTTCAAAGTGCTTACCCTCTCCCTTGAGATTTCCAACTTCAAAATCCCTATTTCCAATACATTTACTAAAGGAGGGCTCTTTGAGATGGTTACCACCTACATATATATCCCAATATGGAGTTTAAATAAAAATCTTTTAACCTTGACTTTTGACTTGGTTCAAACACAAGAGTCTTCTGTATCTGTCTGTACTCATGGGTAAAGTGTGAGCCAAACTGGTCCAAGGGCAAAAAATATATAATCCAGACAAAGAGTTTACTATTTGCTTCAACCTTGAGTCCTTGACTTCTTTGACTTCTGACCTAGAAATATTACTCATTACTCAAGGTAATTGAACATTCTTCACTCTAGAACACTTTTTCGGGGGAGGGGGGGGGGAATATTCCAGAAAAGGGTTTGACATAAAGATCTGTATGTCATTAACCTTTGGTTCAGGGTTACTGCACACTCACTCTAAAGTGCTAAATTGGGCCATTCTCCATACAAGTAATATTGGATAGGATCAACACCCATTGCAGGGGACCCAGCAGAGTGGGGCACAAACAGTGATAAAAAAAAGTGATATCTTTTCCTATAAAAAGTTTATTCAAGAAATGATATCCCCCAAAAATCTGTGAATTTTTTGCAATTCTCAATTGGCCCCCATGAATTACAATGATTCCACAGTGTAGTTTTAATCAAATTCTCAGCTGTAATTTCTTTTACATGGTAAAGATTATTATTTTCATAGACACATCTCACCTCCCTTTCAGCTGTCTCTAACTGCTCCTGGGTGATATCCTTCATCTTCTGTTTCTGCTCTTCAATCCTCTTTGCCATTTGTTCCTCCTTTTTCTTTTCATTTTCAAAGTATTTAGATCCTATATGAAATTTATAAATTTAAAAACCATGCAAATTTGATACCAAATTTCATAAAATTACAATTTGTGTAAATCACCTATTATTTGCCTGCGAGAAATATACGCGAGTTTCGCGACCTACTTTAATTCACGAATATTAATCACTGCAAACCATTTATTTTGCTTCATATTTGTAGAGAATGTTTACTCAGTCGTGAAAATTAATCGCTGTGGATTGATTTCAAACAGACAAATCGCAAATAAAAGATGACGTGAATAATAGTTGGTTTACAGTACGCAGTTTCTCAGATTTATTTTAAACATCTCATGGCAAGTATATTACATGCACTGTCTTCAAACATCGAAAGAGACCATGTTAAAAAATAAGGACTGATAGATTATTTCATCAGGATTCTGAAATATTGGATCCATTGCTGGATTTGCAAAATGTTGTACGTCTTTATTTAACACAGAAAAAGCATTATATTTATAGGTGAGGTATTTCTTGTGCAATATGCTATTATTCCCCATATACATGAAGTATGATGCTTCTTACTTTCATGCATGCATCTAGAAATCTTGCAAAACTCAGGGTAAATAAAGCAGTGGCAATTAAAAAAAAAAATCTACCATATATTTCAGAATCATTTTAAAGTGAATGATCAAAGTTAATACAGGTTAAAACAAAGTTAGCAAAGTTATTACACATTAAAACATATATATTATAATCAAATTATAAGGCAATACAGTGGCTGCAACGTTATTGTTGACAAACCAATCATGTAGAATCATTCGTGAAATGTGTGTGATCGTTCGTGTAACGTGAAAGATCATGCGTGTATCAGGCTCAATCGTTTGCGGTTTTAATCGTGCGTGATTGTGCATTAAGAAACATGCAATTTTCGTTTTGTAAGTTTTCATTGGAATGTAATTTGTTAAAGAAGTATTTCGCTTGTCTGTTTATTTTTTTTAATTGAAATAGAAGAAATGAAGCGAAATTTACAAAATTGAACGAGCTAATTATCGCTAGTAATTAAGCAATCTAGTAAGTCGTACAATTTTGTATTCTCCTAAAATGGCATAACTTTTAAAGATAAAACATATTTAAGATATTCATCGATTTTCTTCTCTGATATAAATTTTGTTTACTGCTAATTGTGGTCAGTATGTTTTTTATATCAAAACATCAAAAATGTATATCTTAACAAATAAATAAATAAAAAATTTTCCATACTTACATAAATATTTTATTCGGCAAATGTACGCGACATGATTGTTGGGTTTACTTTTCTCAGTGTTTATCCCTGATACTTATTTTATTTTTAAAATTTCTGCAAATGAATGAATAGTAAAATGATTGCCGATTTTAAAGATTCACAAAAGGAAAGACAGATATAGTTTTAATTCATTTACTATGCCATTTTTTAAAATTTTATCCCCCCCCCCCCTTACTGCATATCCTAAAATCCATTAGAATCAAAACTGGCCTACCTACAGTATACAGTGACATCTGATATGCAGCAATCGATGATAAATTACATCTTTATCTTTTTTATCGAAAAGATAAATAAAATCAAATTTCCTAAGTCCGAGAATTACATAAATAATTATTTGTAATCTAAAATAACTACATGTATTAAAATGATTAAGTCTTATTTAGTTTCAAATAAATGTATATCCATTTTCTAAATTTTTTTTTCAGTTTTCTAAAGTCAATGAATTGCAATAATAATCATTTTCAATCTAAAATATCTACGGTATATTAAGCATTATATCGTTTTAAAAATATCCACTCCTAAATATTTCTAACTTCTTTGCGTGAAGAATCGTGCATTTGCATTAGCAATCGTGAAAGATCGTGTAGAGTGTAGAATCATGTGCATGAGGGATCATTTGTGTAACAGGTTTAATCGTGCGTTAATCGTGCGGAATCGTTCCTGTAATATGATCATTCATGTAAGTTGTCAACAATAATGTTGCAGCCACTGTAGGTAGTTTGGGGTAAAAATTTCTTTGGTTCAATCAGAGTATTTACCTTTTGATGCCTCAAATATAATCTGGTTAATTTTTTCTTTATCCAGTCCTGTCATGCCTGCTTTGTTGTCATTCAGTAACATTCTAGACATCAAAGTCTCGCTTGATTTTGTCTCAACTTTTCCTGTCTCTTTACTGTTTGATAAATCTGTAAAAAAAAAAAATCTTTTTTTGTAAAAATATCTCATACAGTGTATGTACAAAAATATAAAAGTAGAAAAAAAAATGAAACGCATTGATTAAAGCACACAATTTTACAGCTTTATTGTATTTGAACAATATCTTATTAATTTTCTCTTTTCGTGTAAGTAGTGAGGAATATATACACATTTTACCAATAAATTTATTAGAAAAACCTACTACATATATGTAATAGTCTTTCGATATCTAAATATATTCCCAACTTTTAGTGTTATCAATGATTTACCATTATTTCAATGACCATGCATTCACACATAAGCTTTTCATATGTTCCTACAGCTATAATTGTCTCGTTTTTCTTTTTAACATCGGGCTCGATGCTATATGATGTTCTAGAAGCTTCCGTCAATATTAAGAGCGGTGAATGACAAAAATAATTTGCACATTTCCCTTTTTAATCGATTATCACAACTTATTTCGTTTATGTCATTTAAATCAAGTTTTGATTGAATAATTCAGTGATGACGTTTAATGAAAAAAATAAACGATTGATTGTTGTCAGTTTCATTGAAAATTGCCAGAAACTTAGATCCGCCAACCGGAAACGCCACCGTACTCACGTTTTTGCTATTTCATGACTGTTTATAGAAAATAAAAGTAGACTTTTAATTTAATGTACGATACTTACAATGCGAGTGAAATCTAAATATAGTTTACGGACATCATACTGTATCTAGTGTATTCTTAGAGGAGTAAGAAAAAACTCTGGTGCATCCGTTTCGGAGTTTATTTGCAAAATTTATTAATTTATAAGTATAGATTTATTATAATCACACTATGTGTACATGCTTGTTTTAGAAGAAATCTTATTCAAACCTTTACTAGGCATCACTTTGTCATTGTTGTCAAAACAGCTCTTGTTACGTAACTCTTTTGTGCCAGAGGTAAGATTACTATCCCAATTAATTGCCATCCAGTCCTCTTCCTCCTCCTCATCTTCTGTGGCTTCATGTGCATTGTCCATTCTAGAACTGTAACAATTCAATATTCTCTCTTAATATCACAGTGAGCAAATGAAATTGCACAGCTCATACTGACACATTTACTGTCAGTGCAGATCTTTCCTCAAATCAAACAACTATAATAATTGTTCAGCTACTTTAGCATTACCTGGCTTAAAATTAAGCATGACATCACATTAAAATAAATTAAGCTTTTAGTAAATTTGTGAAGGTAAAAAGTTACATTATTTAAAAACATTTCTGAAAACTAGGGAGTTTTCACCTCTCCCTCAAAGCAAATTAGGAAGATATTTTGAAAATTAAGGGGGACTTGATACACCTAGGAATAACTACTTTAACTCCCTCCTATTCTGAAATATGAAAAAAAAAACATTGATTTAATCAATATAAATTTATATTTGGTAATTATATTCTAATTTAAATCTACCTAGAGAAAAATCAATATGCAGCAAATCATATGGTTGAACATTTAGTTTTATTACTAAAAAAAAAAAAAGAAAGAAAAGAAAAAAAAAAAGAAGAAGAGAAATAAAAGAAGTTCGGCAGACATATTTTTTGTGAAAAATAATTATTTTCTTAAATGTTTATGCTTAATAACATTAAATAAAACAAATGAATAATATATTTCCCTCACTAGGCCTAAGTTATTGATAGATTTGAAAAAAAAAAGACTGGATGACATTTCTTTTTGCTTACTGATATTAGTCTGAGCCATATCTATTTACGTCCGTGATGCATTTATATAAACAGTGAGCTAACTGACACTGTCATGATATTTATAATTGTTTTCAAGATCAGTATAACATTTAGGTATCTTAAATGGCATAAAAAAATTTCATAATTAATTTCAAAACTTTGGTGGTCATTTATCAGATGTATGTTGCATAACTAATTTGATACGATCCCATTTTGATTCCTGTTAATATTTTCAGGATTGCAGCTGTGTAAACGGCTTTATAGGGGACTATTCATTATATTTCCTCTCTAAATAATTTGAAAAGGATACTTTTATAATTATATTAACGACATGAAACAGCAACGAACACAGGCTTCTTGCAGACAAAAAGTGCAGCACCATTACGATTTCGTAAAAATAAGAGATAGAAACTTGTAATTTTCCATGGGAAAAAAGTGTAAGGTTAGAATTTGGCTGGAAAAAATAGGAGGGGTTGGATAACCGGAAACATATTTTTTTTTTAGTCCTCGGATGACCCATAAAACAAAGAACATGTAATTGGTCCCCCACAAATAATGATGATACATATGAATGAATGAACTTTATTCTCATAACTGACAAAACAGTGAAGAGAAGATATGTACATTATAATAAACAGAAAATATTACATGCCTGAAGAGGGATAACAGAGTATAATTATATTGCATTGTGGGTTACCTGGAGACCCACAATGCAATGCTTGTGGATCTTGTTGCTAACTTCATTCTCACAGTAACAACAACTAAAAATTCACAAAAAATGAACTCACCTTGAATTAACGGATATTACATACAGACAGTTAGATTAAATGTTCTTTGTTAAGATTTTGCACTTTTTCAAACATCATTTAAGGAAATGCAGCTAACATACAACGTCATGTGACGTCACAGTCTAGACGTTCCAAAAGTCTTGTGGGGTCAGAAGAGGCAGATCTTAAAATTAAGTGAACAACTGTGCTCACCAAAATGGTCACACTGTAAACATATTAAATTTATTTCTCCTTAAATAGATCTTTGTTTTTACAGTGACAAGGGCCTAGCTGAAGGATATAATTACAAGGGTGGCCTGGGGGTATGATGATGTGAATGTGACTTGACAGTGAAAAAAATAATCAATGTGAATGTGTATTTTCAAATAAATCTGGCTTGGTTGACCGATTCAGTATGATGTCAGCAAATTTAACACCTTTGTATTTTTCTTATTGATGGAATATGCACAAAATCAGCTGCAAAACCATGCTTTTCTGATTTGTCATTTGTTTGTTAAACAAAAACTGTTAAAAATCTCGATTATCTGTGTACCTAGAAAATACATAAAACCATACCAAAAATAAAATGCAAATAAGATGTTGAAAATATATTGCAAACCTGGGAGTACCCGAGATGCTGACTCTTGAGTTATTTCAGTTCTCCCGCGACATTTTCTACTTTCGTTTTACATCTATTGATAACTCGACCGTACATTAGTCGCTTTTATCTAGGCTTATGTAAACAAATCCAACTTATCTTATGCTTACTTATGGACCCAATCTGAAATATGAAGTAAATGACGATTGTTTAATGTATATCAGGTAAGTGATTGTTTTGTAGTCTAGACCAGCAAATGAACTTGATAGTCTGATGAAGCATAAGCATGACATCGTTACATCTATTTTAAAACTAGTGACAAAATGTTGTGGTCAAGAGTAAACGTGTGTGCTGAATGGAAACGCCCCATCTCTTTGTGTCTGCAAAACCCCATAGAAAAATGAGTATAGATTATTAAAACGGTACGTTTTTTAGGATCCTTGGTCACATAGATAACTAGAGATCTGCTTTACAGAGTTGTCGTTCGTTCTCTCTGTTGTAGTTTTATGATGCACCGTTTTAATATTTTTGAGGTATTTGCTGTTATCAGAAATTATATCAAGAATTTGAGTTTTTATGTCAACAAAATCAAATTTTTGATATAAAAAATTCAGAATTCTTTTTGATATCGAAATTTCGATTTTGTGATATCAAGAATTTGATTTTTCAGTATCAGTAAATCTTTTTTTTATATCAGGAACTCGAATTTTTGATATCTTAAAATGATTATCTGATATCATTTTGATTATTTTTATATCAAGCATTACTTTTTGATATCAAAAATTATTTTTATATCAGGAATTCGAATTATTTATATCATTTATCTTCTATTGATATCAGAAATTACCTCAAAAATATTGAAACGGCACCTCATAGTTATTAGGCGTTAGTCAATAGGAATTCATATTAGCTTTCCATGTATATTATCGTCTGAATAAAGAAAGTGAACTTGGTATTTGATGTTTTTGATATTTTACTTGTATGTATTTTTTTTTTAACTTTGAACGTTGAACATTTTGAAACTTTTTTATTCGGGGAAGGGGGGGGGGGCTTTTTTTGAGTCAGAATTTTGAGCACCAGTCAAGGACATATTATATACTTTCGTGTCATTTGAAGATAGATTATTTTCAACATTTTTAGGACAGGTTATTTACCCCCCCCCCCTTTCAGAATCAAATGGCCGTCACCTAGCACTGGCCGCGCCATTGTGAAGACTGGAGTTTTCATTATTCGACTTCTGCCAATTTTCTATGCGTGTAATAAACATCAAACTTAAAACTCATCAGTTGCACACTTGAAAGATAAATGTGATGATTTTCATGTTTGAATTTTTTTTTCAGGATTGGTTGAGAAATGTCGTTAGACCGCCTTGAACAACTTCGTAATGGTCGTTCGAAAGACCTCGATATTTTTCCCGATCCTGAAAAAGTCCCTGTGGATTTAGACATGCAAAGATTCAATAATGGACGTAAATTTTTTCAGGATAATGTTTCTATGTGCGTTCTTGGAATGTTTTGCTCCCTTGTAGCAGGTTTCAGCGTTGTTAACCTCTTAGAACCACTAGTTTTTACAAACAAATCGAACACGGCCAAAAAATCACTCAACCGTTACTTGGATACTGTACGTCACGTCGCTCTGTGGCATTATGGTGATATATGGGACCCACTATCCTTGGCTAGAAAATCCATAAAGAAAGTTTACGATATGCACACTCATGCCAGAGATAGTATGAAGAAAGCAAACAAAACCAATAGACATTTTACTCAGTATGACATGAGCCTAGTTCAAGCCGGTTTTATTGGATTTATAATTATGTATCCAGATAGGCTTGGTCTGCGGGGCTCTAGATCTCATCTAGATGACTTTGTTTACTTTTGGAGATGGATAGGCTTCTTTTCAGGAATCCGGGACGAGAACAACATTTGCATTAATGGATTCGAGGATGCGTATCAAATCTGCAAACAAGTTGAAGATGAAATCGTTTACCCCGCACTTTTTAACCCACCAGACCACTTCAACTCGATGGCAAAAGCTTTTACAGAAGGTCTTTCGCTCTTGACAAATGTTACCCTATACACACCAGAGTCTGTCATTGGTTTTTCTTTGGATATGGCACGTAAAAAAAGAATTAAGGATGTTGACTTCCTAGACAGTTGCCGGATAATTTATTTAAAAATAATCGTTATTTTAGTAAAATATTGTTCCTGTTTCAGAAGTATGGCCAATAGACTGACTGAATCCTTGATTGTGCCAAATAAATTCATTTTCTGACTTCTAGTTTTTAAAACAGTTTGTTGTTTATGGCCCAATTAAGGTATGTCATAAAATTGACATAAGGTCATGTCTTGAAGGTTCAGGTCATGAGTTGTTGAAATTTTGTCACAGGAATACCATTAATATCGGAACCTTTAAATGGAATAAATTCAAAATACAGTACCCAATATATTTTTGCAGATTGCAGATGACATACAGATTTTTTTAAAATCTTCAATCAAGGTCACCTCTTTAATGCCAAGGTCGCTTGGCAAATAGATTATGTCAGTACCTTGATGTTGGAATCCGTGAAAGAAGATGTAAAGTAGGAACCTTATTCAAGAAAATCTCTTATTCCGGGTCAAATATTGATGGTTACACTTATTGGTTTAAAGGGAGGGATATAAGTTATAAATAAGTTTGGTTAACTTGTCATTACTCTTTCCAGATTTTTTCGGGGGGGGGGGGGCAATGGCCTATCTAGGGTCTTTTTAAATCTTTCTATCACTCGTCTCAAAATCAGTTTTGTTGAATTTGATAGTATCTAATCGAGAAAAAAAGAGAGATGATATGCTATTATAATAGAAATATGTAAAACCGCTACAACTGGAGAAAGTTTTGCGATATATTGCGAAAGAATATCGAGAGAGTTTTGCGTTAAAACGCGAAAATTATGCCTTTAAATTATTCGCAAAAGTTTTTCGTTGTAACGCGGCCGGCGGTTTCGTTCTAAAAAATTAGGCTTTTATTTGCGAAAGTTTCTCCTTATAATGCGTTTTTTTTTACCTATGTAAGACTCCCCGTGTAGCTTTAATATGAATTAATTTGGCTGTTAAGAGAGGTACACAGGTCAACCTGAAACACCAATATCGATTTCTTTGTTAAAACATTGGGGGTTTTTTTTTCTTGTAAAATATTTTTCATAGTTAAGAGTCTCACTGAAATTTTATTGTTCCATGATTTAATAATTAAGAAGGGGAATCTAAAAACAGAAAACATTCTTTAGAGAGATACTCTTCATAGTAACTTGTGTGTGTTGGGGAGGGGGGGGGGGTAGTCAAAGGTTTTTGGGGTGTTGGAAGGTTCTACTGATTAAAAGTTCATACCTCGCAGTGATACCTTCACTTACAAAAGATGTGATACACTGAAGCTTTTTAAAATGAGTGAATGAATGAAAACATACTATATACAATGTAACAAAATCTTATCAACTATACATGTACATTTTTATATTAAGTGAAAGAGTATAATGCATAGAGACATTCTAATAGTGAACATGAATAATTAAAAGAATGAATGAATGATAACATTCCATGTACCAAATATCATTGGCTACATGTACATCATGTGCAACAAACTACATGTACATTTGTATATTAAAGTGAGGAAAGTCTCCGAGAATTCAATAATATCTTGTATTTGGGCATTTAAGTTTTATTATTTATTAACACGATCATTCAGTTTTTCGACACGTTAATAATAAATCAATCTTCTTTTCAAATAACCTATGTAGGACTTCAAACATCTTTTAAAAATTAAGTTATTTCACGTGAGGATCCGTAGAAGGCATGAAGGCATGCTTGACATCACTTTTATTTAGAAAACTATCCTAAGGAAAATCATTTAGATACTTGGTACATCTCTTTACCGGATAGTGCAGACACTGGACCGGAAAACGAACCAGGTACTAGTAACCGGTTACTAGATTATGACGGGTTTGACAACCCTAAGTAATAAACTGTCATCTTAGTATCCCTGTAGCTTTGTTTAAATTGTAAACATCCTGAAGACTGACATTAGGAACCTCTTGCCAGTTTTGTAGCTCACTCAAGTCCTGAATTATTTCCTTCTCCTAGGACTCTTATTATACGACTGTCTCGATTGATATGCTAATGGATATACAGACCAAATATTACTTGAAAATTCTACATGAAGGGAGTTCATATTCCCTTCAACCTTTTCCGGAATCTGGTACTCTATTGCAAGTACACGAGGACATAAATGCTAAGAGATTCAACAATGGACGAAAGTTTTTTCGTGATAATCTTTCCATGAACGTTTTGGGATTGTCGTGTACTCTTGTGATAGGATTTAGCATTCCAAACCTTCTGGAACCATTAATGTTCACGAAGAGGTCAAACTCACCAGAAGCCATTTTACAGCGTTATTTGACAACCATACGTCACGTGACATTATGGCATTATGATGTTTGGGACCCGAACTCTGCTGCTAGGAAATCCATTAAAATGGTATACAATAGGCATTTAAATGTACGAAATCAAATGAAAGAGCATAATGAAGACACACAATGCTTCACTCAGTACGACATGAGCCTTGTGCAGCATGCATTTATACATTACGCCATCTTGCTTTCAGACAAATTAGGTCTTGAATGCACAAAAACTGATTTGGATGATTATGTTTACTTCTGGAGATGGATGGGATATTTTTTGGGAATTCGTGATGAGAATAATATTTGCATTAATGGGTTAGAAAATGCAAGAGCTATATGCAAAGAACTGGCAGAAGCCGTGGTATATCCTGCACTTTCAGCAACTTCAGAAAATTCTGAGAACATGGCACAGACCTTTGCAGATGGATTAACGCTCCTGACATTCATTCCCATACAATCAGCCAAGTCACTTATGGCATTTTACTTGGACATTGACGATGAACCAAGGGATTTTAAACTCACCATTCTTGACAAATGCAGAGTTCTGTTTTTGAGAAGTGTAGTTCTCGTGTTTAAGCACAGTGCTCTGTTTCGATTTGTGGCGAACAGGGTCACAGAAAGAATCATTTCAGTATCTTGGTTTAGATCTCAGGTTCTTAATTCATAGCTTAGTCTTCAAATATGAATACTGCTATATACATATACATGTATTATAAATGAGCTCAATTCAGTTTTGACAGTTGGTTATTATTGTCTGTTTCTCAGCAAATTTTAAAAACCCCACCTTTTTTTTCATAAATTGATCGAATTTAGACAACGGCGGATTTTTTCTTTATTTTTGCCTTTTATTTTTTGAAATGTAAATTTTCACTAACATTTTATGGGAAATATTGTGTATGATTAGTTTGATAATGAGGTTTGCTTAAATGACGTAGCTCATAGATGATTATTCCGTTATGGTGAATGTGACGTCAGATGAGTCGTAAATCTCACTGTGGGGATGATTACTTCCACACTCTCCATTGCAGATAACTGAAGAGAGAATCGTATACATGTAGGTGAAATTAAAGACATGTCAAATTAAAATACAACAAATTAAAATTGTAGGCATAAAAATTACTCACAGAGAGTATTACGATTAACTGGTGACATTTACTATTATCATCAGTATGCCTTATCTGCAAGTTTGTACCATGAGAAAATGATAAATGTATATGGAATACTGAATAAACGATAACATATCAGTTGGTTGACTTTATAAAAGAAGATTAAATTATCAAGCAACGGTCTACACAGTAAACCTTTACACTTCTTTCTATTTCTGATCAATTAAATTTAATTTTTATACTCCCTTACATATTTTAACTGTGTAGTTTCCTGGCAGCCACTGTTCGCATGGTTGTTGTGTAGGGTCACACTGCGGATCTGGTTCAGCCTTTAGGTTGAACTTTTGTGAGTACTGCCCTGCAGGCTGTTCCTCGGCGATGAATCCTCCCTCTGAAGTAGGAAGACATTTTGTGTAAAAAGAAATGAAATCAATCATCGCTTTTTTGGCGGGAATACTGCAGCATAGTTTGGGCGATGTATAGATTGATTGTAATTGAATTATTGTTTTACGCCGACTCGGAAGTATTTCGACCACATATTGACAACGATTTGTACGGAAATTACAGATTCACCAATTAAAATAAAAAATCGCTGAGTATAAGTACTCTCGTATATATTGCAATTATATGTTAGAGAAAAAAAAATCGATAGTATTTTATTGTAGGATTATTTTTGCAGTCGTAATGAACTTTGTTCCTAAAATCTTAATTTCTTATCAAATGAGGTACATGTACTTACCAACTGGGATTCCGTCAACAGTTTTGCATTCCAAGATGATTTCACCGGTTCCTGTGCCATTTTTAGACTCGTACTCAAGATCAATTTCGAAAACACCTTGAAGTATGATGGAAATTGATAATTTGTTAGTATATCAAGTATTTGGTAGCAATTTAAAGGAAGTGTTTGAATGGTAATTCTTGATTACCCTGTGGTCCCGATGTTGGTGTTATAGTCATTGATGTGATTTTAGCGTCACCATCATCCTTGATAGGACAAGCTTTTAGTAACTCACAGAAGTAGATTGGGTCAAGATCTGCTCTGAAAAGTATCGAGGAAAAAAAACATCTATCAGCAGTTTGTCTCGTAGCTGAATTCTTAGCTTAACAATATAAAAAGGATTAAGCTTTGAATGTGTCAGGTCTCATAAAGCTCATAAAGCTCTAGCCCTTGTACTAGCTCCATAACTCTCCACCAATATCATACTGATCGGTCGACAATAATCCATATCAAAATGCACATCACTAGATGGGCCGGATTCACTTTATATTTTTATTACCTGGCAAATTAGTATTAGTTTCTTTTTTTAAAAAAGCTGATACACATAATTTTCTATCTTTAAAAAAGGATTTATACTTCTCGACCAGCTTGACGAATTCCTCTACTCCAACAATATCGCACAAAATATTACAGACGGCACCAAGGGCTTGACTTCCTGTTTTCTGCGCAAGTGCGTTGCAAAGAGCCCCACATGTGCCAACAACACCGCTTTCTACAAGTATTGCGAGAAAGCCCTAAGAATAATGATGATAAATGACGAAAATCTCAAAATTTGTTGAATTTTTGAATTGTGAATCAGAAGTTATATTGCTTGCATGTACAACTAAAAAGAATTTCACTCAAAGGACTTGATAGATTTATATATTTACACTTTGCTTTTATTCAAAAAGAGATCAGTATCACGATACTCAATTCTTAATTGTCCAATTCCTATATATGGTAGCCTATTATTTCCTGATCTTTTTTTTTATTTCCTTTATGTCGCTTGACACGTACATGTATGGTGACGATTTTGTAAAATTAAAAAAAGTAATTCCACATTATAATTTTAGTGTATAAAGAAAAAATATAACTTGGAGAAAATGTTCATGTTTTTTTTTTCCTATTACGTACATATTGTTTATGACTTACGAAGAATGATGTTTAGAAGTATGTCTATGGTTTGACTGGTGAAGTTGATGCACGTAGGGCAAAGGTCAACGCCCACCTTTGTTGCCTGGGACGGGATGCGGGTCATCGATACCTGACGGAAAAATGTGGCTCTGTTTTTGGTCACGGGGGTTCCATTTAGGAGAGTTGCTGCAAAAGCTTCCGTCAATAGAAGACCACAGATCACAAACACAGTACCCTAAAGTCGGGAAATGAATCACATAATCCCGGATAACGTTTTTTGGTTTGTTCAAACTATCCATATAAATTATTTTAATGTCATGTTGCAACATTTGGAGAAATGAAATTATTTATTTATTTTGAAAATTCATATTGTTCATGTCTTATAGTTTGACCTGTGTCATACTATACCTTCATAGTGGACGCCTGGCTGAGATTCTACACTTCGTGTGAATTTGGACAAAACGCAGATCTCATTATAAGACAGGGTCTATGGTGGGCTGTAGAGGAATAAAAGTGGTCGTCTGAGGACACAATTTCTTCATACACATTTATACTAATATTGGGTATGATACCAAGAAAAAAAAAGAGATACTTTAATGAAATGAAAAAAAGACGGTGAGAATACTTTATAAAACCTTTTTTTTTAATATTAAAGGTACCTGAAACGTATGTATTGTCGTATTGTACATATACATTGCTAGCACCTATCCGCACTGCACATATTTAGTATTGTCAATCTAGATGTATTGTCGCCGTTCGAGAAATACATATGCATGAGTTTACATTGAAATAATGCTATTCGAATTGAAAATTATACCTTCAGTTTTCATTAGATTGCATGTAACAGAATCGCCCGCAACATTTGGCGCAGTGGTTAGAGCGTTCGCTCTAGAGTTGCGGAGTAAGGAGTTGATCCTTACGTCGCGGGTTCGAATCCCACCGTGGGACGTGGAGACCGGTCCTTCGGATGAGACCGTATAAACCGAGGTCCCGTGTCGTAGTAGGTGCTGGCGCGAAAAAGAGCCCTCACTGCTCAATGGCCATGAGTGCCGAGCATAGGTCAAAATTTGCAGCTCTCCACCGACAAGTGGTGGCGTCTCCATATGAGTGAAAAATTCTCGAGAGGGACGTTAAACAATAAACAAACAAACAAACACTAACATAAAAATAAGTTTTTAATACATAGTTGTCATTTATAACTCTAAATAAGCAGCTGCATGAAATGTGATAGTTAAAATATATACAAGCTGCACTGTGAAGAGGGAGAATGGTGCGATTAACATGATTAAGGACCCTCTCTACACGAAATGAAAATATTATACGAACATAGAGAAAATTATATTGTATAAAGGTGTAAATATTAAGCTTTAATATTTGTTAATTTTCAACATAGGGTGCCTGCCCCCCCCCCCTCCTCCAGGAAAAAAGTTAAAATTATCTTAGCCAATCAAAATGTTAAGAATGCTTCAAATGATAAGAAATTGATTAATAAACCGTATATTTCAATTTACTTCATTTTAGATCTAAGGGCAGATTACTCTAACTAAGTAAAATACCAAGAATCAGGGCTCTTTAGTGTGTAGTGTGTAGAGGGTTCTTAATATAAATTCATTAATAATAATTCCCCAAAACCCTCTCTCTCTCTCTTCCTCTCCAACCCCAGTACAACATTCTTCGAACAACACCTTTGGAGACAAGACATGCAAATTCGCAGCATACATCGTCACCAAACACAATATATGCCAAAATGTACTTGGTACACTTTGGCACTTTTTAGCAGGGAGAAAAACAGGCTCATCTCAACACATATTGTGGCCGGTGTCAGTATGTAAAGGACGACAATATGTACGGTGAAGATAGGTACATATTGTCAACACCGACAACATGTACAGGGTGACAAAATGTACCGTCACAAACATGCTTTCCTGTTCTTAAAGTTCTTCATCTCACTGGATAATACAAATTGCAAACGCTGTATCATAAAACACTCAGTGAATGCAAACAGCAAAATTGGTCTTGTTGATACACGTGTCTCTTGAAAGAAGAAGACACTAAATATACATCTATATTGTAGGGCTATCGACCAGCCAATGATGACCCAAGAAACTCAAAGAACTTTTCCTGGGAATGCCATGGGTTGGTTTACTTAATATGTATACATCAAGAGATCTCTATCTACTGTTACTTAAAAAAAAGATGTCATTCATATTTCAAGCATTTACTTAGGTTTTCTGGGATATGGTAATTATCAAATAAATACACGTATACATATGAACAGTTTGAAAAGATTGAAGTTCATGTTCAAATTATGCAGATCTTAAATACAAAGTCGACTTATGCATTGTCTTCTTGAAGGGGCTGTGAGAAGATTGTCAATGCAACCAGAGTAAACGGCGAGTTTAACACCACAAAATGGACAAATGTAATCATGTCAAAACGCGATAGGATTAGATGGGATTGCCTTTGCTTATTCTTCCTTCGTTAATCTCATGGCTTGTTGCAGTCACATGATTTCATGCTTATATTGTACACAGATCTCTAGAAAAGCATTTCATCTACGGTTTGCCATAGCTATTTCTTATCAGCTTATAGAGCTTTTGGAGAAATTCTTGACCTTCTTGAATGAGATCTACGTCTCATGATAATATCTTGCTTTGTTCTAATACTAGTATAGAATAGAATATATTTATTATTCCATATCAGGTCCCTTTAGAGCATATAACATACATGATTATTAAACAGAACATTCAAGTACAATAATAATAAGAATTTACAAATGTGATAATTTAGGAGTATTCAGCACTATTTTAATATGTACTTAATCAATTTACACAATGCTTATAAGTTGAGATAATTGCTAACATGTAAAATTAAAATAAACATTGTAAAGTATAGGCCTAAACAAGTACCACCGTGTACAATAATGCAAAAAAGCCAGAGATGTACATATACACAAATATATACTGTATAAAAAAAACTGTATAAAAAATATTCCACTAAATTGCCAAAGATACCACGGGACAGTGCATTGGTACTTTATAAGTCACCATGTTTGCATTTGTTATAACCAAACTAACATTTATTGAGTGTCGAAAGTATGCAATTTTTCAAATTCCATATACATGTAAAGACACACTTTATTGCTCCCTTGGTCAATTCATAAAGGGATTTAAAAACATCAGTAACTTCACAATTCAATATCCATATTAATTTGTTCATGATATCAAGAAGTAATTTCTTTTACAATGTTGTATACTTTCATACATGTTTTGTCTAAGTTCATTATATTTTGAATATTCGAAGTGTAAATTAATTTCATCTCCAACTTGGTAAGAACAATTTGTACAAGTTCTAAGTTCTCTAGGAATCACCAAGTAACGGCCTCGTTCTACTGGTATAAATTATGTGCTGATGTCCGCAACCTTGTAAGTACTTTGCGTTGTTCAGGTGATAACAGTGCTAGGTAATTTTCAAAAACCAAAATATTTTTGAATTTTATATAAGTTTCAAGTTTTCCCTTTTGTAAGTTTCTGACCGTTTCTCATAATGTACCATTTATTTGTGTAATGATTGTATCAAAAACATGAGGAGATGTTCTAATGCTTGGTTGCAGTGATAACAAATCTTTCTGTAATTTAAAATATGCTTTCATTGCCTTTTTGTACAAATTATCAAGAGCACTGGAAAAATTTCCAGCTGCATTAAAATAGATTCCTAAATACCTATAAGAAGACACACATTCTATTTGTTTACTATCAAAAATAAAATCACAGTATTTGTAATATATCTGAAGTTCGATTGAAAAGGATGACTGCACTTAACGCCTGTTTTTGGGTCTTTTTCGGTTGCTTCTGTTGCTTTTATATCTAAACTTTATTTCACTTTTGTATGTTTATGAAAGAATCCTGTCAATTTGAAACCAAATTTAAATCTTAAAATGATTTTAGACTGTGATACAATGAAATGATTCAATGTTTTTGTCCTTAGTGTTTTCCAAATATAGTGAATTTACAGTTAACTGCCCTTGATTGAACATTAGATATGCATGAGAGGTGGAGCTAACATTGTAAATATGGGTCTTAAATTAGACTTGATAAATAACAATGACATGTTTGGAAAAAAAGAACATAATCACTCTTTCCAATCTCCCTCTCCATTCTGAATGGCACAAATACACTTCTGACAAAGGTTTCAAAACGAAACTAACAATATGAGCACGTCAATGTATAATTGTATATCAATGCCAGATGACTTAACGTGTTCGAACACAATGTTCCAGTTAGCACAAAACATGCTACCTTACAAGTCACGTGACGGAATTTGGTATTCACAAAGTTACCCGAGGTAGGACATCACGTGGTGAATTATAATATTCAACATGTCACAATCCTTGGTTACAACACAGAGAGCGAGTGTAAGAAGAGGCAGTTTTTTCTCTTTTTAACCATGAGCGCATGTTTGTCTATTAATCTCCTTTTGACACATTATTATTTATGCAAATATACAACTACTGTGAAACGAAGAACAATAGACAAACATGCGCTGACTATGTATAAAGTCAGTAAAAAAGTGGGCGTCCTCATTATCGTACGGAGATTCAAGAAATTGTGATGACCCCTGCCTTTGAAAACAGATTCAAACTTCGTAAATACACACTTTTATTAAACGTAATTACATAAAGTTGTAGATTGGATGTTGACCATTCTTGCAATGAAAAGGAAAATGCTTGTTTTGAAAGTTTATTTTGTCGCAAATTTCGCATGTCCTTAAGTGCAGTCATCCTTTATTTAGCAATTCTTTCGTATTTTGTACAAATTATACTTTAAAAAACCTTAAATGATCAAAATAGCAGTCTACATGTTTTGATATTTCAAAAACAAACTAATGCAATGGTTAACAACATGTAAGAGATTTTAAATGAATTTTAATCGGTGGTTCAAATTTACTGACGACAAAATTTATATCATAAATACGTCTCGTTGCCCAGAGACATTGCCTTTGCATTATGACCTTCAGCCAAGATTACAGCATACGTTTGATCATCAGAAACAATGTGAATTCATTCCAAAGGGGTATGTTTCATAGTTAATAATATCCCATTGCTTGGTGATCTTTGAGATTCATCCTGATTCAAAACTACCAAATTATGTAATGATTTTAAAGGCATCTTTATACTCAATATTGAATTTATTTCAAAAGAAAACTGAAAATAACAGAAAACTTTATTTGATTGGGTCCAAAAATAATTATATTGCTAGTCTCTAGCTAATGCAAGTATCTGAACCTCCGATATTTGACTTTCTTGATTCTATTTTTACAGTTAAGAATTTACAAGCTAGAACTATTACAGGATACAAATCTGTAATTGCTGCTCTTCATATTATATGTACTACCAGATGTAACTGATATTTTGTTGACTATATCTTGAATGTGTGTCAAGCTCTTGAATCAATGGCATATCTCATCAAGACCTATGGACAATGAGATAGAGAAATCGTGCCCAGGCTGCTAAAACCCTAAATCGGAAAGAACCGTTTGAATGTATTTCGTGTACAAAATGCTGCTCTTTTAGACATTGATCTAGGAAACCCTTCCTTAATGTACTGTTTGATGATATTCATGCTGAATATAAAAAAAATATTTCATGCTGTTATCTTTAACATTATACATTTATTGACTGGGTTCGAGGGCAACATGCGTTTTATCGGACCCAAGAACCAAACTGCAAACACAGTTTGTTTCGAGAGGTCGACAAAACGCATTTTGCCCGAGAACAGAGTCAATAAATGTTTTGTTATACCTTGTACTTTTTATTTTGACATAACATGATGTAAATTTTGTTTACCTTCACTGCGGTTTAAACTTGATCAATTCCGTAAAGTTCTATCGAACTCCAACGAATGCAAATAAGATACAGCTGATCCCGCCCACAATGTGACGTAAGCGGTCCAACATCTCATCGACAGGTCCAATATCTCGCTCTGCGGTCAAACATCGATTTTTTTATGACCGCTCAGTAAAACGTTGGAAATGTTAGACTTTTTAAAGTATAGAATTATATAGGAAACAATTTTTAAATGTATAACAAATTTATGTATTAATTTGCATGTAGAAGTCTGCTCCTTGCTGGCTTTTTAAGTTGTGTAGCATGCATGTATATAGCTTTGGTAATCTATTATTCTGTTAATGGGAACCATGGCTCACGGTGCCGCCTCATCAAAAGGGGGGGGGGGTATCAGTATTCATTATGAAGTTCGATGACTGAACTTTCTGCAGTATTTTGGGGAATTGGTTTACAGTTAGCATAATGATGTTCCCTGCCACCTGAAAAGTCCCTTCTCTTTCTTGCATATCACCAATCAGACAGGCAAGGCCAATCTATATCAGTATACTAGCTGAACACACTGATCAACTGACAGGTCGAGCTATAAACATTCCTCTGAGATAGAACTGAATTGACAGGCTGATACCAGAGTTGCAAACAGATTTATTTGTGGTTTGACCCAAATATCGAATATTATCTGAGCAAAAACCCTGTATATATAACATCCATTTTGCTATCCTCACAACGTCAGGGGTCCTGTGGAGTCATGGCCGTGGAAAATGGTCTGTTACCGGTATCTCTATAACTGAAAATGTCCACCTTCATCCCTTTCCAGTGAAAAAAGAAATGCAAACCGCATTGGAATGGGTCTCAAACTTTTTAAGCTACTGGATCTATGTATAGGAAATCATGTTATTCCTAATACTCGTACATGTAATAGTCTCACAAGTGCCCTTGTCTTAATCTGCCTCTGCTGCCTCTCAAAATGTCATTTCCCGAGACAACTGGTCAGAGAACTTACCTAAGTATGCTAAGTGCTGGTACATGTATGTCTGGAGTGAAAAATCTATTGCTGACCAACAACCGCAAAAATTAATCATAAAATATATCTATTACTGTCATTTGTTTGATTTCAAATAAAATAAGGGTAATAGCACTACCGTATTTGTATCTCACCCCCCCCTCTTTTTTTTCAGAACACGAAACAATAAGCATTGAGTTATTCAAAATATGTAGTAGTGTACGCATGCGCACCGGAAAAGTGGGAAATTTTAAAAAATGGCGGAGCGCATCCAGTGTCGAAGTCGTCGATCAACAGAAAATCTCTTTGTTATGATAGAAGAAAGTGTATCGAAAACATTCAGAGACTGTGAAGATATTGACAGTTACGAAAAACAAAGAGTTTTTGAGCGTTTTAAAGAGGTACACGATGTCAAAATGAATATATAATTACAGAGTTTGTTTATAAACAAGATTACACCCATTTGCAGAATTTGTTGAATAGATATTGGATTCTTTTGAAAATTAATTTATTGCTTGCGGTAATATGCATTTTTTTTTGTTTAGGTTTTTTGTAATTCTTTATTCTTCTTTTGCGTATTTCTAGATATACTTTGGAAGTCTTAAGAGTAATATTGTTATTGATGGAGTGGGATGGGAAGAAACAAGTTGTGATGAAACAGCAGGTAAAGATTCTCGAAGCATTCCTAGTTTAATGTATCAACATATCATAAAAATGGTTATGTCAATATCTAAATATAGCAAATACTTTTTGATGATCTTATTTTAATTATTAAAACAGCTGCACAATCATAGGGGGATTAACATGATTAAGGAGATTTGAAATATTTCAATGTTGTTTTTTTTTCAATCTGTTTCACTGAAAAGTCTTTATAAAACGAATTTATTTTTCAGAATACAAACCCATTGACATGGAGAAAAAGAAATATGTTGATACCACACTTGTGGAATTGGTGGATGATTCAATCATCAGAGTGAGCAGTCGACGGAAGAAGTACCCATCAAAGCTTACCATTAACTGCAGGAAGATGTTGGAGGCTAGAACAGTTCAATGTGTGAGTTAAAGTATTGGTAAATTAATATTTTACTAACAATAAAAGGTGTACACATAAAGATTTTAAAGTTCTTGAATTTGAACTAAAGATACATGAGGTTCGCTATTTGATACTAGAGTTGGGTACTGCGAGTGAAAACCGTATTGCAATATTTATACCCCCGTTCCGAAGGAGAGGGGGGTATACTGTTTTACCCTTGTGTGTCTGTCTGTCTGTCTGTCCGTCTGTCTGTCTGTCTGTCCGTAACAAATTTTGGTCGCAGTTTTCTCAGCAACTACTCATTGCAGATGCTAAAAATTTTAGCACTATGTTTGTTTAGGCATGCCATATGGTGGGATTCATTTTTGTACGAATTCGATGTCAACTTCCTGTTTTTCCGTGCGTCTGTCCGTATCATACATAACAAATTTTGGTCGTAGTTTTCTCAGCAACTACTCATCGCAGGTGCTTGAAATTTTAGGACAATCTTTGTTTAGGCATGCCATATGGTGGGATTCATTTTTGTACAAATCTGATGTCAACTTCATGTTTATCTGTGTCTGTCCTTACCATACATAGCAAACTTTGGTCGCAGTTTTCTCAGCAACTACTCATTGCAGATGCTTGAAATTTTAGGACAGTCTTTGTTTAGGGATGCCATATGGTGGGATTCATTTTTGTACAAATCGGATGTCAACTTCCTGTTTATCCGTGCGTCTGTCCGTACCATAGATAACAAATTTTGGTCATAGTTTTCTCAGCAACTACTCATCGCAGATGCTTGAAATTTTAACACACTCTTTGTTTAGGCATGCCATATGGTGGGATTCATATTTGTACTAATCCGTTGTCAACTTCCTGTTTATTCGTGCGTCTAACCGTACCATACATAACAAACTTTGGTCACAGTTTTCTCAGCAACTACTCATCCCAAGTGCTTGAAATTTTAGGACAGTCTTTGTTTTGGCATGCCATATGTTGGGATTCATCATTTTTGTACAAATCCATTGTCAACTTCCTGTTTATTCGTGTGTCTGTCCGTATCATATATAACAAATTTTGGTCATATTTTTCTTAGCAACTACTCATCGCAGGTGCTTGAAATTTTCAATTTTCAAATGTTTATCCCTTCATCTGTCTGTACCATACATAACAAATTTTGGTCGCAGTTTTCTCAGCAACTACTTATCACAGGTGCTTGAAATCTTAACTCAATGTTTGTTTAGGCATGCCATATGTTGGGATTCATTTTTTACTAATCCAATGTCAATTTCCTGATTATCACTGTGTTTGTCCGTAACTGAACTTGTGTATTCACATCAGAGCGGGGGTATTATTAGTGAGCATTGGCTCACAGACTTCTTGTTACATTAACTTTGACTATTGCTATTTATTGTAACAAATTATTTTTCATTTTTTTGAAAAAAACAATTTTTTATTGTTTTTATGAAGTAGCATAAATTTTCACTTAGCATTTCATAAAAAGAATAAAGAGAAGAGTAAAGAAGAAAGTTGTGACATGTTTTCATGTGTTTAGGGGTATTATCAGTGCTCCAAGTCACACTTTCTATGAGGTTGCTAAATGGCGACCAAAAATTTTTTTGGTCGCCATTTCAGAATTTCTGGTCACCATCATCAGATATTTCACTCGCCATGGTGAAATCATTTTGTAAATATTACATATAGTATATTATAAAAGCAAAGAACAAACACTCATAAATATGTACATGTATAATGTCTTTTTTAAATCAAAGATTACTTATTGCTATGACTAAACACAGGGTTCTCCACATTTGAAAATTTAACCAGGGAGGAAGCTGCGCAAAAGTGAAATGTAATTGAAACCATGAATGCATGTTCAACCCTCTAACTAAAGCTTCCTTTCATTAATCAGTGGTTTGATTTCACAAATATTTTTTATTTACCATGGCAACACAAAAAGTTGAAATAGAGTTAATTTTTCTGTACACGTAATTTCGGGGAATTCCAACATGTTCACCATAAGATTATAACAGATTTACAAAAGATGACATAACGAGCAGTAACAACATAATAATCGACAAGCATCCGATTCAAGTTTCTGTGCCCAGAAAAAAATTAACCCTTTCAATTTCTTATTCCTTTGTATTTAATCAATTCCCCATGCTCTGTTTTTAAATATTTCTGATAAAATGTACATAAGTGCAAATCGCCGTCTTAGCTTTATTAGAGTTATCTCCCGTTTTTATGAAACGTCGTGTGGCGCTATTTTTAGCACTGAGGCACGTGGAGAAGTAAACAATGGCACAGGAAACTCGGCAAAAAATGCAATATGTAGAAAATAGAACGTTTAAAAAAAACAGAATAGAGAAAGAAAAATTACAGCTATGTCAAATTTATGCTCCTGGTTATATTAAGTTATGATACTTTTACCATGTATGCCATCAGTAAGTTTTCATAGACCATGCAGCATGCAGTTAAAAAAGCTTAGGCATTGTTAGGATGTCAGTGTTCGTTCGACTGTTGGTTTGTGTGTCTGTCAACTTTTTTTTCAAAATACAATACTACCAATTCATCAGTCTTAGTCATATATAAATAAAAAGTTTCATACAACAGGTAACATCAATTCTGTATATCAGTTTTTGAATAATGTTGCCATGGTTACTTTATCAAAATATTTTTTTTTGAAATTCCTTCAAAACATTCCTACAGTTTTGGACCAATTTTGGTACATTTGTAAAGTAAGATACATAATTCTTTTTATTTTCATTTATATATATATTTTTTTTTTCAACTTTTTGTGTTGAAGTGGTTAAGTTTTGTGAAACCAATCATTGATTAATTAAGGTTAGAAAGTATAACATGAATTCGTGTTTTTGGTCACATTTCGCCTTCGCGCAGCTTCCTCCATGGTTAAATTTTCAAATGTGGAGAACCCTGTGTAGGTAGGTAGGGAAAACATTTTATTTTATTTCAATATTTTATTGGCAAGCACGCTACCAATTTTCCCCAGGGAAATTGCTGTCAAAACATTTCTGATTAATGTGTGTAGGATATGCATTTTCTGAAACACGGAAGTGATCGAGATTAGGATTTCTAATAGTGAAACTGGAATAGTTTACCCCTGGAAAGATATCTTCGGATAAATTTTTGGGGTCGGCTCATATATTTTAGGGTCGGTCGGGGAACCTGAAACACACAATTTATTTATTTAGGCCTTTCTATTGTACTACATTCTCACAGTGCATTACACAGTAGATAATGACAGGGCTAGACATCAAATAGCATTGCCCGATGCCCAGGACAACCAGTTTTGTTTGGCGGGCAAGTTATTTGATAAATGTTACTTGCCCATGGACAAGTGCTTTTCTAGTTAACAAAAAATTAAGATGTTTGTTTTGCCGCTTTTGAAATATAATGAATAACGGCAGTGCACCAGTTTTCGCTGCTGTTGACCACACATCGAATACTCGGTTGGAACTCCTCTAAAATTTACCCATTCATGTGTAGTTAAAATATTTATGCACAAGGTGTAAAACATGGCAACTATCGATATTAATGTCAAAAAAGTTGAAGAGGATTTTAGACCTTTTTTAGCTCACCTCAACGAAGTCGAGATGAGCTTATGCTATACCCTCGGCGTTGGCATTAGCGTCGGCGTCCCGGTTAAGGTTTTAGGAGCAAGTCCCATTCCCAAGTAACTATAAACCCTACCTGGACCAAACTTGCATGGATGATGCATCTAGGGATGGACACTACCACGCTTGCTTCGGATGCTGGATATGACCTAGATTTTCCAGATGAGTGACCAGGTTAAAGTTTTTGGAGCAGGTCCATTCCCAAGTAACCATAAGCCTACCTGGACCAAACTTGCATGGATGATGCATCTAGGGATGGACACTACCATGCTTGCTTCGGATGCTGGATCTGACCTAGATTTTTTAGATGAGTGACCAGGTTAAAGTTTTTGGAGCAGGTCCATTCCCAAATAACTATAAGCCCAACCTGGACCAAACTTGCATGGATGATGCATCTAGGGATGGACACTACCACGCTTGCTTCAGATGCTCAGGGGCTGACAAATCCCATTGCCCGACGCCCGAGGCTAGTGAATTTTAAGGGAGGGCAAGTGGAATTTTATCAACCACTTGCCCGTGGGCAAGTGACTTGAAAAAAATAAAATCCATATGTAAGTCATAGATCTAAAGCTTTAAACAGGGGTTTGCATGATCTACTCAGTATTTGTCTTCAATTTGTTTTTAAATATATATATAAATATGATAATAGTTTATGGTAGGACAAGCAAATATCCAGGTAGGGCAAGTGAATTTTGACCCTGCACTTGCCCTTGGACAAGTGCCTAAAAATCTATTTGTCAGCCCCTGGATGCTGGGTCTGACCTAGATTTTCCAGATGAATGACCAGGTTAAAGTTTTTGGAGCAGGTCCATTCCCAAATAACTATAAGCCCTACCAAGACCAAACTTGCATGGATGATGCATCTAGGGATGGACACTACAACACTTGCTTCGGATGCTGGATCTGACTTAGATTTTCCAGATGAGTGATCAGGTTAAAGTTTTTGGAGTAGGTCCATACCCAAATAACTATAAGCCGTACCTGGACCAAACTTGCATGAATGATGCATTTAGGGATGGATATTACCACGCTTGCTTCGGATGCTGGATCTGACCTAGATTTTCCAGATGAGTGACCAGGTTAAAGTTTTTGGAGCAGGTCCATTCCCAAGTAACTATAAGCCCTACCTGGACCAAACTTGCTAGGATGATGCATCTAGGGATGGACACTACCAAACTTGCTTTGGATGCTGGATCTGACCGATTTTCCAGATGAGTGACTAGATTAATGTTTTTGAAGCAGGTCCATTCCCAAGTAATGGGATGCTGGATCTGACCTAGATTTTCCAGATGAGTGACTAGGTTAAAGTTTTGGAGCAGGTCTGTTCCCAGGTAGCTATAAGCCCTACCAAGACCAAACTTGCATGGATGATGCATCCAGGGATGAACACTACACACTTGCTTCGGATGCTGGATCTGACCTAGATTTTGGAGCAGTCCCATTCCCAAGTAACTATAAGCCCTACCTGGACCAAACTTTCATGAATGATGCGTCTAGGGATGTACACTAAACAACCTGCTTCGGATGCTTGATCTGACCTAGATTTTCCACATTAGTGAATTTTAGCCATATTTTAACTAAATTAGCATGGATGGTGTATCTAGGGATGGACACTTCCAAACTTGCTTTGGATTCTGAATCTGACTTACATTTTCCAGATGAGATACCAAGGTAATTTTTTTGGAGTAACTATATACATGTAATACTATGGCGTGTTATGATTAAACTTGCATAGATGGTGCATCTACGGATGAAACTTCCAGACTTGCTTTGGATGTTGGAACTGACCAAAATTTTCTTGATTAGTAAACAGGTTAAAAGTTTTTAGCTCACCTGAGCCGAAGGCTCAAGTGAGCTTTTCTGATCACATTTTGTCTGTAGTCCGTCTGTCCGTCTGTCCGTCTGTCTGTAAACTTTTCACATTTTCGACTTCTTCTCAAGAACCACTGGGCCAATTTCAACCAAACTTGCCACAAAGTATCTTTGGGTAAAGGGGATTCAAGTTTGTTCAAATGAAGGGCCACGCCCTCTTCCAAGAATTCGTGAAAAATTAATGGCATCATTAAAAAATCTTCTTCTCAAGAACCACTGTGCTTGAAAACATGAAACTTATGTGGAAGCATCCTCAGGTAGTGTAGATTCAAGTTTGTTCAAATCATGACCCCCGGGGCTAGGGTGGGGCCGCAATGGGCGATCGAAGTTTTACATAGGAAATATACAGGAAAAATCTTTAAAAATCTTCTTCTCAAGAACAGCAAAGCCATAATTGGTCATATTTATATGGTAGCATCCTCAGATAGTGTACATTCAAGTTTGTTCAAATCATGACCCCCGGGGGTCGGGTGGGGCCACAATGGGAGATCAAAGTTTTACATAGGAATATATAGGAAAAATCTTCAAAAATCTTCTTCTCAAGAACAGCAAAGCCATGATTGGTCATATTTACTTGGAAGCATCTTCAGGTAGTGTAGATTCAAGTTTGTTCAAATCATGACCCCCGGGGGTAGGGTGGGGCCACAATGGGCGATCAAAGTTTTACATAGGAATATATAGGAAAAATCTTTAAAAATCTTCTTCTCAAGAACAACAAAGCCATAATTGGTCATATTTACATGGAAGCATCCTCAGGTAGTGTAGATTCAAATTTCTTCAAATCATGACCCCCGGGGGTCGGGTGGGACCACAATGGGCGATCAAAGTTTTACATAGGAATATATAGGAAAAATCTTCTTCTCAAGAACAGCAAAGCCATGATTGGTCATATTTATATGGTAGCATCCTCAGATAGTGTACATTCAAATTTGTTCAAATCATGACCCCCGGGGATCGGGTGGGGCCACAATGGGAGATCAAAGTTTTACATAGGAACACATAGTAAAAATCTTCTTCTCAAGAACAGCAAAGCCATGATTGGTCATATTTATATGGTAGCATCCTCAGATAGTGTACATTCAAATTTGTTCAAATCATGACCCCCGGGGGTCGGGTGGGGCCACAATGGGCGATCAAAGTTTTACATAGGAACACATAGTAAAAATTCTAAAAAAAAAAAAAAAAAAAATAATTTGTTAAGAATAGCAAAGCCATGATTGGTCATATTTATATGGTAGCATCCTCAGATAGTGTACATACAAATTTGTTCGAATCATGACCCCCGGGGGTAGGGTGGGGCCACAATGGGCGATCAAAGTTTTACATTGGAACACATAGTAAAAATCTTAAAAAAAAAACAATTTGTTAAGAATAGCAAAGCCATGATTGGTCATATTTATATGGAAGCATTCTTAGATAGTGTACATTCAAGTTTGTTCAAACATGACCCCTGGGGATCGGGTGGGGCCACAATGGGTGATCAAAGTTTTACATAGGAATACATAGGTTAAATCTTTAAAAATCTTCTACTCGAGAACAGCAAAGCCATGATTGGTCACATTTAAATGGAAGCATCCTCAGATAATGTAGATTCAAATTTGTTCAATTCCTGACACCCCCCCCCCCCCAACCACTTTTATATTTAAACTTTTCAACCTTTCAAGATTGAAATGATTTCTGCTTTTTCCTAGCCATAGTGCTCAGGTGAGCGATGTGGCCCCTGGGCCTCTTGTTTGAGCAGATCTATTTCCAAGTAACTATAAGTCCTTCTTAAACAAAACTTGCATGGATAGTGATCTTGGGATGTACCCTAACTAGAAAAAAATATGATGTGAAAGTTGCCTTACTTATAGATAACATTCATCGAGGTGAGCTTCATAATCTTTGATTACCTATGTTACGTATTGTCAAAATATAAAATTCATGTCATGAATACAATCGTTTTACTGATATTAAAATTGGAGCTGTTGACTGGCAATCACAGTCAGTCACGATGTCAATCACTCAATCGGCATGCAGTAGTGGTTTTCATAATGAAATACTGTATATGTATTATTTTTTGTTTTCATTTAAATAAATACACATTATTTTTAAAAAAAAAAATAAGGAATACCTTACTGAAAAAGAATTTTGAAGAAAATAGAATGAAACTTTAACTTTACTAATACCTTGAAAATATGGAAAGAATCTGAATCTTACATGTAAATTAATGTCAAATTTTACTATGTACTTAAATAATGAATGCATATTATGCTAGAAATGAAGTAACTTTTTTCAGTTGAGAAAATGTAGATTGTGCACTTAATGTGCACTTAAATTTTAATGCTAGATATTCATATGCCTTGACTGCAACTGGAAATCAGCACACTGCATACGTTAAGAAGTCTCTCTGGACTTGAAATTTCCCCTTAATTTCTCCAACAATTATGCTCTAATTTTATGTCGTTTAAGAAAAAGGTGGGGCAAGCATATTTTTTGGTAGGAAAGTAATTTTATGATCAGGTCGGGTACACTACCTTTTATGGAAGGCACTTTTCAACACGTGACAAAGTTTTCGTCAAACCCATTCTCCAATCAGTTGAATTAGTCGCAAAGCATGACGGTCTACTACGTGTTTACGATTCACTAGCGACAGGTGTTTTCGTCGGTTTACTGCATAATATAATTTACTTGGTCACCGGAAAAAACATACAACTTCTTTTTATACGTCCGTCTATAGACGGGACGTATTATGTAATGGCGTTCATGTCCGTCCGTCTGTCTGTCTGTTAGCTTTTCTCGTGCTCATAACTTTAATACTATTAGGCATAGGATTATAAAACTTTGTCAGCTGATACTTCTTGGGTAGAAGGTGTGTCACACACTAAAAGTAGGTTGCTCTGACCTTTAATGAAGATGCTATTGCCAAATATGGAAAAATCCTGTCCGGCTCATATCTAGAAAACTCTTGTACTTAGAATCATCAAACTTGGCCAATTTATGCATCTTAGGTAGAAGGTGTGTTGCGACCTATTTCAAGGTCACTGTGACCTTTAATTTAAGTGAAATTTTAAAAAAAAATTGTCTTTATACTATTGAATTACACAATACCAAAAAATGTAAGAGTTTTGCAGTATCCTTCTTAAAAAAATGTTTAATCAAGAAAATACTTATTTTTTTCATTATATACTTTACAGCAATCTATAACAAAGGTAATGCTACAAGGAAAATTCCACCTCTCCCATGGGTGTAATTATCAAGCACTGGTCAAAGAGAATTTGATAACAGAAAATTGCATGTCAAATTAGAGAGAAATTAATGAGTTTAGTGTGAGGAGCTAACTGGTAGAGCATCTCTGATCAAGCAGGTGTTATCTATATCTCTTGGGAACTGGGCAAAAAGAATCAGTTGTGTTGGATTAAATAGTTGGCTAGCCTAACTTTTAAAATGAATTTGGTGAAAAGTAATTAAAACTTATTTGATATTGTGTAATAAATTAATTTGATATTGTATAATAAACTAATTTGATATTGTATAATATAATTAAAACTAATAAGACTCGGGGGGGGGGGGGGGGGGGATATTGGAATCAGCATGCCTGTTATCCATATGAATTGCAGCTTAAAAACGGGCTGACATTAAATCTAAAAAAAAAAGTATTTAAAAAAAATGTTTTAAGTATGGTAGATAGTCCCTACAAATCTAAGAGTAATGCAGGAACCTTATTAAAAATACTGCATCAAGATTGCACAATTTTTTTTTTTTTTTTTTTTTATCTTTGTAACAAATTTAAAAAAAAATCTTTGTTTAAAACTTCAATTTCAGAATGACATAAATATGCATTTTTATTGCACTACAAAGCAGATAGTATGTATAGATCCATTCATCCGTTGGGAGTAATGAGTGTATGTGCATCCAGTTAAAAATTAATTAATGAGTTCAGTGTAGGAAGGCTAGCTGTCTCAATCATTTCCGTTAGAGGATCTCTGATCAAGCAGCTCTTATCTGTATCCAGTGGGAATTAGACAGAAGAACTGCTTGTCAGTTTATAGCATATGTCATTTGATGGCCAGCCTTTTATTTTTAATATTAATTTGATATAGATTAAGTTGTTAAAACTAAATTGATATTGTTTAATATGATATTTTTATTTAATTTTTTGAAAATATCAACTAATTCAGAGCATTATGTCTCACAAATCTGAAAGCTGGGGGGGGGGGGGGGGGGGGGCTGCAGATGGGCATTTGTCAAGCTCTAACACAACCAGTTGAAGATCTATGTAATATTTGTTATAATTAATGCCTACACCACAGGAGATGTATAAACAAATATTATACGGAATGGAAAAATTGTTGAAATCCTTGTATCAAGGTTGACATGATTTTCTTGCACTCTAAACTGTTTATGACAATTGAACAATATTTGACGGGCATATCATGCTGTGGCGGGGCACTTTATTTACTTTATAAGGCTGAAGTTGAAAGATTATATTCCAAAGACACTGTTCCTTGCTCACATTTGATATTTGTCAATGAGTTGTTTTAGATGATTAATAGTTGCTTGATATACCGTACAAAAGCTTTGAGGTTTGAGTGTACATAAACACGTTTTGATGATATTGAGGAGTTAAATAATAATTGTGCACCTTGTACTGCTGTCTAAAAACAATGTACATGTATATCACGTGAAAAAAACATTGTCAGTGCTTTATCGACACAATAGCACCTACGTCTCTTTGAACAATGGTTTACGCCGATGTATTACAAGTTGATATAAGGCTTCACAAAGGAAATTTTGTAAATGTGAGCATAGAAATGAAAGATTATACATCATTTTCAATATTTCTTTCATGAAAATCAAAAAAGAATTGAAAATGAGTTTCCAAGGAACAATTCAAGTTGCCCTTCATTTTCAACACTTGATACGTGTAGAAGCCCATAATGCACTGCGACTCATTCAACAGTCTGTAAAGTAAACAGATAGCTAATTTACATGCAAATTTATGCTGACGTCAGAAAATCTAGTGGTCTCGACCTGATGATGGTAACCTGTCCGAGGGCAAGTACTGCGAAATTCCATTTGTCTACCCCTGAATGTAAATCCATTTGTCCATTGGGAGTAATGAGTGGACATGCATCCAGTTAAAGATTAATTAACGAGTCCAATGAACAGCCTTTTATTTTTAAAATGAATTTGGTATAAAGTTATCAAGATTAATTAGATATTGTATAATTTTTTTTTCACCAAACAAATTGCAGAGTGTCATGTCTCACGAAGAGGACAAATAGTTGCAATTTATTTTTGTCTATTTTGGACAGCTCACTTAATCTGGGTTACTCATATAAAGCCATTTTAACAAAAATCAACATATGTATGTTATAAGAATTTATAAAGTTTATATACATCATGTACATGTGTCTAAAACTAGCAACAGTACAGAAGAATTTCATGTCATAATATTAGGAATTTTCTTAATTTCTTGAAATTTAGAAATTCTAAAATATGAATGGAAGGTATAATTTTTTCTTTTTTCATTTAAAGGTCAAGAGAAAGTTTCAGCTACCTAATATGAAAGTGTGCAATCATACTGTAGCAGAAAAGATAGTCAACCCAATAAGAATGGAGAACCTAGCAGAATCCTGCAAAGTCTTGGCAACACAAATTAAGGTATTGATTTGTCAATTACAAACAATTTTATAAGAAAGAAACTTTTCAATTGCTTGACAGTGCATATTAAATTTCTCTATTTAAATAATCATAATTTTTTATGGAGTTAGTATAAACTTTAAAAAAAGGTGAAATGGAAGGAAATAGCTTATTCTCAAAATAAAAATTTTAAATGAACCCTTTTTTATGTCAAGAGATATTTTTAAAAAAAGATTTAGTTATTTTTTTAGTATAATCCTATAAATTTTGTAGTTTTGCACATTCTTCAAGTAATGAAAAATTTATAAACTATAAGAAAATTGGATTCAAAATATCATATCTTCATAAACTGTGGAACTTGATGCAATGCAGTGTGCATTGCAGGAGGAGGTCTATATATATATATATATATATATATATATATATATATATATATATATATATATATATACAGAATTTCTTTTTAATGAATAAAGCTTTGTATGAATAAAGCTCTACTTCTCATACATGCAGATTTCACATTTTCCTACATTGCACCATTGCTCACATTTATTTCTTTAAATATTTCAGACTGTTCCCAATGCCCTTATTAAAACAGAAAGACTAAAGAAATCAACAGAAATGTTTGAGAACCACAAAATGACTCTACCCAATGGTGTTTTGTTTAATGACAGTGAAGTGATTCCTCATGAGGACTCCTCCCTTCAGAGCAAACTCCTTGTACAGTTGCAGTAGGAGAATGTTGTTGGTGTTACCTAGGTCCCATGTTGAATAGTCTGTTATTTACTGGTTTTGTTTTAACATTGTTTTTTTTTTTTTTTTTTTACTAGTATTTTAAAGTCACTAGTGCGTTATTTTTGTGGGTGCCCTATATGAACCATGCTGTCTGTCTCTCTGTCTGCAAGTTGTTTATTTTGAAGTTAAGGTCATGAATGAAGGATGAAGTTTGCATTCACAGAAGGGTGGATTTTTATGATGTCCATACTATATTGTGGTAAAAATATACATTTTATTGAAATAAAATTTTCACGAAGAAAGAGTTTAAAAAAAATCTTTTTCTTAATTGCTGCTATGTAATATGTTTATTGTGTAAAATGATTTATAAATTCAAGGAAACTATTTATTTTAACAGGCACAGTAATAATAGCTTCATTCTATCGTTGCTGACAATGTTCTTATTGTAATCTTAAAATATAAAGGTTGTAAACTATAAAAAAGAAACAGTAGAACAATAAATTCCCTGGGATTAATTATCTTGTCTGCAGTAAAAAACCTGGTACCTAATCTTTATCTGTCACATTAAGATTACTTAACACCTGTTTGAAAGTGATTTTTGTTTTAAAGTTAAGGTCAAGTCTATGTGATGTTTGCATTCACCAAGAGCTGACATGGTTTATTCTGATTTAAATACACATTTAAACCAGATGATGTTTTTTACTGTCTTATATGAATACAAGGATACTATTAATTCCTAACAGGTAATTGGATAATCTCATTTGTCATTCAGGAAGTATATCCAAATTTTATAAATACAGTTGCTATTTCATATTCTTCATATATTTTTAAATTTCCTTTTAAATTTTTTCCCCAAGTCAAATTCTCATCTTAGATTTCTATCCCTCTGTGGGGTCCTTGCTGACTGGTCATTTTTCTTGTTAAGAGAGAGAAATTATTTACCTTAAGCTTTTTTAAATGTATATATGTAGTATTATATCAGTGTTGCTGATATTTTGTTATGTTTTGTATAATTTTGTGTCTTTCTGTACTCATTGCAAATGAAGTATAGCATAAAATGTATAAAATTATACAGATTCTGTAGAATTGTTAATGCTTGTTTAAGATGCATTATAAGGCTACTGATACCTATTGTGTTAAATCTTATTTTCTTTAACTTATATTTATCAGATAAGTTTTCCCACTTTTTGGTATTTCATTATTGGTTCAGCAGCAGTAGCACCTTCTTCCACCTGTTTACACGCAAGGTTGTAGGTGGGGTGAATGTATGACTCACCTTAATTTCAACTTTAAAAAAAAAAAAATTAGAAAGTAAGAATTGGTAGACTTTGCAAAGAACATGCAATGCTGTTTTTATTTTTAAGCAAGACTCTGTTTGCCTTTCAACAGTACATTTTATGTCAAGAATTTACATGTGCATTATATCCAAGGAAAATTTTCCTTGTTCTTTATTAAGGCTTAGTGCATGTAAATTGGAATGTCATGCTTTATCACAGTTGCAGTGTCCATTCCTTTGTAACAGTGTCTAGGCATCAAAAATGCTTTAAATATATTATTGGTGATGTAAACATATGTATACCTTGGTAGTTATACAAAGATTTTATACAATGTAAATATGAAGTATAAACATTTGAAATAGTGATCAGAAAATGTAAATGTTTTGCATGTACTATTGCACGATTGATATTATAACAAATGTCAAAAAAACAAAAAACAAACAAATGTCAATGTACATTATCACAGTAAAGCTATAAGCACACTTTCAATCATGTTGACCTTGTTTTATTCTTTCCAAGTTGGAGATATGCAGAGGGGTTTTTTTCACAGTCCACAGGAGAGGTAACACTGCCAACAACTCGAGCAGAAGAGTTGCTTGGTCCCTCCATCCTAGCCTACGGACCATGTTCCTTTTTGTAATCTTCTACAGATTGTTATTCTTAGCTACAAAAGCAGTTCTCTTTTTTGACAGACTTCCTGTTAATATTGATGTTAATAGTTGGTGTATCATCTCTGATTGGAGTTCTTCCATTGTCACTAGCATCTTTGAGTTGAGATGCCATGGATTCAAAGAGTTGTTCTACATTGTTAGATGTTTTTGCACTTGTTTCTATTACGGGGATATTATGCTGGTCTGCAAAGTTCTGCAAGAATGAAACATAACTTATTTTTACATACATGTAGCTTGGGTGCTGAAATATGAATGCTTGAGATTTTTCCAGAGTCTGTATTTTCAGAATGCCTTTGAATAGATGAGTAAAGTAAATAACTAATACCTTTGCCTCTGTATAATTGACCACTCTTTTTGGCTGTAAGTCTGCCTTGTTCCCTACCAGCACCTTGTACACTCTCTTGTTGGAATAATTCTCCACATCTTCTAGCCATTTGGCCACATTTTGAAAAGATTCCTGAAACAAAAAATTGAAATACAGAATAGAATAGAATAGAATAGGATTTATTACCAAATCAGGGCCCAATGGGCATAAACATATAACATATAAGATAACAGACAGAATACAACATATAATGAAGAGCAATTCTTCCCATTTAGTACATTGGTGGTGTTTTGAGTTTCACATGTAGACATAGGTTGTCTTTATTTAAGATATATTTGTACTCTTAATTGATACAACTTAATGTGCAATGATGTGCATTACTATTACTAATATTATACATATAACTGAACACATAAAAAATGTCTGATACATCAACAAGAGGCAGCAAGAGACGGTGCTAAAGGATATACAGAAATCCACTTCTGCCTCATGTAGAATAAACAGATACATAATCTAAGGAAATGAGTATTAAAAATAATAATAATAATAACAATAATAATAGTATAATAATAATAATAATAATTAAGAAAAAAATTGTATGTTGAATGGCATGTGTAAATTACATTAAACTGCAATGGACAGCAAGAGTCAGTGCTGAAGGATAGTATTATTATTACATATACTGAAATGTGTACAGAGGTGTACTCTGCATAATGGTATATATATATATATATATATATATATATATATATATATATATATATATATATATATATATATATATATATATATATATATATATGAAATGTAAATACTAGTACTGAGTTGAGGAAACATTTCGACTAAATTTATCACTCCATTAACTGAGGATGAAAATTGAGTTTGAATACAGCAGACCAGGAAGTTTTTAATTTATTGATAAATTTACATTGAAAAAGTGCCCCCCCCCCCCCCAAGATTAAGCGCATTAAAGTTTCTAATAGTCTTCATTTACATATTTTCTTAACTTTATTAGTGAAGAATGGGCCACTTTTTCAAAAAAATGAACATTTTACTGATTAAGGGTCGGAATACTACATGTATACTCTAAAGTTGGACACGTAGAAAGTTTTTTTTTTTGTTTTTTTTTTTTTACAATCACATTATGAATTAAAAAGGGAATAGTGTTAAAGAGTGCCATTCCACATTGGAAATGTTACCTTATCCGTGATGTCATAAACCACCAGTATTCCATCAGCGTTCCTGTAGTAAGCTGTCGTGATGGTCTTGAAACGCTCTTGTCCTGCTGTATCCCACTAAAATGATAAAATGATGCTGGATTATTGTCTGCTAAAATAAAATGTTTCACTAGAGAGATGTTCACTTCCACAAGGAATAGTTTAATAAACAAATAGGGGCACAGAGTGCCCTGATAGTTAGACGCAGGGAAGGGTGTTGAATCAGAAGCATGCAACTATCAAGTTCGTATCCTCGATTTCGAAAGCTGCATTGCATTACCAAAAAAATTAAACTGGTCGATTATCATCACAGAAAATTATCTTCTTTCATTTGCTAAAAAAAATATCGTTACCGAAAATTCACAATGAATTAAGCATTTCACTCGTAGTTCAAACCCCAGTTCTAGATAAATATCATTAAAATATCTTTCCGTTTTGGACAATGTCAAACATATACGAGGGTTGTTCGAAAAATACGCAATGCCAATTTTCGTCATCGTTTTAAGAAATTCAAAATACACACATTATCATATGTAAAAATATTTATTATGTCAAACTAAATAGAAGTCATTTACAAAATTATTTACTATATAATTAAATTATCATTATAATTCACGATTAGCTTATGCTTAGGAATTTGTACATAAAGGGAAAAATAACGTCATTATTCAAGAAGGTATTTTTCTGGTTGCCATACAAGTACATATTTAATGACTACAACAAAATTTGCATATAATCTAGGTATTATACTCACTATCTGTAGACGCACTGTTTTCCCGTCAATTTCAAGTGTCCGGATCTTCTACAATAGTCATATTGTATTAAGATTTGAACTGTATTTTAAAGGTTCTTATATGTATTAATATTCAAGGGATGTATGCATACTTACAAAATCTACACCGATTGTGCTGATATAAGTCTCGGTAAAGGATTCATCCTGAAAAAAGGTGTACATAAATTACATTATATATATATGTTACTAATATATCCAATAAAAAAATGAATAAACTTTACCTTAAAATTTACTAAATAAAAAGCAAATATAGGGCCTAGAATAAAGCATTTTTATGAATTTTGACTCATTTTTAAATTATAAACTTTTATATACAATATACACATTAATACAAAATTTAAGCTTGATAGCTTTGCGTTATTAAGCCAGGACTTTTTTTTTTACTTGTAATCCTTAAATTAAAACAACATAAACATTGCACAACCTTCAAATCATATTAAACAATTTAAATATTGCATGTTAACCAACCTACCGTAAATTTTAGCATTAGACTAGACTTCCCGACACCAGAATCTCCAATAAGCAAGATTTTAAATACATAATCACTGAAAGAAAATCAATAAACAATAAAAATTAATTTCCAGCCTGATCAAACGTTATAAATTTTCTTTTATTCCTTTGTCTTATTGCATGGAGTAGAACATTCATATTGATAACCCACCTGTCCATTTCGGCGGTTTTAATTTTTTGTTGTTAAATGCCACACGACGGTTTGTTTATATACTATGTACATACATGAAGACTAAAACACGCTGGAAGTATTGAGTTGTTCTATCACATCTATATTTAGACAGCAATGAATCATTCAAACGCTAGTTCGTCTAATATACTAGTAGATATTAAATAAATATTAAATTGTTATAACTAAGAGGAGAGTGTATATATAACGGGGGATGATGATTTCAGTGAAAAGGTTTTACCACAGGCTTCTGACGTGTGGACGGTTTATCCTTCCCCCTCACACACATAGGCACGTAGTATCAAGGGGTGGATGAAATTAAAGGCCTGCCCCCTTTCCCACTTTTACTGCATTTTAGTCAAGTCATCCCTTGGTAGCGAATTAATAAAAGTTATTTGTGAACCTACAACACCCTCCCAACCACTACCACCACCACGAAATAGGATAATTTACCCTTTTTTTATTTTGCTTGTCAAAGATTTTCAGGTATATTGTCAACTCATTTTTGTGGTTGCCTCTTTCAAAAACATTACTACGTGCCTGACACACGCATTAACACATCAGAGAATTTGTAAAAGACACGACGCCTTATCAAAAACGCACATACTAGCATATCATACCTACATTTTTTGATATCATTTTCCATTATTTATGTTTTAGAGATTGTCACTCCATTGATAGTGAAAATACGATTTTACATACGAACAGAGAGGCAGCCTCTACATCGTAGGATATCAGCAGAATGGGGGGGGGGGGGGGTTATACACCATCCATTCCATATACCTCAAGTGCCTGTGATTTTAAAAAGCACATTTTTTTGTTCAATTAGAAAAAAACATTACTATATAGTGTGCGTTATTTATTCTAAACACAAGTCCTGTATCTTTTGATTAACAAAACAGCCATTTTTATTTAACAAAATAGTTTTGTCTAAAAGAGAGCATAAACTGATTAACTCAAAACAGTGATGATAAATGCCAAGCTCCAATTTGGTGAAAAGGGAGTTCAAAGAATCTTTTCAAGGAAATATTTCCAAATCCAAATCCTCGTTGTCCATTGCCATGCTATATACAAAATTAACATACTTCAGCTGCAACTTCAGTAAATATACTCCAGTTAATATAACTATTTCTTGATTATTAGTAATCCGCTTCATATAAAAATATATCCGCCTTTTTGAGTTAACATTTTATCATTTTAATAATGCTTAAGTTCCCACTGAACAAAATAATAAATAAATTATAAGTCACGCTGAAATGTTATTGCGTATTTTTGAACGTTATGATAAAAAATTCTTTAAAATGATAATTAAAAACGCCAAAACTTCCAGTCTAACAAACTGTCATAACTGATAAATGAGATCCTGATTTCAATCTCTGCTTTGGGGACAGTGGTTTAAGTCTAACTGGTCGACTTGTGGTTAATATCTCATAACCCATGATTTGCCTTCTTCTGGTTAGCAAACCTCGATCCAATTCGCCCATCTTGTACACGCTTTCGACGCTTAGTTCGCTACTTGGGAAATGTCCTCGTGTAAGACACCGATTCTTCTCCCACATCTTTGAGACAAGGGTCAGGTCTGGTTTGGAGCTGCTCTCTCCATAGAAGTCACTTCCAAGGTTGTGATTCTCGGCAAGACTTTTGTCCATTCGACTTAAATTTCTTTCATTCAGTTTTGAGAAACGCCTGTCTTGTTTCTTGTGGCCTCTCCCTCTCTTTGATCGGCTCTGAGAGGAAAACTTGAAAGGATTCCCCAAAGTATGGGGTCTCACAATGGTGCCGTACGGAGCATTCTCAAACACCGGATCCAATGTTGTATCGAAATTTGAAGCCGATGCATTCGAAAATGGCAGAGATTCGCTTGCACTTTCGTAATTTGAAGCACTGGCTGTTGGAACAGAAGTCAAAGTAGTGGTTGAAGTAGCAAGGTTTCTGTTCAGATGTCCTGGAACATCTTCACTTTGAAAAGTTTTTCTATTAGCATATTTTTTCATTAACCTCATTGCGATTTTATCCTTTTCTGTTTGCATAAGGTCCAGTTCTCGTCTGGTTTCGATGATTTGCTTTTGCATTTTGTAAAGAATTACATCATATTTTTCCTGAAGCCCGTTCAGATACATCTGTAACCGAGTGTCGGCCATTTTGTTCACCTTAGATACCAAAGAAATATCCAGATCATAGGAATCATTGATCAACTTTTTAGAAAGCGTCATTTTTTCAAAAAAATAATTTCACTGTCTCGTGCTTGCAGATTGTCAATATCTACAATGCAGTTGTTCTCAAATTACCACCTAACTACTGTCATTTGTTTATCAGACATTTGAACTTTCGAAAGACAAAAGATGAATTCAAGCAGATAGTTAATTATAGAGGCGTATATAGTTATAAGCTCTGAATACTTGTGTAAAATACTACATGTAGCACTGTGTAGTGGAATAGGACACACAAAAACCCGGTTCATATCATTTATAAGATCCCAGGCCTCATCAAACAGGCAAAGTGAACTTTTGTATCAAATGTATTTAGTTTATATTGAACATTTAATCGTTTACATACATGTTCATACAATTGCATTACCCAATTTAGGTGACCACGTCTTGTTGCACAACTGAAATGAAAAAGTACAGTATCTCAGCCAAGCTAACCAAAGCTGAACTATTAATTTCAGCCAGCCAACCAAAGCTGAACTATTAATTTCAGCCAAAATGATTAAGGCTTGACCGTTTCTGACCTCAGCCAATCTGACCAAAATTTAACTATACTGACCTCAGCAAAGCTGACCAAGGCTCAACTGCTCCTCACCTCAGTCAAGCTGACCAAGGCTCAGCTTCTCATAGCTGACCAAAGTTAAAGTGCACTTGATCTCTGCCTAGCTAACCAACGTTTAACTGCTCATGACCTCAATCAGACTGATTATGGCTCAACTTCTGACCTGAACTAAGCTGACCAAAGCTTAACTGCTCCTGGCACCCTTTTTAAAGTTCTGGTATTAACTACTTGTTTAACTAAAGCTTATGCAATTCAGAAGTAATCTACAGTTACAAGGGCAAACATTCATCACTATAGGTACAAATAAGCAGATTTGATCCTTCCATCCACTGATAAAATAATTTATAAAATGATTTATTTCCTTCGGATATCAAAATGATATACATATATGTACACAAATTCATTGAATTCTGACATAAATCTCCAGTATTTTACACATTTAAAATTTTTGTCTTTAATTTAGGATCCACAACACTTTTCCTTTTGTAATGAGGGGTGTGTACTTTTCCTTCTGTAATGAGGGAAGTGTTAGGAAGAGACAGGAGATGAAGTCACTGTGCGTTAGATCAGACCTCACTACTCGCGTCTCTTTTTACTTTTACTTCCTTCATAGTCCCTACTCGACCGTGAATCATCAGCATTCCTTTTATCTCCCCTCTTGGCCTGCTCCAAGAACTGACCGAGACCGAAGGGATCTTCTTCATCTTGTTCAAACTGGACTGGCCCCTCCCTTCTAGCATTCCTGTCTGTTCCTGCAAATCCTCTGTCAGGTACAAACCTAGGGCGAATTACAAAAGATACTTAATACCATGATAAAAACATCATTGGAATCAATGAGAAGGCCTTAAAAATTAATTGTATCACATGAATTTCAGTTAAAATGGTTAAACCTTCACCAGCATTGGATAAGAAAAAAAATTAATTATAATGCATTTTTCAGACTGATCTGATTGATATTGAAATGGAATATGCCCTAGCCTGACATCTCTAATTTAGGATCAATCTAAAAAGTCTGCAAGTCATTCAAAACATTACCCCCTATTTTTCTAGGCACCTAAATCATAACAGGTCTTCCTTGGAAAATGTCACGCTTACCTGTTAGACTTCATAAGAGTGTCCAAATCATCACCATACATCTCCTTGTCTACATTCTTGGAGGGTCGATAGATGCTGTTAGCAATCTGTGAGTGATCTTTTCTCCAGGGTTGGTCATAAACATTGTATGCTTCCTCATCCCCATAACCACTATCCATACCCTTCAAAAATAAAGCACATCAATGAAACATTCAAATCATAAGCATAAAAGTCCACTGATCACCTTTACTGCAAATCATGTGAGGTTTGGAATCAGCATTTTTGATCTTTCAGAAGTCAATAGCCTCTGCTATCTCTACCTTGGACTGATTAAACAGACGCTGATCAAACTGGACATCACCACTGCCGCCCGCTCGGGAGTCTGGTATGTTCAGGGCAATCTTCTCACTGATGTCCCTCTCTCTTTCCCTTTGTATGCGAGATCTTCGGTCTGGGGCAGCCCTGGCCAAGTTTCTGTCTCGTTGTCTCTCCTTTTGTCTTTCTCTCCTGATTTCATCTCTCTCTGCAACTTCTTCATCTGATACATACAGGAAAAGCAATCAATAAAGTTAACTTTTGTTTTCTGTTTACATGTATATTGAACATTATTTTCTACTAAATCAATCACAAATACTTGAACATGCATATGTAAAATTGTCTTTCATTCTTGTTTAAGAAAATTCTCACAAATACTTCCAGTACACTCATAAAAAAATACAGAGATCAAAACAGATGCATGACATTGATATGTTATATACACAATGGTAGAAAAGAAAAAGAAGGTAATTTTCAGGATGTTTCAAGACATTAACTCAGTATTAAAAATGAGCAAAGGAAAAAAAGGATAAAACTGATGTTAGTTTTTACCATCATGTTGTTTGATTCCTGCCCTTTCATCCCTAGCTTTCTGAGCCAGCTGTCTCAGAGTTGCCTCCTTCTTTTCCTTTTCTCTCTGTGCAATCTTCCTGTCAATCTGTGCTCTCATTTCAACTGCTTCTCTTGCCTGAAATCAGAGAAATCAATCAATTTTAAAAGGTTTATTTTCTATCTTAAAAAATTGTCAAATTTGTACTCACTTTTCTGCTAAACTTACACAGTAAAACATATTAATGTGTGTATCTAAATGCAGCAATCTTGGCATAAACTACTTTGTGCTTTCCCAGAGGTAAATATATTATTAACAAAATTAATTTTAAGTCCTCACCTTTCTGTCTGCTATGTACAAAGCCTCTGCAAGTTTGGCAAAGTTTTCATTGATGTGGACACCTTGTA